CTGCTGCACAGTGTCGCCATCTTTTCTGCATTTCAACTAGTATGTACCATAATTTTAGGCGGCTGTTGTCAAACATCCAGCTGCAAAAGCGATTCTAGTGACTAAGGCACCTGGAGCTGGCTGTACCGCACCACATAAATTATTATTCCTGCAGCAGGCGAATTGTCCCACTGTATCTGCCTCAAATGTTAGTACTGGAGACAGTCCGCGACTGGAGGTTGTTGAATCTGTGTCACCACACGTTGTTCAATCTGGTGCAGAACCGGCGGCAATTGTTACGGAACATACACCATCGATTTCCACACAAGGAACAACATATACCACTCCAGTGATGCCAAATGTTGATGTTCGTAACAAATTTATCACCCTATTAAGAACTTTGTAAGGAAGTGACTTTTTGTCGACTTCAGGTTGTCATATTGCTCTCTGTAATGTATCGGGCTTTCTAATTGGGACGAAAGTGACGCTTGGTTTATATTAATTTCTTGTTCCTTATTTATGATTATTTCAGGTCGGCTTGCCACAAAATCTTCTGGATGAAACGGCTCCGGATAGTGAGACCTGTATTATTCAAAATGCTGATGCATCTGAACAACATGTAAAGCAGTCATCTGATACTGCTACTGATGCCTATCGCTCATCTGGATTTATTACACAAGATACAAAGAAAACGAATATGTCACCACTGGGTACTGCTCATATGCAGACAGTTACTAAGGTATGGAATTTACGTATGTTTATTAAGGATTCCGTTCCACATTACAGTGCATCGAAATCTGAAAAAAGGTTTGTTGTCTTGAAGTAAATTCGTCCTTATCAGTCGTTCGGCATAGATTGCAGTGAATAATTAGAAAATAGATCCAGAATATGACCCTAGGAATAGTTTCTGAAGACATAATTATAGGAAGTTTCCGAAATGTGAAGCGACTTTAATTGTGAATGTAGTAAAGTTAGTTTTCAAACTAATTTATCTCCATATTTTCGTGTATATTTAGGTTCAATGTACGCAATCTGGAGATGCAGTAGCTTCATCTAAAATAATACGACCAAAAACAAGTATAATAGCAATAGCTCCTGCTCATACTCAACTTGAAATGCTCTCAGCTGACGTTACTCCGCGAAAATCTCCCGTGGAAAAGGATGTAAAGAATAAAAATGAAGCTAATTCGGCAAGCAGTGCTGACAGTAATAAACCTAGTAATGGTTGCTTTCATAAATCGCTATTTCCTTTGAAATTATGCTTCTTGTTGCTCCGTTCTGTTTTTGCATTCCGTGCAGCAGTTCGGCATTACTTCATTTCAGCATTGTGAAAAAAAAAAAAAAAAAAGAAAAGAAAAAGAAAAAACAGCTGTTCGGTTTTGTAATTTGAACTAATCGTGTAGTTTTGTTGCGAAAATTACTTACAAAATTGTTTCAGACAAAACTGGAACTGCAGCAGTGATTGGATGTAAAGAAGAAGAAACTGATAGTAGGGATAAAGAAATTGCAGCAGTGATTAGATGTAAAGAAGAAGAAACTGGTAGTAGGGATAAAGACAACGTTGAAGTGGACGTTATTAAGGAAATGAAAGTTGAAGATGTTAGTGAAGATAAGGAAACTAAAAACGATGTTCCTCTCGATAAAATAGAACAAAGCGGCAATTTAGATTCATCACGTGATAACGAAGAGCTACAAATAGTTAACACCAGCAGCGAAGAACACTCACCAGATATTAAAGAATCAGAACCTTTAAAATCGATATCGATGGAAACTTCAAATTTAGTGGATACGCCGAGTGTGAGCCAATCTATAACAGCAACATCTGGTATGGGTACTGAAATATTTGCTGATGTGGGAATAACTGTGAACACTGATGATGGAGCAGTTGAGGTTCCAAATGCAGCTGCCATGAAAAAATGTCCATCTTTTACAGTTCTGAAAGTGGAATCCGGTACTACACAATCCAGTCGATCTCATCGTACTTCTCCAGAGGTAACTTTCAACTTTCGAGTTTTCAATTTCAATTTTTTCTAAGTCTTTTTGATTGCAATGTTCGACGTTGAAGGCCAGACGTGGTGATGAGTTTCTGTATATATAAAAGCCTTTTTTTTTCATATTTTTATTTTTAGTTAAAGGCAGAATCAGAGTGGTACAACGTTGGAATCATTAAAGGAACAAGCCATCTTGTAACACACTATTTCTTGCCATGTTCTGCAGGCATGGAAGATGCTTTCGGGGTATCCTTTTTTTTTTTTTTAAAGTGATATAGTTTTGTTTCATAAGTTATGGATGATGAGAAATATCGTTTAATGGAGATATTTTGGGTCTTAAACCTCAGCTCCATTTTATATTCAGTTAATTTTTGAAGCATCAAGTTTTTTGCATTCATTGCATGGGTGTAATTTCTTTCGTAATTCTTGAAATCATTCTGGAATGAATATGAGCTTGGAGTTCAGGCAAGTTATTTGAGAAAAGCTGAACTTGAAGCTGGAACTGCTTATCACTTCCGTGTTGCTGGCATAAATGCTTGCGGTCGAGGCAATTGGTCGGAGGTAAACTGTTGTGTAAGATTTGCTGTTTTCATTTTTGGTTTTTTTTCTGATTTCAGTGTTTATTCAATTTATTGCCTTTTTTAAATTGTAGTATTTTTAACTTCTAAAAGTTAAAGAGCTAATTTCCTAGTTTAACACGTATATTTCAGGTAACTGCTTTCAAAAACTCTCTTCCTAGTTATCCCGGCGCTCCTTCTAATATTAAAGTGACAAAGAGTTCGGAAGGTGCACATCTAACATGGGATCCACCTCAGAGCTCTATTGGTAAATTTTCATGTTTATTAATAGGATGGAAAGAAATTTCTTGTTCCATTTTTTTTGTTTAGTTTTATTCGAAGGATTAGCATTAGCCCACAGTAATTCCGAACTTTCTTGCCAGATTTATTTCATTATTCGCTCATTTTGAAGTTAACTACTGTAAAGTGATGTTGTTTGACCAATAACATGTGGACAGTTGTTTTTTAGGCAAGGTGACAGAGTATAGTGTATATCTGGCTGTTCGTAACACTCATGGTCGTGAAACTCATCTTTCATTCGTTCGCGTTTATGTTGGTTCCGATCCGTTTTGTGTTGTGTCGTTAGCCAATCTGCATGCTGCGCATATCGATAAGTCTTCAAAGCCAGCAATTTTATTTCGAATTGCAGCACGTAATGAAAAGGTGGTAAACTTTTTCTTCTAATACTGCAACAGAAGTTTAGACTACCTTAATTTAGTATTTTTTTTTTTAATTCTTATGAATATCCATAAAGTTACATGATACATAAAGTCATCGTCATCGTAATATGCAACAAAAAAAGAAAAAAATTGGATAACGATGGGAACATTTGTTCCAGGGTTATGGACCTGCAACTCAAGTGCGGTGGTTGCAAGAGCGGCCTTTGCGTCCAGTAACTATTATTGGTGCAAGTGCAGGTAGTCATCGTAATCCACAGCAGCGAACAGCACCAACGCAAACGACACAAGTTCCTTACAAAAAACTTCGATTTGGTTGAATTTTAGTCTTCAGTGTTTGTGTTTAATAATAAATTATTTTTCAAGTTCTTTTCAATTTTTTAACATATTCAAGGTCTTGACTGTGCATAATTTTGGCAGCAAATATTCTCTTCATTGATAAAACTGGATAATGATGAAGGCGAGAAATCATAAACGGGTCTGCAGCAGTTGCGATATATACTGTTACTAGAATCACCCAGATATGTGTCGTCATAGAGTGTCGATCTTGATAATACATTTGTAAATTATTTTTGTGTACAAAGGGCACAGAATTTGCAATCCTCAAACTTTTTTTAGCCATAAAAATTGCTCAGGTCTCAATTGTATGCGAAATTCCATTCTTGCAAATTATGACTGTGTTATTTGAAGTTCTTTTTAGATCTTATGAAAATCTGACTTCTGAATTGTATTGAAATATATTCAGTGTGTCGCATTTTCTTTTTTCTTTTTTGCACTTTCTTTTTAATTGTTTTATTTGAAGCATTTTTACTACCACTTTTATCTCTCTCCTCTTTATTTGATCATTATTTCTCGAATTACTTTTTTAATCGCGGTTATGTTATTGTATTAACAGCGTTTGTATTACTTTTTATTTGTATCAAGAATTGTTGATGTGATTTTCAGGCAGCAATCATTCATTTGTGGAAGGCCAGATGATATCAGCTGGAATAGCTATTAATAGCTGTTGCTTTGTTCTCAATTTTTTGCTTTACTTGGGTTTATTTTCAGTTGAATGAATAAAGGAGCATGACTAGTAAATAGTATATTACTTGGATAATTCAACACTTATATTCCAATTTAATTAATCGAGCTTCAATGACTACCATTCTAAAGTCAAGATGATTTAAAAATATTTCTGATAAACATATCTATGAAACATTTAATGACATTATTGTTACTAACAAACAGTAGTAGTTACCAGATAATTTCTGGTTTACAGAAATTTTAAATCTGTGTCCATTACTGGTTTACAGTAATGGACACAGATTTATATGATAAATATAGTAAGCACAAATATGAGAATAGAGGGATGATGTATGCAAACAATAAATGTGACTTAAAAACGAAAAACAACAGGATTATGATGATGAATGGATGGTTTTGAGGATCGGAAAAGCCTAGCTTGGCTATATTGATTGAGAAGTTATATTGAATGGAATGGAAGGCGGAATAGCAATTGGTTCGGATGATGGTAGTAGCTTTGTTAGATGTAAGTTAGGTGGATGGGTAGTTTGAAGGATAGATAGACAAGGCTAGTATGCACAGACTGATAAAGTGTAAGCTTGCTTAGCTTTCTTTTGCCTAAACTTCAAAGCTATAAGGACTGCTACTAACGGCACTTAGGAGGCAAGCAGTATTTTTATTCACTAGTATATGTATATATAAGCCCTGTATCTTGTTTATTTGTTTACAGTGTTGCTTTTTTGATTATTATTATTATTATTATTGACAAATAATGATAAATACATCGAAGGATGAGCGATGTATACCATCCTGGATCTGGTGGATCGAAAGGATTCCCGCCAGCTCCTTATGGTTATCCAATGCATTGTAATATGTCTCGTGCCTTTCAAGAAATGACTGATGATGAACGAAAGTGTCTTGATGAACGAAAATACTGGTGCTTTCTACTATCAAGGTTATTTCATTTATTACACTTTCATTTTTTTATCTTCCAACTTTTTCTGCATTTTTTTCTTGATTTTTGCAATTATACAATAAATTAATTTGCAAATTGATTGAAAAATTTGGAAAGTTGAATTATCTATTGAATGTCATTTCATCATCTCTTATTATCGTCATCATCAATTTTATTGGTAACTAGGATTATCTGAAACTCTAATGACTTTTTGTTTAATAGAAGCAATGAGAAAAAAGAAAACTGTAAAGAATTATGGGAACGATGATTTAATTATAGCTTTTTGATAATATGATTTTTAGCATTTGATTTTATGCAATAAATGAGTGAATGATAAGCGCTAGAACTGTGTTGTTCAAATTGAATTATTAAATGAATTCCAATAAAAGTTTTTCAGAAAAATTATTACATTTCATGAAATGTTCTGATTTTATTTATCTTTCTTTTAAAAGATAATTTGATAAGTTTAAAATTCCATGTGCAGGTTTAAATAAACAAGCAAAAATAAAGAGTAGTATGCATGTTTACAGGTAATAACTTTAGTGTGTAATGCCATAAATGTAAAGCAATTCTATCATTAGCAATTAAGATGATAACAAGATGATATCGGCAGAACATCATTGTCGTTCACAAAAATAATAATTCATTTCTCACTTATCTAATTTTTTCTTTCTTCATTAATTTGTTTAATTTACTATCGATCACAATAGATTTCGTTTTTCTTAATCATAATTCCTTCATTGAAAACATTAGATACAAATTAAATTATCTATCACTATGATTATTTTTTGTGTTCATTTGGCAGCATATTTTACATTATGAATACAGTAGGTAAAAGTTAGTTTATTCAAAAGTCAGTTTATTTTCATTGTTTTTTAAAAAAAAATTATGGTATTTACAACCCAAAATTTTTATTTTTTTATTTTGAAAATAAATTGTAAACTCTATGATGTGTTATAAATATATTAAGAATTCATTATTTTGCATAAAAATGAATTCATAATGAATATGATAAATTTCTTATTGCTAAATTTTAATCTAATCCTAACTTTTAATATATTTTACTTTCATAATGAAAAATCTTATCATTATTAAAACTTTTTGCATATTTTTTAAAAGTACTTTAAAAGAAATTAGTAAAAAAACTTAAAGCATGCAAAATTTGTTTTGCACAAGTAATTTAGCAAGCTATACGGCAGTAATAGTTAGTAATTAGTTTAATTTAAATTATCATAAAAATTCTAATGCTTTAATTAAACAATGATACCTAAAATTTGCTTCATTAATTTCTTTTTTTTTCTTGCACGTTTATTAAACGCATCAATTTGTTACGAAAAAAAGTGAAAAATTTTTACTTAACTTTTTTTCTTTTTTTTTTGAATTACTTATAACTGATTCAAAAAAGAAGGAAGTAATGTTTCACATAATAATATATATTTCTTTCACAATATGCTTTGTATACTTTTTAGCATAGTAACATTTTGTGTATCAATGTTACTAGTTGTTATTTGGAGAATTATAGCGCATATTTTTTGTCAACGGCGAGAACGAGAAGAAACTGATGCTGTATTTGACCAGGTAAATTTAAAAATTTTTCTTCTTTCATTCTTTTTTCTTTCTTGTTCACTTTTTTTCCTTAAATTTATTCATAATAACATATTTATGTTGTTATTAATTGTTATTTTTTATTTTATTGACTTCTTTCAATCATTTAATGATTGCATAATTTAATAAAAAATGAAAATGTTAGGTATAAAATATGTTAGCAAGTTAGAATTTGATATTTAAAATAAATGAAATTATTAATTTGCTGTAAAATATTAGTATAAATTTATCATAAATTGTTAAGAAAAAAATTTTTTTCAATTTTTCCTCTTATTGCTATTATAATTAACTTATCATATAATCATTATAGGATGAAGGAAAACATGAATTATTGAAAGGTGATTTAGATGGTATAGCAATTAAACAGGAAGAAGTGCAAATTGGTTGGATGACAGAAGCAAAAGATTGGGCTGGTGAATTAATATCAGGACAAAGTATGACAGGGAGAATTTTGGTCGTATTAGTATTTGTTCTATCTATTGGTTCTCTTATCATCTACTTTTATGATGCCTCACAGTAAGAAATTTTCGTTCTATAATTAAAATATTATTTGAAAAGATAAATTATAAGTTGCATTTACAAAAAACAAAGAAATTCTGAGCCAAATACATATTTATATTTCCTGATAATAAAATTTATGAAAATGAATCATTAATAAATTAAGAAATTTTTCTTCTTTATTACAATCATTTTTAGAATGCTTCTAATTAGCATAATTTAACATCTATCACACTATTATTATTAAAAAAATAAATAGATAAAAAACGAAAAAAAAAAAATCAATAAAACTTTAATATTTTTTAAAACGATACATTTATTCGATACTTATATATATTTAAAAAGAATGAATCTATAATAAAATTGTAGCAAAAGCTTAGAACAAAAAAATAAAAATTCTTTTAGTTATTCTACACAATTTAGTTATTATTATTCATCATTTTATTTCATTTTGCTTATTTCTTTTCGTTCATTTTTTCTTTTCTCCTTTTTTTTTCTTTTTTGAATCACAAATTACTTGGAAATAATAAGAATTTGTGAAATTGAATATGTTCTATTGAATTTTTCATAGGAAGTATGAATTCTTCTTGTTCCAATTGCTATTATTGCATAACACTACCATTCATTCACTTATAATTGCTACCATATTTAAGTTATTTTGATTTGTGTCCTTTTTCTATATATTGATTTTTAGGCTTAATGTATTATCAAAATTTTTTATTTTTTCCCTTTTTTTTTTCACTTAACTGAAGAAATTCTTATTCTTAAGGCAAAATGAAAATTACATTTTGTTAATGTACAATATAAATATAAGTACAAAATATAAAGATAAGATTAAAGTTTTATCAAAATCAATACATAATTCATCGAAAGTTTTTGTCCTGTATTTTTTTTTATTTTAAGTATATTTAATATATTTTTATTTACGTTTTGTTTTTTTTAAAAATTCATTCATTATTAATGATAAACAACAAATTACTAAACATTATTTATATAATAATCATTTCATTCCATTTATTTTAAGTTAAATAAAAATAAAAGAGAAAGGGAGAGGAGAGAATATATATAAACAAACATACATCAAATGAAAGATTTTAAAGCAATTTAATTGTTTTCTTAGCATAATACCATGAAAAAAGAAATTTTCATTCAATTTTGCAAAAAGAAATGTCTTTTTCTTTCTTTCTTATATTTAAGGACAAAAGGAGAAATAAATAAAAAAGGACTCGTTGAATACTTTTAATAGTTTTAGCTCGTTTATTTATTTTTAAAGTAAAAAAAAAAAAAAAGACATTGATGAAATGAGAAAAATTAAACGATACAATTTGTGTTAAACATAATGAAACTATACGCAATACATTTTTCAATTTAATTTTTTTTTAAAGCATAAATCTTTCAATCACAATGATTTATTATATCATTAAGATTGAATATGATAAATTCGTTATGAATGAATTTACAAGAAAAAAGACAAAATTATATTATAGAAATAATTTTTTGAACTTTTAAAATATTTCAATTATCGATGTAATTTTTAAAAATATATACATATATATATATATTTACAAAAATTTCTTTTAAAATATGCTATCAAATTTTAGGGAAAAAGAAGCGAAATGAAGAGATTTTATTAATATCATTTCAATATTTAAAATATTTGTTATTGATTTACAAAATAAGCACCACACAAATTTATGTTTAAATTTAATTTCAAATTTTGTAACTATTTTTGATCATTTTTTGCTAACATTTTAACAATAGAATATGAAGTTTATAACTGTATAATGAATGAAAACGAAAAGTTATAATTTAACCAACTAATCGTTTTTTTTTTTCTTTTTTCACCTATAATTAGTTAAATATTAATGAATTTTTGATTTTACCGAATTTTTGTTTGTAAAAAAATCTGTCAAAATTTAGCATTTATTAACTAATATCTTTCTCTTTTCACTGTATATATTTTTTAATTAAGTATATTACATCGAACGAGTGCATTTATTTGATAGATTTCACAATTTTCATTGATGAATTAAAAAGTTCTGCATTTTTTTAAAGCATAAATTTTTAAACTCCTTTTGACGAATCACTTACTTTGCTTCCTACCATATTTGTCTTTGCCCGAATAATCGTGAATAGCATAAAAATTTTAGATTTACGAGATTTTGAAATTTAATATTTTAAAATATATCATTTCATTTATCAAACGAATAGGTAATGATGGAAACTTCTGTTGTGCTTTTTTATTATATTTAAATGATGAATTTAGGTATTATTATTATTACTACTACTAGCCTTATTATTATTTACTGCTATTGTTATCTAAATTTCAATAAATACATCAAAATTTCAGTCCAAATTTCCAAGTAGAAACATGCGTATCATGGTCCGACAGTCCATCACAACAGATCGATCTCGGCTTCAATATTTTCTTTCTCATTTATTTTTTTATAAGAGTTTGTTTCTCTTTATATTTCTTTTCTATCTTATCATTTATTCTATTTATTTTATTTTATTTTTCTGTTCGACTGGAATTAATTTTGCATGATTTGAAGCAGGATGATATAACAAAAGACAATATGTAATTAGGTTGATTAATTGTGCCAATTAGAACAAAACAAACTTTTATTACAAATTATAAATGTATATCATTTTTAAGTTTAATATTATGGTTTTTTTTTATAGTTTATTGCTGCTTCCGACAAAGTATGGTTTTTATTGGAAGTTTATAGTTTCATTGATTATTTCACAATACCACCTAGCTTTGTTGCTATATATTTGGAAAGAAATTGGCTAGGTAAAATTTTTTCTACTAAATTTGAAAAAAAAAACTGAAAGAGATAATAAAGTCTAATATGAATTAAATCGGAGTTCATAATTTTCGGTTGGCTTTTTTTTATTTTTTCTCTTTTAATTGAAAATACATTTTAGGTTTACGTTTTTTGCGTGCACTACGATTAATGACTGTACCAGATATTTTACAATACCTGAATGTATTAAAAACATCATCATCAATACGTCTCACTCAACTTCTTTCAATTTTTATATCTGTTTGTTTAACAGGAGCTGGATTTGTTCATGTAGTAAGCAAATTATTACTTTTGAAAAACATTTAAAGCTTAATTCATATTCAAAACTCTTTTACACTATTGATAATTCGATTCGAATTTATTGCTAATTAACAAAATATGATGATTTTTTTTTCTTTTTTGCAGTTTAAAATAAATTCAATTATTATAACATACTTTCATATATATGATTCAGCTTGAAAACAGTGGTGATCCCTTCAAAAATTTTGCTAATACACATCGTATAACTTATTGGGATTGTGTTTATTTCTTGTTGGTCACAATGTCTACTGGTTTGAATTTTTTTCAATTTTAATTCTTAGCTATTAATTTGAAAATCTTTGTCAATGAAACAAATAATAATAAAGCCAATTTTGAAAAATAACATTGCATTTAACATAGCTGATTATTATATCACTTGATTGACTTGTTGAATGAAAGAGAAAGTAATAAGTTATACACGATTTCCTTCATTTTGTCATAAACTAATGAAAGATTAAATCTGAAGTTTATGATAATTCTGTTAAAATTAAAATTATTCAAGATTGCGTAATTATTTCGTGTAAAATATCTTTTACTAGTATCATGCAAAGAAACGAAACCTTCAATGATTCTTTTTTTTTTTGAAAAAAAAGAGAAGTATGCTAGTCATCAAATGCATTCTGATAATCAACCAAATATGATTGCAATTGATTTGCTTAAAATAAAATTGTTAGATCAAAATGAAAGATAGCATAAATCTATGCTAATGTTAGAAATGATATTATATGATATGATTAAATGTTTTAGTTGGTTACGGTGATATTTACTGTACAACATTTTTGGGAAGACTATTTATGGTATTCTTCATTCTTGGTGGATTGGTTCGTTTCATATTTGAATTTTTTTCTTTTTTCTTTTGAAAAAATCAGAAAATTATAAAATTACAAACATTTTATTTAATTTTTCAGGCAATGTTTGCTAGTTATATACCGGAAATAGCTGACTTAATTGGATCAAGACAAAAATACGGAGGTGAATATAAGGGCGAGCATGGCAAAAAGTCAGATAACAATGCTTGTTAACATGCCTGTTTGCTATTTTGAAATTATAAACGTTCTATTTGAAATTCGAATAGCTAAAATAATTGTTTGTGGAAACATATAGTAAATAAATCCTATATGTTGAATAATAATAAGTTGAAATATTTGAGAGAAAAAAAAGTAACATAATGTTAAAACAAACACTATACATAATCCAATCTATTCAGTGCGATTTAAAGCAATAATAATTTTTTGATTTAAAATCAATACTGATGCTATAGATAATGAATCATTTGCACATTTTTACATTAATTTTTTATTCTTTTTTTTTTTTTCTAAAATTAATTCATGGAGAATATTTAATTAAGAAAGACGAAATTAATTTATAATATATTTACAGACATATTGTGGTTTGCGGTTATATAACTTATGAATCAGTTAGTCATTTTCTGCAAGATTTCCTTCACGAAGATCGCGAAGATGTTGATGTTGAAGTAGTATTCTTACACAGGTTTTGATCTTTATATATAACAATAACAAATATATAACAATCTTTATATATATATATATACATATAATAATCTTATTTTTAATCATTTTTATAATACTTTTTTTTTCTTTTTTGTTAAATCGTGAAACTATCTTTTAGAGAAAGTTTTATTATTAAATAATTTTTTTTCCGCTTTACAGAGTGCCACCCGATCTTGAATTAGAAGGCCTTTTTAAGCGACATTTTACAAAAGTTGAATTTTTCAGTGGAACAGTTATGGATTCTATTGATCTTTCTCGTGTAAAAGTAAATTTACTTGAATTTTTTATATTTTCTAATATTGTAAAAATTACTTTATTAATCAACAAAAAAAAAAATAATAATGAGGCAAATTACTTAAATCAATATTTATTACTTAGGTTGATGAAGCAGATGCATGTCTTGTACTTGCAAATAAATATAGCAGTGATCCAGATGCGGAAGATGCTGCAAATATTATGCGTGTTATTTCCATTAAAAATTATAGTTCCGATATACGTGTCATTGTACAATTAATGCAATATCATAATAAGGTTTTGATAATTTATTCATTACTATTTCTTTTTTTTTTACTTTTTATCTTATCTAATTTTTACTTTTTAACTTATCTAATTTGTTGTTTTATCTAATCCATTCAGTTTTATTTTTAGGCTTATTTATTAAATATCCCTTCATGGGATTGGCGTCGTGGTGATGATGTTATTTGTTTGGCTGAACTTAAGCTTGGATTTATTGCTCAGTCATGTCTTGCACCTGGCTTTTCAACAATGATGGCTAATTTATTTGCGATGCGTTCCTTCAAAACGGTTCACTTTATTAGTGATTCAAAAAAGGAGAGAGAAAAAAAAAACAATAATAATAATTATTATTAGTCAAAAAATTTACTTTTTCTTTTATCTTATAATAATATAGCCGTCTATACGCGATCAAATTAAGCAACGAAATCAATTAGCAGACGTGAAACGAAATCCGTTCCATTCAGAAGCTTTCAACCTTCTAGTCTTTGTTGTTTCCTTCACAACACTGTTTTGACTTGCTTGAAGCTTTCCTAAAATACTCCATCACTCAAATTTTAACACTTGAAACATTACGCGTAGTAATCTTAAAACTGTTTTCTTATTGTGTTTTCATCGCTGTTTCAACTAATTGTTTCTAAATTTCAAAATATAATGCCTAAAAAATTTTTAGAAGATTTCACCTTCATATGTTAAATTTACCATTTCTGAACTTCTCGATACATTTAATGCTTGTTGCTCTTTGCATGCGTTTGGCGATTGATTTTCCTTCTTTTCATTTAAACCAAATTTTCGTTCCATTTTGAGCATGTGGGTACACCTGTTTATCGGAGAAATTTTAATCCATCTATCACTTATGCTTCTTTAATAAATTACCGCTTTTTCAGTAAAAGCTTAACATGAATTGGAAATAATTTCAGTCACCACATACTCCACCATGGCTAAATGATTATTTACGTGGTGCTGGTATGGAGATGTACACCGAGTCATTGTCCCATTCATGTGTTGGTCTGACTTTCACGGAGGCTGCTGAGTTTGTTTTTACTTTAACTTTCCATTGTCTAACTCTTACTCTTACTCTATCATTCAAAATTAAACTTATTTGTTAGTGAGAGTTTTTAGGTTAAAAATCAGAAAATCATTTATATGTTGGGTGATGTATAAAAGAGTTAAACATGATAGCAAGCGTGATGATATGCTTAACAACACTTTAGCGTCTAATTGTTTTTAAAAAATTCGTCCGTATATTGTGCAAACAACTTATTTGCGTCACGTATGTTTTGTGTGATATTTGTGTATTCGGTATTTCTTTCTTTCTCATCTTAGAAGGATGAAATGTGAAATTGAAATTTCGGATTTCTACTTCAACAAACATTCATTTTGCTTTTGCTAAGAAAGATTATCAGATTCAAGTTCAATTATCAAATCCGAAAAGAAACTCCAAATTTTAAATTTCACCTTCACATTGTCAAGGACAACTCTCAAAAGAATTTTTCTTTTACAGTGACGAGGAAAATTTTTTTTAATGAATGAGAACCCATTGATTGATAAATTTCAGTCCCGCAATACTCCGGACTGGTTAAATTTGTACCTGTGTGGTGCAGGCATGGAAATGTACACAGATACATTATCACACGGTTTCGTAGGGATGACGTTTCCGGAAGCAGCTGAGTAAGCACAGAGAATGCGTTTAAGCTAATATTTTTGCCGGCTTGATCATACTTTTACTCCTAAACTAACATTATACAGTGATTATTCCATTAACAACCACACTATTATAACGAAGAAATGACTTTACACTTATTTGAGCGGAAATCCGAAGTTTAAAATTAAACCATGAAATTTGAACTACTATGAAGAAATCCATGAAATGTTGTTAATACACTGTTAAGCCTCCAAATAAGTTGTCAAATTTTCGACATTTCCACTAAAAACAAAAATTTTATGATATTAATTACAAGAATACAAGAGTATTTCACTTCATATTTTCCTCTTCTTTAAATAAGTAAATTATTTACGATTCACAAAATTCCAAATATATCACTAAATTTGTAATAATCATACATTTGTCATGGAGGACGATGATTTTGTCCAATAACAGTAATGAATTAATAATAATAACAGCAATGATAATAATAGTAATAGTAGTAATAATAATAATAAATAATAATAGTATTGATGACAATAATAATGATAATGATAACAACAATAATAATAATAATAATAATGGTAATAATAATAATACGAAGGAAAATAAAATAGTAATAATTACAATAATAATTATTGTAATATTAATGATAATAGTAATAATAACAATAACAATAATAATAATGTTAATAATAACAACAATAATAAGAATGATAACAATAGTAATAATAGTGGTGATAATAATAATGTTGATGAAAAAATAATAATATTAATAAAAAAGATAATATTAATAACAAACTAATAATAATAATAATAATAATAATAATAATAATAATAATAATAATGAATAGTAATAGTGCTGCCAATAATAATATATTAATAAGTATATTTTTATCATTTTGTAATTGCATAAGAAGAATGTTCGAAAATCATAGGGTTCAACAAGTTTTTTTTTCCTTACCATATGCGTAAGAATTTTAGATGAATTTGTTGACAAATGTTATCTTTGAACAAAATTTTACAGAAAAATTTGGTTCCGGATTTTTTTTTACCACTAATTTTTCGGACAAATACGAAAAAGTGTTTTTATTATTTTCCTTTATGAACGATTCATTTTGCTGTGGTTAAATTTAAAAAGAAAAAAAAAAAAATAAGAAAGAAATGGGGAGTAAAAAGAAAGAATAGTGAAAGTAACATGAACAATTAGTTTGTTTAGTAAAATATATGAACCATAAATGGAATATTTCGTTTTCTTCTTATATTCTTTCAGTTTGCTTTTCACTCGTTTGGGTCTGTTATTATTAGCAATTGAACTCAAAGATGATGAGAAAAAGGAATGTAACATTGCAATTAATCCAGCACCGACGACAACAATTCAACCACAAACACAAGGATTCTTCATTGCTCAATCAGCTGATGAAGTAAAACGGTATGTTTAACTGTTGCTAAGAATTTTCATTTATTACTCAATTTAGCTTAGTTTGCTTGTATTTTCAAATAATGTAAAATTATAGAGCATTTTATTGGTGTAAACAATGTCATGAAGATATCATGGATATATCACTTATCAAGAAATGCAAATGTCGAAATTGTAAGTTCCTCTTCTGTAGCATATAAATTTTTTTGAAATTTATTCAGTTATTCATATATTTGTAAAATATGTCAATCATTTATTACAATATCATTCATTGTTATAAATATTTTGCAATATTTCATATATAGTTTATTCATAAAATACTATATGAAAATATTACTAAAAAAATATTTCAAACAATTTCATAGATTATAGTTCATTGTTTCCTACTTCAAAATTTTGCATTTTTCAGTAGCTCTTTTTCGAAAAGGGGCAAAACAAGTGCAGTTATCCAAGCGAATTGGTTAATTTTCAATATAATTTTCAACATTATTAACTCATACAATTGCTGGGAGATCCAATGATTTGTTAATGCTTGACTATATTAAGTAGTAAATTTAATAGCAAATTAATCAGCAATAAAAGAATACGTTTTCAATTACTTACAAAGAAAGCATAAAACGCCGCACACAACGATACGAAAAAGAGCTATCTAAAAACCTTGGGGTAATGTTAGTGGTAAGAAATACTTTGCTTATTTGCTAACTAACATTTTCGTTTCTTTACAGTTCGAACGTTTAATCATATTTGCTTTGCTCTGTAGTTCTTTTTTATATTTCTTTCTTTTTTTTTTTTTTTTTTTTTTTTCATAAGTATATTTTTAGCTCGTGCAACACCAGTGTCAAATGCATCAAATGATACAGCTGTACAATTGCGCAGGCTTGATGAACGGTTAGTTCTGAAAATAAAATTTTTTGAAAAAAAAATTGCTTGAAATATTTAAATATAAGGCTAACAAGAGATAAAAGTAATGAAATAAATTGATTGGCGTTATGATTTTATTCCGGAAAATATTTGAATATGAGATAGGTTTACGCGGTTATATTATAATAAATGGCATTATGATAAATAATCGCATAATTTTATCAATTCAAACATTTAATCACATTTGATTTGTCGTATAATTCTTTTTTAGATTTTTTTCATTTTAAATATAATTTCAACTTGAATTACGAATGCAATGTGGATAATAACAATAAATGCCTATTGTTGCAGGCGTTCATTTGGGCAAAAGAATTCATTGAGTTTACCTCCAGAAAATCGAACCATAGATTTTAGTAAAGAATTTGAGCAACAGGATATGAAATACGATAGTACAGGAATGTTCCACTGGTGTCCGGCAAGAACACTTGAAGAATGTGTTTTGGTGTGTGGAATTACTTATAAATTACATACCTGATAATTGTTTGATAAAGTGATGATTAGATTGAAGTGAAAAATTTAGCTATTCCAACGATGAAAGAAATCATTCTTCTGCACTTTTTTTTTTGTTTAATAAGTTTCAAATTTCTCATCTTAAAATTGTAACTATAAAAAGAAAGAGATGAAGTTAGGAGATATAGGAATACATATAAATACTTTGGAATTGTATATGCGTTTTTTTTTTTCTTTTTTTTTTTTAAAGGATCGCCATCAAGCAGCGATGACAGTACTAAATGGGCATGTGGTCGTTTGTTTATTCGCTGATCGTAATTCACCTTTAATTGGTCTTCGCAATTTTGTCATGCCTCTTCGTGCCTCAAATTTTCATTATCATGAACTTAAGCATGTTGTTATTGTTGGGGACGTGGAGTATTTGAAAAGAGAATGGAAAACTTTATATAATTTACCCAAAATTTCAATTTTGAATGTATGTTTTACATTTTAATTTATCCCCTTAAAATGAAGATATATTATCATATCAATTTCTATTTTGATAAAAGTATTTTTATCTATTCTATGATAATAATGAAAAAAAAAGATAAAGAAAATAGGGAGGGTATTGAAGACTATAGAATTTACTGGAATACATTGTTAAATCCTAGTTAGATATCTAATAACTATTCTACTTATTCTATTTATGCATTACATCTCTAAACGCAAGAATTATATATTTTAGTGTAAGATGATTAAAGAGATATAATTAAATTACTATTACATTTAACTACTTTATTTCCCATTTAAATTCTACCATTTCACTTTTAATGAAAGCCGCATTTCATTGAAATATTCAGCAGAAAAAATTATAAAATCTCATAAAAATTTAAGAATGATAGCATTGTATTCGAAATTCTTATAGTTTAGCATATTACAATTGTTATTATTTTTTATTATTTCAGGGATCACCATTATCACGAGCAGATTTACGAGCAGTAAATATAAATTTATGCGACATGTGTGTCATTGTATCAGCTCGTATACCGAATCCAAATGAAGATCCAACATTAGCCGATAAGGAAGCCATTTTAGCATCACTGAATATTAAAGCTATGCAGGTTTATATTTTCATCATTATCTTATCATTATCAGCATTCTTAACTATTCATAAATTTCAAGATATATAGGCAAAGTTAAGCACAAATGCTTCAAGGGAAACATATTTAAACATTTACTTTAGTCTTTATGTTAATTAACCCAAATATTTCATCTACTATGATCCCTTAATTTACACTTGCCAAGATTTTCATACTGTATTAGGTTCAACTATTTCATCTTTGATCTTAAATTATCACTCCGACTACTTATAAATATGATTTTTAAAGTTGATTAAGTCATCTTTTTTTCTTTTATAGATAGTATTTGGCAGTATAAACTATTATCTACTTTTCATTCAGATTTCCTTCTGATATGATCTTATTTTTTTCTTTAATTTCAAAACATAGAAACATATCATTTTATTTTCAGTTTGATGATACCCTTGGCTTTTATCCGTTACGGCAAACTGGTGGAACCGTGTCACCGCTTGGTAGTCCGCTATCGTTACAAAAGAAAGGCGCACGATTTGGTACCAATGTACCAATGATTACTGAGCTCGGTAAAATTTTGCCTTAAAACATAATTAAAACATTTGTGACCACTAACTCTAACAAGTACAACGAAATATTTTTCCGCCATAAAATTCTAGATGAATTCTAAAATTTTCCTAGAAATCAGTTAATAATTTTTTGTTTTTGTTACTAATTTAATGTGTCTCATTGAAGTTAACGACTCCAACGTACAGTTCCTGGATCAGGATGATGATGATGATCCGGACACCGAGCTCTACCTCACTCAACCTTTTGCCTGTGGCACTGCTTTTGCAATATCTGTCTTGGATTCTCTAATGAGTACTGTAAGTCTTTTCATAGTAGCAAAAAAAAAGTAATACTAGTAGTAATGAAGCAAAGTTTGCTGTAAGAGAAAATTCTGCAAGAAACAAAGCTTAAATGTTGACCGGAAGTATGATGCTAATATTGCAGACTTATTTTAACGATTCTGCTTTGACATTGATTCGAACACTGGTAACAGGTGGCGCTACGCCAGAAATGGAGTTGATATTAGCAGAGGGTGCAGGATTACGAGGTGGATATAGTACACCGGAGACACTGAATAATCGGGATCGATGTAGGATCTCACAACTGGCCCTACAGGATCGACCATTCGAAGGAATTACCGTAACCCGCCTTTTTCTTCTCATTAATTTGAATTTCCCTTATAAATGTAAAGAAGAAAGAAAGATAATTTCAGACGGGTAGCTCCTACGGTCAAATGTTTAGCACTGCACTGAAAAAACACGGACAACTTTGCATCGGACTGTACCGGTTACACGACCAAGCAGCAGTTGATTCTAACAAACGTTATGTCATAACAAATCCACCAGCTGAATTGCGATTGTTATTAAGCGATTATGTATGTAATTTTTGCTTCTACATAAACTTTTTGATTCCATTCACCATTCTTTCTTTATATTGCACCACTAAAATTTTGATCAAGATTATATTAAGAGTAGTATGATATTTGACACATAATGTTATTCTTCAGGTTTATGTATTGGAACAATTTGATCCGGGTTTGGAATACGAACCAAGGAAAAACTTCTTATGACCTATTGTGCTTACCTGTTTTTGTTGTTTCATTTGAAGATGTAGCTCAAAATTATACTACCTGTAACAGCCAATCAGAAAAGAATGTCCCCCGCACTATAAAATAAAATGTGACGTGAGGCTCAGCACTTCTAACAGACATCTATCATACAAACAACAAGCCAATTTTCTACGCTGATTTTGTGCCTGTGGTTAACATGAGAAATCATAAATATATATATTACACAGATAAAATTTGCAATGCAATAAAAATATATACAAATTTACAACATAACAATTGTTGAATGACAAAATATTTAACTGAAATATGTTAGAAGAAAAAACTTTCTCTCCATCACTATTTACCATTGCTCATTTTCATATTACCAACCTTACGCATTGGTTGAATATCTTCATGCAACGTTTCGATCAAAATTTTCAGTTCTTTGTTTCCACCTAGCATATCGATATGCGAAATCAGTAGATCGTGTAACTCTTGTAAACGCTTCAAGGTGTATCTAGAAACGATATTCTAGAAATTACTGGATAGAAGGAAAACTCAGAAAGACGTAAATGCAAGAGTAAATCTCTTAACATAGGACAATATTTACCCAAAGGCTCCTCGTTCTTCTATAATTCGTATGCAGTACTTCTTAACTTCCACATCTTTGGGCCTTTGACGTAATATATCTGAAAGACTGCTTACAAATTAATACCAAAAAAAGTACCAATATAGCTGGCACATCCTACAAACAATCAGGATGTTAAATTCATATCAGGAAAATTCTTATGATTCCAACTAAGATGCTTACTAATAATTTCATCGTCGTTGTATTTTTTGTCAACTGCAACTATAATAGGGAAAGAGAACTTCCCTTCGGTGAGATCCTCAGCAAATGTTTTCTGTTCTGCATAAGTACGAGAACAGAGATTGATGTAATCATCTCTGTAATCATGTAATTGATGCAATCATATATATATTTAAGCAATTAAACAGAATGGAAAAAAAAGAACAGTATATACGTACAAAACATTGAATTCGAAGCAATTACCTGATCTGAAAATAAATGGCTAAATTTTTTATCAACGATTTAAAATCGTACTGTTTTTTTCCAAATAATTCCATTAACTGTACTGTTAGCGCAAACAAACCACCCGTTTCTGAAGAATTAATAAAGAAGAATTAAAGAAATTCAAATCGAATGTTGTAAAATTGCTATTTCCTAACTGACAACTACTCATTTGTAATACATACTTTGCATCGCCATTTGCTCGTACTCCTCCTCAGTTGGACACTGGACTATATCCCGCCAATACAATTCTTTTCCCTGTCCACGATGCAGTTCCAATAACTGTTCTAAATTTTACAGATTGAAGCAAACAGTTAATCTTTTGAACACATTCTTCCTTCTTTGTAAAATGAAGAATGGAACTGTTTCAAAAAATCGAATTCTCTTTATATTTTCGAAATTTAAATCCTAGTTCTGTTCTAAAGCTGCAACAATGAGTTATAGAAAAATTAAAAAGGACAAAAAAATAAAATTTATAGGAACCAGTAAAAATTTCCACAGCTTCAAATTTGCCCAACAATATACACCTAGACAGGGCTGCGAAATATACATAGTTCGCTGTGTTGATCGTACGGGCAATTCCATATATGCTATGTGTTACCGGCAATCCTCGTCTTAGAAGCGAACTGTCCTCGATATCATCAATCCTGAATTCTAATGGAGTCTTTTTAGGTTGTAGAGATAAAACACCTAACTATTTCGACAAATAGGGATTGGTGAATCCTGAGGTAGCTCTGGAGATTTCAAGCAATTGGAGTCATTAACTTTCCATAACCAAGTAACACATTCAGCTTACATCAGTGACGCATTGTGAAGCATTTCGACCACAGTCATGATTGAATCCAGCACCTCCACGTCGACTTGCAACCAAAAATTAAATGCTTTTGCTAATTGGCTTCTCAACTGCTTACCCGGTAACTTCAATATGTACTGATATGGTGCAAGTAATTGCGCTACGTCATCTGCCATCTCGCACAAAAACGAGAGCTGTGTAGAAAACAACTAGAAACCATAAGATGTTACCTTCCTGACATAAAGAAAAATGAGAATGCAAAAGAAAAAGCCCCGAACTTCGAAAGTAAATGAATAACTGATTTAGTGTCATTTGGTCACAAATGGTAAAGATATCCAATAATCGCTGCTCGGTATAAAATTAACAAATGCGTTTGCATTATGAATTTTTATTTACACTATACAGTTAAACCCGACAGGTATAACATGCTAGATCAATATGTTACTGCTGTTTCAATTTCTCGAACATATTCCACACATTTGCTAGGGTCTGTTGGGAAATACTTTTGACATCGAGTCATTATTCTTTTGAAGGCCTGAAATGCGCATGCCAAGTTTTCGAAGTTAGCAGATATTGAATAATAAAAAGGTGTTTCATTGATCGTTCTACCTAACATTCTGGTACAGAGAATTTATGCCTTATTTTATTTATAATTTTTGTTTTTCAGTACGTAGAAAGTACACCATATTGAATTGGACAATAGAATTATGCTTAGCACCTTAATTAAATCATCCTATATTAACCTGTATGTATTTCCGTTGTGTTTCATCATTAAGTACATGGGCAATATTTGAAACGTAGGCTTTCGCTGAGCCAGGCCGCTGATGTAAACCAGACCTTGTCACACCTACAGGCCATGGAGCATTACCTATTGCCATTTCCATGTAAGCATTATTTGCCCTGCAACACAATAAATGAAAATACGGATTTTAATATGAAGACCTGAAGAAAGCTAAAATCCTGTTCATTTACTACCCACATATTTAGCAAACAAACCGGATGTAATCACGATCAATTATGATGAGACGACAAATTTTGATCAAATGTTCTCGGATGTCAGCATTTACATTGTGTTTCTCCAGATTTTTCATTAATGGACGAAGATGTTCCATTGTTTGTTTATGCATCGTTGCTGCTAATTTACCTTCTGCTGATCTGGAATAACAAACTTGATTTTTTTCTGATACCTAAAGTTTGGAAAATAAATAGAAAATAATACAAACTCAACAACCGGTTAGTCGTAAATCTAAAAGACATATGAATTTGCAACTCTAACTACTAGTACGATTTAAATAAATTTTCAGTTTTTTATGGTGACTCTTTCCAAATTCAACTAAAGTAGACGATTCAAAAACATTCGTTTCCTCTAGCTGAAAATACTGAAATAGCAACTAGGCTTAATATCTCAAACCAAGAAAACAAACAAACCATGCTGTTCTTCGTTAAGTGATAATCAGCAGAACTAACAAGTATAAGTATGACATCTCATCAAAAAGCTAACTTTCCGTAAAATCCTATAGTTAAAAAAGAAGAAAAAATGGTATGCCTTTTTTCAACTTCATCGCGAGCATTCAATGCTTTACCCCAGCGAGTTAATATGTAAGAGAAGAATTCACGAATAACATCACAGTCTCTATTAGGATTATCGCCTTCACCCAATAACTCAGCATTAGCTTCTATCCTTTCCCAATTATTATCGCCTGCGGAATTTGGCATAGCAACATCGTGTTTACCTGGAAGCTCTATATAGTTGTAATTCGAACAGCAGTTGAACAAAGACGATGTCTTAAATTGTGTGATCTGAGGTAAGCAAGGCATACACTTAATATATGAATATGCAAGCACGAAGTAAATAAACTGCATATATATCCAGATCCAGAATGCCTTAAATACACTAGTTTGGTGGATAATAAGTATCTATCAATAACCAGATAAACTTTAAAGAAACAAACTTCATTCTATACAGTTTTTTCAGTTTACATGGCATTCGAAGAAAACTAACAATTTTTAATTCAGAACAAAAAATCTCTAATCTAAAGATTTGATCCATACATGAAACATAACACAAATCACTAACCAGCATTGTACTGCTCTCCCTTAATAACTTCTTCAATCAGTTCATGGTCAACCTCTTTCATAGCCGACTGAAAATCATTTTTCCATCCTTCTTTCATATCAGGCTGAAACAAAAACAACAAATAAGCTGATAAAGCATAACTAAACTTTACGTGAATTTAAATGACGTCATGTAACCTGTGCAAACAAGAAGCAAACCACACTAAATAAATGATGATAGCAGACAAATACGCAATAAAAACCAAACACTAACTTGCTCAATTTCAAGTTTACGAAGCCGAGCTCGAGATTCTTGTTCTGTCTCACCAAACAGCGTAATTGGTTGACTCCGACTTCTTAATCTTTTGATGACGTCAACTCGTGGCAAATCAACACAGTCTAATCCCGGTTCAGTAAACATTTCTTTTGTCTGATTCTCGATCCGTGCCAAGCCTCCACTTTTCGCCTATCGGGAAGTATATTAAAGTCGGGATCGGCAAAAAATTAACTGTACAAATCTAGCCCATAAATTTAAGGTTTAATTTACAATATTACGCTTCGTGTCGGGAAAGATCACATATAATTCATAGATCTTAGGAGGCAGACAGACAACGTGAACTTACAGCAGTAACAGGAGTCGGTGCTAGTGGTTTCGCTTGGTGATACTCTCGGTTCTTCTCTTCTCCTTTCTGGAGCAATTGGCTGCGTTTCAAATACTTCTTATTTGGCGCCTACAGAAAACTATAGCAATTTACTTACAACGCAACATATGAAATAAATAAATAAACAAGCAAATAAATACATGTAAGTACATAAATATACACAAATATTATATATTTAGAGTATCACCCGTTTTCGACTTATTTGCCTTCATATCAATAAAATCTTGGCGTACAACATTTTAAAATAACATATTTTGGCAGATATTGTCACTGGCATTAATCATTCTTTAAAGAAACAAAGGAAAAAAAGAAAGAAAAAGAAAAACGACACACTTAACATTTCATCTTATTGAAAGCCAAAAACTTTCACCAGCAAATAAATAAGTAATGATACCTGAATTCCTTCAAACTGCTTTCGTTTACGTTCAATTTCTGCTCTCAAAATATCCATATCTCTCTGAAATTCAGAAAAAAAAACAAAACAAAAGTAATGTGTTTTATTTATGTAACCACCAAAAAACACTATCCAAAGAGCTAGAAAGTGACATTATTCAACAATCTAAGAATAACATCATAACCTGTGTTCCTCTGTCAATCCTGTTATCCATTACATACCATAAATCTCTAGAAAGTGTCCTCAAAACCCCGAAACTCCACGAATCCAACTACGTACAGCTGAGTTAATGTGGAACTTGTCGCAATCCAAACACAAACCCGTCAGAAGATGAGAGAGATATGTGGCGAGGGACGATATATTGTATCGCAATGGTTATATTGACGCCTGTTATCTATCAAATTTCCACACTTTTTCAATAATGTATTACTGCATCTCTCTAAAATAAGGTTATCTTTCGGTTTTTTTATTCCCTCATATATGCTGTCTTTCTTACTCTCATTACTAATTATTTATTTAAGCCAAAAATCAGTTATCTTTCTTTTTTTGTTTTATTACATTGATACTGTCAGAGCTGTTTTACTGTTACATCCGATAGTTCTATAATTTCGTGTTATTCTCATTCATTCATTCATAAACTTTACGTGATTTTGTAATTATGACGTGATTTCGTAATTATTATGTCAGTATTTGTCGCAACATTATAGAGAAGATAAATTAGTGAGAAAAATCATACACATCGCCAATTTATACTTTTCGCTAACTGTTTTTTAATAATGTTTCTCACTTTTTTCTTTTATTTTATGAATGTCAGAAAAGGCAAATTGCGATAAGTAAATGAATGTCGAAATTTGGAAGGAAATGAGGAGTCTTCTAACAAAGGAGTGAAGGATAAAAGCTTCCAAATATATATCTTTTTTTGATTATTATTCAGAAAAATATTCACGGCTTTTTTAGGTATTATCCTAAAATAAATGAATGAAATTATGAATTTTCATTTGCTAAATTCGAATAAAAATTTCACTTAAGCATTTTATTTGTACAAAAATTCACACATATGGTTCATACTTTTTGTTGTGTAAATTACTGTCCTCTGAGGAAAACGTAAATAATTTGAGTGGATGAGGTGTCGTTGGTACAGCATTACGGGTTTGTTACAACAACGACAACAACATTTACAAATACAATTATCAACATGTTATATTAACCTTAACAATATGGTATCTTTTTTCCCCTTTATGTAATTCACTTAACATTTAGCTAATAATGAAACATAATTCATATTTGTTGTCTTTTTCCATAGTTTATAGTAATAGAAAAATGAAGTGGATTTATGTTGATTAATTTTTAGCATCACTTAAGAAGATGTTCAAATGATACCACGAGAGGAAATCTGCATATCTGGTGCCAAAGTGGTTTGCCACTGCTTGAGGTACCATTACCATCGAGGAGAGAAATATGTCAATTTACTCTCAAACCTATTAGCGATACTGTATCTCGGTTTTGCAAAAATATCGAATGCGAAGATAAAGGCATAGAGATTGTGTATGTTTATTCAACAAGTAAGTTTGAATGATCTAAAATTTACGAATTTTGCGACTTGTTATTCAGCATTTTAATGGTTACAGATTTTACGACTTGTTACTCAGCATTTTGCTGGCTGCAATCTTCGATTTTGAAATTATACTTTGCTCTTCGTATTCACTGTGCAAGGTTTTTCGTAACTGCTTCATTCCTCTTTTGTACTTAGTTCTTGTTTTCTTTTTTTGACTGAACTTTAAAAACTTTTAGGTGGTAATAGAATTGCTGGAAGTACTTTATTGAAGCATTTATTGTTACGAGGCAATTTTAGATTACGCATCAATGATTTCATTTATACTGTAGAAGTACCATCTTCAAAAGATGTTATTGCGGTGAGCCTTTTATTTTGTTGTTCATATCTGCAATCAGTGCAGAAATTCTTTGAACTTTTCCCTAACATATGACGTTTTTGTAAGAATATGCAATGAATAATACTGGTTAATTTCTAATGTCAGCTATGAAAACATATGCTAAAGATAATCTATGTATGCAACCAAAATGGTGTATCATTGCTTGAAATACCATTACCGTCTAGAAGAAAAAAAAAATTGTTCAGTTGATCAAGAACCTGTAATCAGTATTTTTTGGTACCAAAGACATAGATTTGCGAGTATTTATAGAAGAGTATGTATTTTCATATTTAATATAAAAGTTTTAAATGCTGAACGATTTGTATAGCATTCAGTAACAGGGAAAACATTAATAAAAGCTATAGAATATTGTGTAATCAGTGGTAAAATTATAGAATATTATGGCGGATGGCGATGTAATGCAGAAATTTGATGGTTTGAGATCAACAATAGCGCCATTATACAGTATCATGAATGTGGAAGTGTATAAAGCATTCCAGGAGCGATTACTTATAGAGGAGTATGAAAATGTAAAAGCAGAACTTAAACCCCTAATTCAAGTTTGTTTGATTTTACGATTTTTTTGAAGTTTTTATTTTTGTAATATTAAGTACTGTTTTCATGGAGCATCGTTTGAATAGTTCCATTAAATCACCCTTTCTGCTCTAAGAACATGCATGTATCATCATCTTAAATATTTGGCACGTATTTGAATGGATTTTAAACATAGCCTTCTTTTTTCATTCAGAGTGACAAATTTCAGGCGAAATTTAAATTTGATGAATTCTGTAGAAAACGTGCGCAACGAATATTATGGTTAACACTAGCAGCAATGGGATTTCAAGCAGGATTTCTTGCTCGGTTGACGTGGTGGGATTATAGCTGGGATGTCATGGAACCTATTACATATTTTGCAACACATGCTACGCTGATTGCATCATTCGCTTATTATTTGTATACCAATCAGGTACTATTTGTTTATACTTTTTTGGAACTGATAAACGATCTTAACTTTCTCTAAATAAAGGGTTCATATAGTTTGTGAAGTCAAGCTTTATTTCATTTCCCTATTGTTTGTATTACGGAATGGTGCAAACTTTTTTCCCAATGATGGATAAGTTCATATTTGATAAAGTAAATCGCAGTGTATCATTTTTCAGTATTACAATCATAATGATCATAAAAAAAGAGCGATCAGCTTGTACTTTCACAAAAAAGCTGCAAAAAGTAATTTTGACATATCCAGGTGAGTTTGCCTGGTCATCCCAAACATCATATAAAATTTCGTTTATAATTTTTAAGTGAAATCAGTTTGTCGCAATTTACATAAAAAGACATGCAAAATGTCTTTATTACAGGTTTAACGAGTTACAAAATGTAGCAAGTTCTATTAAGCATGATCTAAAAAAACTTCGAGATCCTTTGTACCAACATTTGCCTACTGCAAGATTGGCGTCTTTATTACAAGAAAGTGGGAAAGTGCAACCCAGAAGCTTTACAAAAGAACGAAGTTGACCCTAAGCAAATTTTTACTAAACCATTTAGATTTTTACTTCTTACTTCGTTTATATGACATTGTGAGATTGCTTACTGCAAATGAATGGGTGCGTTTTGAAGGTACCTTTGGTTTTTCTTCAGAAGTATGCCATAACCATCTAGAAAGTTGGAATTTGAGCGAAAATCAAGATCACAAGGTTTGGATTTCTATAGAAATATAGCATGGCTATATTTTGATACTTCAGTTAGTGAGCATTTTGTTTTGTAAAAGATAAAAGTTTTCAAAGAAGCAAAATGGAAGTTAAAAGTTCATTTTATTCACAGTGTTTCTTTTCTATGGCATCCTTGTGATATTTAATATTACCTTTATCATATTTCACTTCGTGTATCATTTGCGTATTTTTGCGAGTCAATTCATTAAAAGAGCCTGATTTTCTCTTTGATCTCAATTAAGCTTTTTTGAAAACTAATGTAACTTGGAGATTCTGTATAGCTAATAAAGACTGGTAGGTGCAGCTCAAGTCAGCGAAGTCTAATTTATTGATTCCAGTAAATACATTGATTGTTGTTTTGTGAGAAATTTTGGTTGTTCAACAAATTAACAATGAAAAGTAATTAGTGAATTACGAGTTACAACGCAATTTCATTTATTGTTCTTTGAATTAGATATGGAAAATGAAAATTTGAGGAAAAATTCTAGTTGCCACTTTTATTCTTTATAACGAAAATATTGAATGGTAGAAGTATTATGCATATCCGAAAAATATAAATTTCCGAGCAGCAACCGGATCACTGAGTAGAATTGCTTCCATTTACTCACTTCCTCAATCATTTCATTTATTTTCAATATATTACCTGTTATAAAATATCAGAATAATAGTTGCATCTGAAAATACTATCAGATGTTGCTTCAACACATAAAGCAAATTTGCTAATATCAGAATACATATAAAGCAGAAATTAATGGCATAGCATTCATTAGATATAAGGGATTTGTTGAAAATAATGGAATATGGTCAAAAAATTTAATTAGAATGTGAAGTTAACATGGATTTTCAATCGATAAATCAAGATCAAAGTTTATGTATGTCAAGAAAATTCACTGAAAATCTTGCAATAACAATTTCAGATAGTTTAAGGGAAACTCTTGGCATACAGTTAACTACTAAAAAAAAATCCAGAAGTCATCTAGAAAACTCAGAATTAAACGAGCAGGGCTCACATCCCGCACATGTTCCTCGACGTAATTGTATAACCAAAATTTTCATATAACCGCAACACGAAGAACTATTTCATGCTGGGACAGCTCATAAGATTTCGAGTTTGAGAAAAAGATTTTGAATACCCAAAGAAATAGAATTTTTTTTCAAAATAAAATTAGTTATTTGGAAATTAATGAATTAAAAAGCTTCACTTCACTCATTACAGATAAAAAATTAAGTTTCCATTCAAATCTAAGTTTCAGCGCTTTTTTTACTTACATTCGAAATTTCTGTCAGAAATACGAACGAAATTATAAGATATTTCGATGTAAATGTGCAAATTGCAAACTATTATCATCTGATATATTTGATTTCTTGAATATATTTGAATCAATCATTGACAGAGAAGAATTTCTTCTTCTTGAAAAAAAATTATTATTTAGTCACTTTGATTCGACTCAACCATGAAGTGCACTTTTTTTTTTCCGTTAAAATGGATGATATTTTTGGAAGTCGACTTTTTTCAACATTTTTCAAAAGTGTCGATCCAGCATTTTTCTCTCGAATGATCCCGACAGTTTCAGGATTATGTCGTAACTGACAAGCACTGCGACTATCACAATCACTAAGCAATGGTGGTGAAATAGTATGATTTACATTTTTGCGCTGAAAAAAAAATTCGCCAGTAAAACATCAATGAAATAAGTTATAAATATTGCATAGAAAGTTCAGTACCAGATAAATCTGGGAAAAAATGAAAACAACAAAAAATTTGATCATAACAAAATTAAATGGAATAATGCACAGTTGAGTATAATTATAGAACACTTTTCATTTTTATCATAATTCAAATATTTCCTAGCTAACTTAAATATAAACTTAAATACAAGAAATTTATGAAGCTACCAAATTTTACTGATAATATTTGTCACAGTAAAAAAAAGAAAAAGAAAATCAGAATTTATTACAAAAATTTGTTATTTAAAATGATATAATAAATAAAATAATCGTATCGGATGAAATAACACACCAAATGTGGTAATCTAGATGAATTAATTGCAGCAGATCGTTTCGATATTATTGTTTGTTTTTCCGAACAAAGCTGTTTAGTACTGATAGCACCATAATCTGATGAGCTAGCGTTATTGTGAGAGAGTGGAACATCATATTTTGGTAATTCATTTCCTAAAATATTTTTAAAATATGACATTTTAAAAAATTGTAAAAATCAAATGATTAATATAATTTCAAAACAGAATCGAATACTACTAATTTGTCATATTTAGCCTTTTTTGTAAATTACAAATCACCAAATAAATCCAATGACTCATGACTAATAGTTTGTGGTTCATTTAAATTCGTTCGATGTGTGATCACTGAAGTTGAATATGGACCACGAATCACATTATTGCACACATCTTGTAATGATGAAACAATTGGTCGTGTATGATTGTAATTTATTAATGGATGCAAGCTAAAAATAAATTTTTTTTTTTAAGTTTCATAGGATTGTTTTTTTTAATTTTTTTTTTGCTCTCTTTTTGCATTAATATGATATAATTTCATTTGTTATTCCATTCAAAATTTTAACTTATAATGTGAAGTTCTAATTATGATAAAAGAATTAGTAGTTTTTTAATTTGTTAAAATTAAAATTCTTTAATAGAATCAAAAAAAACGAAGTCAAATAACTGCTTTTTTTTTACATGCATTTCCTTAAAAATTTACCATTTTATTTTTGAATGCATCCAATAATAAAAGCAAAAACAAAAAAAAAATGAAGTACAGAACTAATATAAAATACTTACTTTAGCATGGGAGATGACTTTCCCACATTATTTTCAATTTTTTTAACTAAACAATCACTAAAATGTGGAATATTTCCAGTTGTTAACGTTCCACCTTCCGTTTCCACCAAACTTAAATTAAAAATTAAATTGCATAATGCAGGTTTGAAATTTTTCAAAGAAAAAAAGAAGAAGTCTAAATGATAAACAATATTTGCTAAGGAACTAACTGTAGCTTATCATACTTTAGCATACTTAACAGGATTATAATAGAAAGAATTTTTATAAAATATATATGTGGAATAAAGCATTTACCTAATTGGTCGTCCAGCTGATTGACTTTTGTAATTTTTTCGTGTTTTGTAGATTTTACTGGAAGAATTTCTAAACTGTTCTTCTCGATGTCGTATTGAAGCATCTTTAATCTTTGTTAATTTAATTAGAGCATTATAATTTCTAACATTTCTCTTATTTTTGATAAAGATTTGATGATTACATATTTAGTAGTATTTGCTTAAATTGTTATTTGATATCGGATTGTTCACCTTTTTCTACTGTAATATTAACATTTTGTAAATCATCTCTAATATGTGAACCAGAATTTGAAATGCCAGCGCTTTCAAGATGAGCTTTATTTACTCCCGTAAATTCTGATATTCGAGATAAACCTTGAAAATATATTTTAAACCATGCAATGAAGAAAAAAAAAATGAAATACTGATAGTTTTGCAGTAGTAATAGTAATAACTATGAAATTTATATAATAAATTATGTTCTGAAATAATTTCAAAATAGAGATATGATAGGAACAAGGAAAAAAGAAAGTTTACATCTAGCATAATCGAACAATCGCAAAAATTCATTTTCAATGCTTTGTTCGTTTTTTTCAATTTCTGATTCCATAGCACAAGAATCAGAACGACGATATTTTTGAATTCGTGCTCCATGTAATTTAAATGGTAACAATAAATTCATTTGTGGTTTAATCTAGAAAAGACAGAAAAAATTTTTTTTTCAATTAAACAATTAGTTTAATGATATTTAAAATTTCCCTATACTTCCCTATAATCTTTTAAAATTCATATTAGATATTGAAATCAATTGATATACTATTTTTTGCAATAAATCATCGCCGTGATATGAAGCAGGTCGTATTGGCCGTCGTCGTGTAACTTCATAAAGTTGCAATTTCAATCGTTCCAGCTAAAAATTTTGCTAATGAAAATTAAATAAATAACTCAGAAATTATTAGTAATATCCTACATTATTTTAAATTACAACTTGAAATATTGCAGTACAAATATGCATATATCATATTTCTCATTCCGCTTATAACTTGTACCATATTTTAGTAAAACTTTTAATTACGCATACCTGAGCATGAATTATAAGTAAGGATGATTGCGCATGCATTACTTCAAAATCTGATCGATTAGCATAAATATTCTTCGCAATGTAAGAAGTACGAAGTTGGCCTAACTGAAAAAGAAACACTGTAATTTCCTAGCATCGTAATCGCAATTATTTGAATTTTTTGCTGAAAAAAAAAAAATCCTTTCATGTTTATGTTTAATAATTAAGGATATGATCAAACGGATAAAAGAATAATGATAATCCGGAATAATTTAAAAAATTTGAGTTTTTTAAAAATTAGTTTTAACCAAGAAGTTAATTTTAACCAATTTTATTAGTTAAATAATTTAAAGTCTATTTCAGGTGAAGAATTTAATCGACAAGAATATTTCACATTTATTACATTACCAAATTATTGTTTAAAAGAAAAAAAAAAGTCTTACATATCATTGAAATTCAATTAAAATTAGTCAAGAAAATCAATAAACCTTTCGAACTATGCTAATAGTAAATGAATAGAGTGCATCATATGAAGGCATTATTTCCAGCAATTGACGAATACGTTGATCATAATTGCCAATATCTATAAATTATTCATTTTTATCATTAGATTAAAAATGAAGAAACGAATGATTAAAATAATTATTATCACTTACCTGATCCTTTATCTTGTAACATCGTGAAATTATCGCGTTGCAATCTTTCAATATGTTCTAAACATGATTGATAAGCATTTTGCTCTCGAAATGATTGATTAATAATCTACAAATTTTCTAATTAATATATGATTTAAAAAATTTTAAATTAATATATAATACATAAATAATAAATTTATAAATTATTTTTTTTCAACGAACCGCTTCACCATTTTTCATCATTTCTGCTTTCACTGCTTTAAGTTTATCATCAAAAATTTTTAATTTCTCTTCTACAGTATTAATTGTAGCTGTTGCTTTTGTGATTACACGATCATTAACTGATAATTTTTCCAGTGCTTCATTAAGACGACATCGATTGCGTAATATTCCAATCTAAATGGAAAGAAGAAAAAAAATTAAGTAATAAAATAAAATAAATAAATTGTAATTTTAAAATTTTTAAATAAATTATTACTTGCTTTTGAAGTGTACTCATTTCTGTTCTTAGTTTTGAATGTTCCATCGATTTTTCACGTAATTGTTCAATCAATCGATTATTTCGATTTTTCGTCATTACCAATTCATTTCGTACTATTTCATTCTCATCATGAATTGCTCGATTATCTAAAAACAAATATTATTGCGCTATTTTACTGCATCAGTTAATTAATTAGTACATCAAATTACTGAGAACAAATCTTAAAGAATAAAATATTTTATGAAAATTTATTGTAATATTTCAAAGGCCAAAATTAATGATGTATAAATGATAAGGATAATTTGTGGGTTCATTCAGTGATTAGATAATCATTGTTTTAATTTTTTATTTTTAGTTAAATTTATGTAAAATTTGATAAGAAAATTAAAAGAAGTTTTCTTCTTTTTTTTTATTTGTTCCAAAATTTTTTTTGTTCAAACTGGATATTTCTCGGTTTAAAAAACGATTTCATTGTACAATAGATCTGGAACCATTATAACTCGAACAAATGATACTTTTTGGAGCGCTATTTGACCGCCCATGATGATCATTATCACTCTCTTCACTGACTGTTGTTGAATTCTTATCATGAGAGTTTTTTTTATTTTCTTGTTCCTTCTTAAATTATATTTTCATTACTGTTTTATTCATTAATATTATTTCCTTATTGTAGAAAAAGATTAAAAGAAAATTTTATATTTAAATAATTTTATTCTTAATTAAATGTATAAAAATTAAATTTCTTGAAAAATTGAATTTACATGTTGACGTTGAATATGATATTGTTTAGGTGCTTGAAGTAACGAATGTTTATTATCATACGATTCATCATGTGCGGCGCTTTTGTCAGTTGCTATGCTATTCTTACTTGTCATCGAGGAAAGACTCCATTTATCTTAATTAAAACTATACATATTTCAAACATTTTAAAAGACAAAAAAGAAAAGGAAAAAAAAAAAGGAGAAAAAGAAAAGAATAGAAAGAATTCCGATATATCGTTGGCTTTCAGATGAAAACGTACGATAAGTAAGGATGATCACGTTTCTTTCATCTTTTCATCATCATTAAGACTATCGCAAATGTCCGGATAATTACCACTTGGTGTGTTATTGTCACTGGAATGAACTGAACTACTTTCGCTAATTTTGCGTTTTCGTTTCTTTAATATTGCTTTACATGTTATTGTTTCTTTTTTCGATTCAATTGATTTTTCTTTCTTCTTTTTTAAACCAATTATTTCGAAGAAACCTGATCGACCTGGTACTGAAATTATGATCAATTATTAGTGTTACTTTTTTTTTTCTGTTTTCACAATAATAAGTCAAAAACCAAAAGATAAAAATCATAAAACAAAGAAAAAGGAAAAAAAGATGAAAAGAGAAAATAAATAATTCACAACATTTAAGTTTATAAACAAAGAAATGATTGATATACGAACTATCAATAATTACATAAATTTAGCTCTCTCCATTACAGTTTCATTATTCACGATATAAATTTACTATTCATGAATGCATTTAAGCCCAATTATTCCTTAAAAGTGTAATGATAAAATAATAGCACAAGATTTGAAATGAAATTTCAATATTTTAAATGAAAATTTTCAATATAATTTAAAAATTCCTACCCATATTTTCGGAGTGATCACGAGATGATGCTGATGATATACTTGTTCGTTTTGACAATGATGATATCTTGGAACGTCTCATCACGGCGCGACCACTACGTACGTCATTAATCCCATTTCCGTAATTTGGTAATGCAACCTAAATGAACAGAATATTAGAAATTTAAAAACAAAAAAGGAATTACGAAAAATACTAAAGATTACGTTTTTTTTTTTTTTTTTTTTTTAATGACTTTTTGTAAACTACGATTTTGGTTTTTTTTTTTTTTTTTTTTCAATTTTTACAACAATACTTGAAATATAAAGCTAACTTACATATTTTGAAATCAATTCAATCCGGAAAGGAAAATAATGAAATGCATGACAACAACTTGTCACGAGCTTATCACCTTGTAATTTCCACTATTTCCTGTTATCAATTGAAGTACAATAAGCTACTAACTTCTGTAAAAATAGAATGCTCTGCATCAGAATCAGACAATTCTGGCAAAACTGTTGGTGGCACAGGAATTTGACGCGTTGGTGTCAATGTTGTACGAAGTGGATCTGATACATCCGAAGAAATATCAGTTGAATAGGAACTTGTTGTTAGATTCTCCTAAAATTAAAAATTAAATTACTTTCTAAGAAACCTTAAATTAAATGAATATAAGTGAGTTACTTTAAGTTTATTACAATCTAATAGCATTGTGATTCCTAAATGTGATAAGCTATTGAATTTGTATAACCTTTCCACTAATTATTTTTATTTTTTTTTTAGTTTCAAAAAAAAAAAAAAGAAAAAACGCAGTAAAAAAAGAAAAAGGAAATATTAATATTAATGAACAACAAACATCGATACAACTGATAATGTCACAAAACGAAATTTTAACAAAATACAGCAAAATGATTTATCAAATGTGATACAAATGCTTCAATTTCTTTTAAAGTCAAAAATCATTGAAAAATTTTTTAAAATTGAGTTTTTGCACATAGATATATCAACAAAATAGATGAAAGATGGATGGAATGATGAATGAATGAATGAATGAATGAATGAATGAATGAATGAATGAATGAAATGAATGAATAAATGAGATGAATGAATGAATGAATGAAATGAATGAATGAATGAATGAAATGAATGAATGAATGAATGAAATGAATGAATGAATGAATGAAATGAATGAATGAATGAATGAAATGAATGAATGAATGAAATGAATGAATGAATGAATGAATGAATGAATGAAATGAATGAATGAAATGAATGAATGAATGAATGAATGAAATGAATGAATGAAATGAATGAATGAAATGAATGAATGAATGAAATGAATGAATGAAATGAATGAATGAATGAATGAAATGAATGAATGAAATGAATGAATGAATGAATGAAATGAATGAATGAATGAATGAATGAAATGAATGAATGAATGAATGAATGAAATGAATGAAATGAATGAATGAATGAATGAATGAAATGAATGAATGAATGAATGAATGAAATGAATGAATGAAATGAATGAAATGAATGAAATGAATGAAATGAATGAAATGAATGAATGAATGAATGAATGAATGAAATGAATGAATGAATGAATGAATGAAATGAATGAATGAATGAATGAATGAATGAAATGAATGAATGAATGAATGAATGAAATGAATGAATGAATGAATGAATGAATGAAATGAATGAATGAATGAAATGAAATGAATGAATGAATGAATGAAATGAATGAATGAATGAATGAAATGAATGAATGAATGAAATGAATGAATGAATGAATGAAATGAATGAATGAATGAATGAATGAATGAAATGAATGAATGAATGAATGAATGAAATGAATGAATGAATGAATGAATGAATGAAATGAATGAATGAATGAATGAATGAAATGAATGAATGAATGAATGAAATGAATGAATGAATGAATGAAATGAATGAATGAATGAATGAAATGGAATGAATGAATGAATGAATGAATGAATGAAATGAATGAATAATGAATGAAATGAATGAATGAATGAATGAAATGAATGAATGAATGAATGAAATGAATGAATGAATGAATGAAATGAATGAATGAATGAATGAAATGAATGAATGAATGAATGAAATGAATGAATGAATGAATGAATGAAATGAATGAATGAATGAATGAAATGAATGAATGAATGAATGAATGAATGAATGAATGAATGAAATGAATGAATGAATGAATGAAATGAATGAATGAATGAATGAAATGAATGAATGAATGAATGAATGAATGAAATGAATGAATGAATGAATGAAATGAATGAATGAATGAATGAATGAAATGAATGAATGAATGAATGAATGAAATGAATGAATGAATGAATGAAATGAATGAATGAATGAATGAAATGAATGAATGAATGAATGAAATGAATGAATGAATGAATGAAATGAATGAATGAATGAATGAAATGAATGAATGAATGAATGAAATGAATGAATGAATGAATGAATGAAATGAATGAATGAATGAAATGAATGAATGAATGAATGAATGAATGAATGAATGAATGAAATGAATGAATGAATGAATGAATGAAATGAATGAATGAATGAATGAATGAAATGAATGAATGAATGAATGAATGAATGAAATGAATGAAATGAATGAATGAAATGAATGAATGAATGAATGAATGAATGAATGAAATGAATGAATGAATGAATGAATGAATGAATGAATGAATGAATGAATGAATGAAATGAATGAATGAATGAATGAATGAATGAAATGAATGAATGAATGAATGAATGAAATGAATGAATGAATGAATGAATGAAATGAATGAATGAATGAATGAATGAATGAATGAATGAAATGAATGAATGAATGAATGAATGAAATGAATGAATGAATGAATGAATGAAATGAATGAATGAATGAATGAATGAATGAAATGAATGAATGAATGAATGAATGAAATGAATGAATGAATGAATGAATGAAATGAATGAATGAATGAATGAATGAATGAAATGAATGAATGAATGAATGAATGAAATGAATGAATGAATGAATGAATGAAATGAATGAATGAATGAATGAATGAAATGAATGAATGAATGAATGAAATGAATGAATGAATGAATGAATGAAATGAATGAATGAATGAATGAATGAAATGAATGAATGAATGAATGAATGAAATGAATGAATGAATGAATGAATGAAATGAATGAATGAATGAATGAATGAAATGAATGAATGAATGAATGAATGAATGAAATGAATGAATGAATGAATGAATGAAATGAATGAATGAATGAATGAATGAAATGAATGAATGAATGAATGAATGAATGAAATGAATGAATGAATGAATGAAATGAATGAATGAATGAATGAATGAAATGAATGAATGAATGAATGAATGAAATGAATGAATGAATGAATGAAATGAATGAAATGAATGAAATGAATGAATGAATGAATGAATGAATGAAATGAATGAAATGAATGAAATGAATGAAATGAATGAAATGAATGAAATGAATGAAATGAATGAATGAAATGAATGAAATGAATGAAATGAATGAATGAATGAATGAAATGAATGAATGAAATGAATGAAATGAATGAAATGAATGAATGAATGAATGAATGAATGAATGAATGAATGAATGAATGGATGAATGGATGAATGGATGAATGGATGAATGGATGAATGGATGAATGGATGAATGGATGAATGGATGAATGGATGAATGGATGAATGGATGAATGGATGAATGGATGAATGGATGAATGGATGAATGGATGAATGGATGAATGGATGAATGGATGAATGGATGAATGGATGAATGGAATGAATGGATGAATGGATGAATGGATGAATGGATGAATGGATGAATGGATGAATGGATGAATGGATGAATGGATGAATGGATGAATGGATGAATGGATGAATGGATGAATGGATGAATGGATGAATGGATGAATGGGATGAATGGATGAATGGATGAATGGATGAATGGATGAATGGATGAATGGATGAATGAAATGGATGAATGGATGAATGGATGAATGGATGAATGGATGAATGGATGAATGGATGAATGGATGAATGGATGAATGGATGAATGGATGAATGGATGAATGGATGAATGGATGAATGGATGAATGGATGAATGGATGAATGGATGAATGGATGAATGGATGAATGGATGAATGGATGAATGGATGAATGGATGAATGGATGAATGGATGAATGGATGAATGGATGAATGGATGAATGGATGAATGGATGAATGGATGAATGGATGAATGGATGAATGGATGAATGGATGGGATGAATGGATGAATGGATGAATGGATGAATGGATGAATGGATGAATGGATGAATGGATGAATGGATGAATGGATGAATGGATGAATGAATGGATGAATGAATGGATGGATGGATGATGGATGAATGGATGAATGGATGAATGGATGAATGGATGAATGGATGAATGGATGAATGGATGAATGGATGAATGGATGAATGGATGAATGGATGAATGGATGAATGGATGAATGGATGAATGGATGAATGGATGAATGGATGAATGAATGATGATGAATGGATGAATGGATGAATGGATGAATGGATGAATGGATGAATGGATGAATGGATGAATGGATGAATGGATGAATGGATGAATGGATGAATGGATGAATGGATGAATGGATGAATGGATGAATGGATGAATGGATGAATGGATGAATGGATGAATGGATGAATGGATGAATGGATGAATGGATGAATGGATGAATGGATGAATGGATGAATGGATGAATGGATGAATGGATGAATGGATGAATGGATGAATGGATGAATGGATGAATGGATGAATGGATGAATGGATGAATGGATGAATGGATGGATGGATGGATGGATGGATGGATGGTTGGGGAAGATTGAAATGTTCATTGGTTGTAATTTTTGTTTCTGTTTCGAAAGAGTATTTCCTGTTTTCAGTTGTACTGTTATCAATCAGCAAATATTCTAAACTTAATTACCAGAAGGGCTTTAAATATTCCTTCGTTACTATGACTAAAAAAAGAAAAAAAAAAACTTTTTTTGTAACAATTGCTAGATATAATATTGCACCATTTAAAATATAATATTAAATTTATGCTATTAAAAATTTCTTTATTTCAATTTAATTTCAAAATCAGAAACAAACAAACAGCAATAAAGAAAATAATTCAAATTCAGTTTTAAATTCAATTAATTTTTACATATAGAATTTAAATGATATTATGCACAATAATAATAATATTATCAATAAATAATAAAGAATAATTAATAATAATAACCACAATAATAATAAAGTATAGGAACTTAACAAAATTAAATATAGTAAAATTAATATTAATAATTTACCTTATATGGTGGTGTTGACAAACGTTCGTGTGCGCCATTTTGTATTTCACATTGTTGAAAAGTTCGTCGTCCCATAATTTTTGGAATAATATTACTTCGTCCTTCCAATATAGCACTAACACGATGAACAACGCTACGTTTTGGCTCAATTATCACGCTAAGCTGATAACGTAATGCTTTATTCTCGCGGCGAAGTTTGCTAATTTCGCCAACCAAGCTACACAATGCTCCTTTAACATTTAAAAATTTAATTATAGTAGAAAAAAGAGAAAGGAAAAAATAGTAAAAATTTTTTGATCATTTGATAAGTTATGATACAATTGTTGTTGAAAATTGTTTACTTAACAATTTAATAATTTAGCGACTAAAAAATTTAATATATCATTTAATCGTTTTTTAATAACAATTTAGTAATGTAATCAATCACAACATATTCAATTATTTTCATGCATTGCTTTGTGCTACTTCTCATATAACTCTATAAAATTGATAAAAATTTTAATTTAATTTTTTTGACAGTTCTTTCTATTTTTCTGTAGTTAATTAATTCTATTGTTTTAATTTTGATAGTAATTTAAAAAAAAAAGAAAAAATCGCAACAAAAAAGTGCAAGAGAGAAAATATGATGGTGAAGGAAAAATAAAAAGGAAAAGAAAAGAAATTTAGGCTACGGTAATTTTAATTTGCTTCATTGTGTAAAATATTTTTGGTAGAATTTCATTTTGTTGAAAAGAAGAAAAATAAAAAAAGTTTTCAAAAACATTTTTCATTATTTTTTTAAAACTTATAAAAATAAAATAGCAAATATTTTCTAAATCTTATTCCACAGGAAAAAAAGATGAATCGATTTTATCAAAAATTACTTATTAATGCTTTTAGATTGGTTTGCATTCCAATTGAATGACAAATGAGAATGTTTACCCATTAATGAAGAATTTCCCAATTTAACTATATTCAACCCCATAAACTTTCCATTAATCCTAGGAAGAAGTAAATTACTTTACCATTTCCTTTCCTTTTTTTTCCTTTTTAAAAAGAAAAGAATAAAAATTTCAAGTCGATGACTTTTTTCATTTAAAAAAATAAAATGTAATGTATTGCAATATACAAATTGAATAACTTTTTTGTTAATGTAATTGAGCTAACAAAAGAAAAATGTTTTTAGTAAAAGCTTTTATTTTGTTGTTTTCATTTTTTCATTTCATTACTTCTACTTTTACTATTACTTTAGGTAATAATTTTTAATATTTTAAAAACAAAATTTCTGTTACAACATTTACGAATTTCTCAATAATTTTTAAAGAATTGCATAAAATAATAATAATAAATTTAGCAAAAACAAAAAATTCTAATGAGAAACACAAAAATTTTATTATTAAACTATTGAGCTAAAAAAAAGTGAGTGATAGAGAAAAGGTTTCCATGTTGAAAATATTTTGAAGAAGTTATATGTCACTTGTAACATATTATCATTTCTATGTTTTTAAAACTTGCATTTGTTAAGTAATTTTTGACTCACTTTTTTCATACTTTGTTCATTTGCTTATTTCTTAATATTATCAAAAAGAGCAACTATTCAAAAAAAAAAAAAAAAAAAAAAAATACAACAATTGATTAATGATACTATCAAATATTTGTATTCAGTTTACAAAATTATAATTGTATTATGCTTTAACTAGTTAGACTAATGCTAACTCTATAACATTATGGTATTTGAAAAAAAAACAGTTTTAAAAAAATGAGAAAAAATTTTAAAAATTTTCAACTTGTTCTATTAACAATTTTATTTAAATAATCTGTTAATAATTTTAATTAAAAAAAAATTTATTCAAAAGTAGTACTGTTACTTTAATTTTCTTCTGCTATTCATTTGACAATTTTACAACTATATGAAAGTTACTAATTATTATATTAATAAAAGATGAAAATAAAAAAATTACTTGGATTGAAATTTTTACTCTTTAATCATTTGCAAATTTATTTCGTTCATATATATTAATTTATGAATTTATAAGTTTATTTTTCCTATTCATTTATTCATATTAAATATTTAAATAAAAAAATCAACAATTAATTTTAAATGATATATTCATCGAAGAAGAAAAAGAGGAAAAAACAGGAAAGAATGGGTAAACCTACCAAGTATTGGAACTTCTTCACTATATGAAGAAGTTCTCCGGGGAATTTGCCTTTGCATTCCTTCCAATTCTCGTAAAAATTCATCTTCCTCACATTCATACCTGTAATTTAGTAATCCACTACACAATAATTCAATTTAGCATTTCTTTTGTAAAATGATATCCTAGCCAATGAAACGAGAAGGAGCAAAGAGAAAGTAGTTAATGAGACTAGCATTTTTATATTTTATCTATTTTAATACGTAAAAAAGCTATTGAATTCATTTAAATTGTTTATTTTGTAAAAGTAAAATAAAATAAAAATGTAATTGTTTTCTCTTTTAAATGGTAATTTTCATTTTGCATTTGCTCTTAAAATTATTTAAAAACAATTAACAAATTTATTGTTGATTTTTTTTCCGAATTCTGACGAATTTGCTTAGTAAAATTAAATTTGGATTCCCAAACGTAAAAAAAATTGTAAATCATTAATAGGATCTCTTTTTTTTTTTTAATCAATCAACCATCCAATTTTCCTTGGTAAAAAAGTAATATTTAAATGATTTCTAACTAAGCGGCCAACATTTACTTATCAATTATAAGAAAAGTATTTAGAACCAGTCATGAAAAGAAAACAAAGAAAAAGAAATGTAAAGAAACGTCTTTTGGTATTATCTGTCATTAATTTTTTTAAACAATAAACAGTTCTTATTGATTTCATATCAAATTTATAAAAAAAAATTTCGTTTTCCTATCGCTTTTGGATTACAATTTTTCAAAGCTAAGAGCAGAATTTATTTTAAATTGTTTTAAGGTTAAATGATGGTATGCCTTAATTTTGCAACTTCCAGATTTTTAATATTAAAAGTTTAAAACTCATCATAAAAAACACAAAAGCACAAAAAAAAAAAATAAAAATATATCCATGACAAATACAAATTGCTAATGCAATATTTTTTTAACTGAAAAAAATTTTTTTGAAATAATAAATTTTTAGCAAAAATAATAAAATTGAAGCAATTTTCCTTTTTTTTTTTCAAAAATAATTTCAACTTTACTTATTGATAACTCATTTATGGCTATTTATAACTTAAAATAACTAATATAATCATGCTATTATATGCCAAAGAAAATTCATAAAAATTATAAAACTTTTAAATAACAAGAAAAAAGTAAAACGAAATAATAAAATTTGAGACATAAAAGATAAAAAATAAAAATGAAGAAACCTGGTGATAATATTTCGTATCACATCATCAGTTGGATTATCATTCATTTTGGATATTCATTACATTTGAACGTATAAATCAGTCATCTTTGCTGTGGAAACAAAATTAGTGATAAACAAAGTGGTTTAACAGTTGGATGGAATAGTTTAATTAAAATTTTCACATAGCTTCCTTTTGCTCTTTCATCTTTTCGTCCTCCACAACAATTATTCTAAATTAATGGAAACTTTTGAATGAAATAGTTTTAAAGTGTACACTTCTCACTGATATACTTTAGAGTGATGGTTAAAAATTTGAAATGACCTGTAATGAAATAAACTGCGTGAAATTTGATCTTTCACCACTCTACCTCTTCTTTCCCCTGCTATCACTGAATTTATTTCTAAAATCTCTTCTTCTACTCTTGTTTCTCTCTTTTTCTTCTTTTAGTCTTTTCTTCGACTTCTCTCTCTTTCTTTCTTCCTCCTCCTCCTCCTCTTCCCTCCTTTCTTCAACTAATTTAACATTTGTTTCATTTCATTCATTCTTCCCTCAGTTATACCAATCTGAATAACATATATATATTTAATTGAACACTTTACAAAATGAAAATTTTCCTCGAAATAATTCGTTAAAAATGAAATTTTTAAACAATTTATTATTTACCATCAATAATTCCTGTTAAATAATTACAAACAAACAAACAACAAAAAAAGCAGGAAGAGAACGAACTGTTTAAAATTTTCCTTCAAAACGAGAAGTTAAAATTCTTCCATTACAATAGGCTGAATTAAATTATGTAAACAATATATAATTTTTTGTATTTGGAATTTTTAAAATTAAATATCATATAAGAATTTTTTGTTGCACTTAAATTATAATAACATTATTTTATTTAAAATTTTTTTCATTATTTAAGATTTCCCTTATTTATTATTAATTTGTTTCTTTAATCTAGCTAAAAAATAGTTTTAGAAATTTTTGGAAGATTTATATCCCCTGCACTTTTATAACAGTGATAAACAAATAAATTAACAATTAACAACTAGATAATATCCATTCGTACTTGAAGTTCTTTGTAAAAATAAAACCTTAAATTACTAAATTTTTACTTTATAATTTTGTACACAACCCAGAAATGTCATCAAAAATATCCTCATGAAAGAAAATTTCATGTTTTCCTTTTTTTCTACCTCACTTTATTTATTTAAAGGTTTTGCTACAGTTATCAGAAAACATTATATTTACTAAAAGTTAGGCTATTTTATAACTTTTATAAATGTCTCACTTTCGATTTTACTTTTTAAATTGCTTTCTTCTTCATCACTATTTTGCTGATCATTTAACTAGCAACTATGTTTTGCTTTGCGCCTTCCTTTTTTTTTTTTTTTTTTTTTTTGCTAAAATTTCATTTTATTTTCAAGCAGCAAAACTTGTGTCAAATTGTTAGAAAAAGTTTGAAAATTTTTAAATTAAAAAAAAAGTTCTAAGCAGTACAGCATGGTTCAAATACCATGAGTGCACTTTAGTAACATTTAGATTAACAGATAACTCATCATCATACTACTGACTTTCAAAATTACTTCCATAAACAACTAGCAATATACGTCACATAAAATGTCAAAAAATGTGATACGTCAGTTAACATAATACGTCAGATAACAGTAAATATCTTCTAGTTTATGCAAATTAATGATTTATCACTTATTTTTTTTAAATAATGAAATTATTATGATATGCATAATATCCAAATATCCATCAGATTTCCAAAAAGAAGTGAAAACAACTGACGAAAAGCTCATAAATGATGTTTACAATAACTAATTGATAAAAAAAAAAAAAAAAAAAAACAAACAAACAAAGAAGGGATTCTACTTAAAATACCTGCTCGTTTGTAATTAATCATTTGGAGGTCAAAAACCAAACAAATATTTGTGAATGAAAGAAAACAAATGCCGGAAAAAAATACGAAAGAATGAATAAAACATGAAAGTTCAAAATTTTTTTAGAAAGAAGAGTTTTTTCCCACTTTTACAAACATAAACAAATAGCATGTAAAATTATCACTTTAAAATATCACATATAATACCATTTTTGTTACCATTTGTTACATAAATATGTTTTCTAATATTTTAACTTTTTTACTCTTTTTAAAATTTCATATTTGATATAATCTAATGAGCAATATATTGAACATCGTATTAAATTGAAGTTAATTTTTTGAATTTTGATGCTATACTGATTTTTTTTCATGCATTTATGAAGTATAATCATAATCATTAAAATAATCAAAATGTATAGCTATTAATTAGCAATTAATTTCATTCAATTAATCATATTTCACATGAAATAATTTATGCTAAAATAACATTTTGGTTTTGCATCGTCTCACTTTAATTATTTAAGTATTGTATTCAATTTAAGAGCAATTCATTCTTTCATAAAATGTTTTATAGCATTTTTGTTGAGTTTATATTCGATAGACATACTTTAACTAACTAATTTTCCTCTTCCGCAATGTAGAAAGATAAAAAGTGTGTATGTGTTTTTTTTAATTCAATCGATTTAATTAATCATTCTTCTTAAATAGCACTTTGAATCTGTAATTACTTCTAATTACAGCAAATTTTCCTGCACGTTATAATTATTGCCTTTACAATGTAATATTTTCCAACCAAATTTTTAATTTATGTGTAAATTTAAGTTTTTTTTTTTGAAGAAAAAGCAAATAATTTAAAAAAAATCAAAACATCCTTATTAAATATCATCTTATTATATATTAAACAAATAAATAACTTTTATTATTTATTTTTGGAATTTTATAACAATCAGAATATAATATACCAAATTGCCGTTGAAATTAAATTTAAATCCTGAAGGTATTATCCATTTTGTCTAATAATTTTTGAATAAGGAAAATGATTTTAATGCCTGCAACGTCATTTTTATGAAAGATTTTTTTCTTTTTTTGATAACACAATACAAAATATGGTGATTTAATTTCAAAAAAAGAGTAAAAATTTCATTTTCTCGATGATTTTCACTCAAAAATTGAGCAATTCATCATCAATGGAGAATGAATGGCTGTTAAAAGGAATGCGACATTTTGGCGGAAATTCTAATTAAATTTATTTTCATAGTTCTTTTTTTCTTTTCTCCACAATTTTCTACTTATCTATCCGTTGTTCACTTCTTGCTACAAGCACTTGAAAATATAACTTAAAATGTGCGTTACACATTCTTTTCATCTTATTACCTTAGCCAGCTTTTTTTTAATTAAAAAATTTTTTTTATTTTAATTCTGCAGCGTTAATTATATGTAACAATGCTATTCTCAGGTATATTATTTACCAAAAAAATTTCTAAATATGTTTTCTAAAATTAGTCATTAATAGAATAAAAGAAAAAAAATGCTTAAAATAAATTGAAAAAAGAGATCCAAAATAAAATAATTTAATCCAATAATATTACAACTGTATAATTTAAATCAATTTTAATGAGTTTAATCTAACATTTAAAAAATCAATTTCATTCTCTATATAGTTGAATTACAAACTTGACGATATTATTTTCCGTATGAATAATAACAAAAACTTGAATTTTAAATCGAAAATGAAATTAATTGAAAAAAGTTAATCTTACAGTTTTTTCATGGTGTTATAAATTTTCTTCTTCTTTTCCGGTTTTTTTCTTTGCGTGTCTCAAATCTATAACAACTTTTACAGAAGATATCGTTTTTTTTTTTTGTTTTTTTAAAACAATTGTCGCTTATGGTTATTGTTTTGTGTAATATAGGCTCTTCTGAGCTAATTTTAAGCTTTTAAGCTTAAGTACACGAAAGACTTAATAATTCAAAAAAGAAAAATTAATTGAATTTACTTGCAAAAAACAAAATTTACATCGTTGAACAAAAAGTTTTTTTCTACTAAAATTATTCTTTCAACACTTTTCCAATATTCTCAAATTTTTATAATTTTTTTCAATTTTTTCTGATATTTTGAAATTTTTAGAAAACAGCAAATTTATTATGAAAATATTTTCTGAAGAAAAAAAAGAGGTGGAAAATAAGCAGACAAAAATTTCATTCATAAATTAAAAAAAAAGTCAAACCAGAAAAAAAATTATAATAATAAATATAAAGTTTTCTGAATTAAAAAAAGGTAATTAAAAAGTAATAACTTTATAAATTCTAATCGAAGCAACAGCTTTCTTATTTTCTTCGTTTTTTCTTTTTTTCTTTTTTTTTTTTCATTTCTCTCTTTGCTCCGTCCATTTTCTTCCTTATTGTCATATTTTTCTGATGTTTTGTGCACTTCGTGTTTGTTGCGCTAACACTTAAATAAAATTGTCTAATCGTTCTAGCTCAATCCAAATTATTAACAATATAATTGCAATTGATTAAAAGAACTGATTAACTGATGTAATAAATAGTTTTAATTCGTTTATTAAAAGAAAAAACCAATTTTCAGGTTCACTTAATTGTTTAATTAACGATGAAATATTCAATGAAATGTTTAAAAAATTTAAATCTCAATGCTCCAACCGATGATTTCTTTTATCAGGTTTATTATCAACATTTATTAAAAATTAAAATTTTCTTTCAGTGGTAGAAAACTTACCTGTTAAAATATTTTACATATATATATATATAAAGAAAAAAAAAGTTATGTAAAATCAAATCTTAAAAAACTATCATGTGGTAACTGATTAATGATATTTGCTCCTATCTAATTCAAATTTAGCATTTTAAAGTATTTTAATTTTTACTGAATTAATATTTTGACAATTTTTTAATACCATTTCTTTCTCATTTAATATATTTCCATTTAAATCACACCGTCAGTGTCAGAATAATTTGGCTATTCTATTTCCCTAATCGAACCAAAAATTAACTTCATTTCCTTGTTTAATTAATTAATAGCATCAGTGCTAAAAAGCATATGCATTAAAATTATTTATTTTTTAAATTGATTGTAATCATTTTTTTTTCAGTTTCAACAATTTATCTACTTTTTCAGTCTTGTTTATCATTTTTCCCTTTCAAAGTATCAAATTACCTATCTTCTTTAAAGTTCAAATGATTCTTTTTCCTTTTTTTATTTAGCCCTTAAATGTTAAATAGGGTTGGCTTTAAATTGAAAACCTTACACCGTGTAATTTGCGTTGTTTAATCATCAGCAATCTGATCAGATTTTATACAAAAATCAAATTAGATTACTTATTTACAAATTACATTCACTTACAAATCGTTAATTTCAAAATTTTTTATACTTCATAATCAAATAAATGGTGGCCTAACAATTGTAATGGTAAAAACTATTCTTTGAGATTATGAAATAAACTTTTTTTTTGCCCTAAAAAACGGCAAAACAACTGAAAACGTAAAAAAAAATTATTTGTTCATCTCAGATATTTATAACTTTTAAATTATTAAATATGATAATCTTTTGAAAAAATTGTGGAATATGAAACACATCAAAATATTAAAGTACTAAAAATATCGTCAAATTTAAAATACTATCAATTAACAATTCAAAAAATTAAAAAAATAAATTTTTTTTCTGTTATTGAATTTGTTTGTACTTCTTCAACAGTTATTACCATATATTGATTAGACTATTTAATTAGTGCAATTTTTATTTCATACATTTGATTATATTTGTATTATTGCAGGAATATAAAGCATTTGAAGATGCAAACCTGAAATATTCGCCATTTTAAGCAAATTTAATTTCACTTTTCATAAATGTTTAGCACTCATTTCTTTTTTCCTTTTCTTTCTTTATCTACAAAAGTTTTCCTTTCCGTTTCAAAAGGGAAAAAGAAAAATATTTTGCACTTTTTACAAATGACGAAAGTAGAAATTATCATTTCACGGAAATGTTTTTTTTTTTTTTTTTTGGGGGGGGGGGGGGGCATATCATACATTAATAATTAAATTTATGCATTTGTAATAAATTCCGTTTTTAAAAGCTTCCCTGTCCACTTTTTTCTCGTTTAAGGACATTTTTTTTCTTTTCATCAGTTAGAAAATTCAAAAAAAAAAAAAAAAAAAATGGAAAAAGACGGAAAAAAATGAAAAAAAAAAAATTATCGGGAAAAATACAAATTCGTAGAAATTTTTATCTACAAAATGATATTTACTGCATTTTAATTATCAGTAAGTTTCTTTAAAAGACGAAAAAAAGCTGAAATGATAACTATTTTAAAAGAAAAAAATATTTCAAAACCTTTTGATTAAGATTTATGTAATTATTTAAATTTTAACATATATTTCTTTTCATTATCAACAACATTAACTATTTATCAAATAATTCTATGCTAATCTTCGGTTTTCTTTTTACTCCAAATTTGTTAATTTTGAGTTATTTTTTGAGCATATCATTTGCTCAGTAATACATAAAATATTTCTATTCGCATTAGATGCAGAAATAGAAATTAAGATTTTTTCATGCAATCATAAACAGATGTATTCATTTATCTCTGGGGGTTTTTCTGTTTTTTTTTTCCATTTAGTTACATTGACAAAAAAATAAAAAAAAGTAAAATAAATTTAGTTGTCAGTCATGATGAATATGTTTACTCATTGTTTGTGTTGACAAATATCATTCATTTAACTAATTTACAAAAAAGATATACAAATATTATTCAACTAACATTTCAATTTTTACACAACTAGCAAATGACAATAAATCAAATTTCTTTTACCATTTTTCAGAAATTTCAAAAAAATTTTTTAGAAATTAAAAACATTTTATCAAAAAAAGGGAGATCTTTAAAGCTATCAGTTAGTGTAATAAATTGAAAATGAATGAGATATGTTAAAGTTTCTAACAAATAATTTTAATTGTTTAATATGAATAATACCATGAAAAATTTTGCGGATTACATTTTAAATAAAATTTATTATTTGAAAATTTGTCAAATAATATCTATTAGAAGATTAATTTCTAATATTTATTATTTTTTATCTAAACGTTATAAATAAATTAATGGCCAAATGTATGTGAATTAACATTTAAGTATTATATTTAAGCATTTGTTAAAATTACACGTAATTATTATGTGTAATACATTTTATACGCTTAATATATTTGTATTAATATGTTAAAATAATTAATGTAATGGATTAAATAATTTTAGCAAAATAATAATAAGCAATTTATGTATTGATATTATTAAACTGACAACAATTATAATTGGTTGGTTTTATTTATAATTTTGCTAAAGCACTGAAATTTAAACGAATCTTTTTTCACCTTTTTTTATTAAACCTTTTCCATGTCGAGCTTTTTTATTATTTATTTGATAATCGTTTTTTTTTTCTTTAAAATAAATTTGTTGGCTTTAATAAAACATAGAGATGATCCATTTCTATTCTTTCTTCTTTTACCTACTTTTAGTAAAATTTCGGATAGGATAGTTTTAAATTTTAATAAAATTAAACATATTCATTTCTCACATTTTACAGCAAATATTGAATATCACAATTATTTGAAAGTAATATTTTCGAAAGTTTAAGCTAAAGTTTATTTCATCTGCTTTTTTTTGCAAAAATTTTTAAGCTAAAATTTTTTCATACATATTCATACATACATATTGTTAATAACTTTCATCTCTAATTTCAAAAAAAGGAAAAATTTTAAAAAATGATATGTGCGGTAAAATTGATGAATGAAAAAACTGCATGCGATATTTTGAAAAAATATTGTTAATTATTTTAGAATAGTCGGAGAAAAAAGTTTTCATTATGCAGTTATCAGAAAATGATAAAAGTGTGAAAAAAAGACGAATTTATGAAATGGTAACAACAAAGGAGAAAAAAAAAGAATTTAAAACTAATTTTTTGTTTGAGCAACCTTTATCACTGAATCAATTTTGTTATTAAATAATTGATTAAATCATTCATCATAAATGTAAAATTACAACTCACAAATTATTTTCATTTCATTTTTTTCTTTAATTTCGAAGAGAACGAAAAACGAAAGAAAAGAAAAAATATTAATTTTTGCATTAAAACTTATAATTGCAGGAAAAAAAGTTACAAATATTTTAACAAGTTACAGATATTTAAAAAAAAAACCCTGGAGACATTACTAAAATATGCATTCTTTTTTTTATTGACGATTCATTTGATTTGTCAATAAGTGAAGTCTATCTTATGATTAGAAAAAAAGAAAAGTGAAGAAAAATAAAGTGGAAGAAAACGAGAAAATTAATGATCTTTATTTTTCGATCACGAAAATGTGCGAAACATGACAATTTTTGGAGTAAAAGATAAAATAAATCAAAAATTAAAAATATTCCAATCTCCTCTTTTCTTGATATTTCGATTCATTTATAATTCAAAAAACTTTCAAAATATTTTTGAATGCGCAAGAACAAACTGCAAAAAATAATACATTTCACTAGCTGTATAATTCTTGCACCAATTAGTTATTAGCAAGTAAAAAAATCAAATTTCATTCATTTGAAATTTAAAGATTTAGAAACACTGCATTTTAAATATATGAATAAAGTGATAAAAAATATATGAAAAGATTTTCAAACAAACATTATTTCAAAGCAACTATTAAATTCAGGGAATCAATTTTTTCTTCAATCTCATAAATGAAATTTTTGTGCTTTAACATATGAATAATATTGGTTCAAATACAGTACTTTTAGCTATTGATGAGCAAAAAAATTACTTCTTAATCACTCTAAGTACAACTAATTGGAGTAATTAAGAAGCAAGAAATTGTTAATATTATTTCAGACAGCATTTCCAATCCAATTTGCTGTAACAATTATTGGTAATACGTTAACACTATCAGTGCTACTCAAACAAAGTATGAGAAATAGGTAAATGGCATTCTTTATTTGATTTTTCTCTTTTTTCTCATAAATTCAGAATTAAGGATAAACAATTCTGAAAACAAAATGCAAAGAAAAAAAAGTAAGAAAATAAAGCTAAATATTTTTTGGATGAATAATGATATTATATATAAATTATAGAAAATCATGTCTCTTTTGATTAATTTTATTTATCCATTGATCATTAAACATTCGCTTATCATTTTTATCAACCAATAATTTAGAGCAAATCATTTATTGGCAGCATTAGCATTAGCTGATATAGCCGTATTCATCTTTATGCTACCCACAAGTTTATCAGCATCACAACGATTTTATGAAAGCACAACATTTCGCACGATTTTTGCGCATATAAAAACACATTTTGCAGCTTTAGCAAATTGGTTCTCTTGTGCTGCTATATGGTTTGTTTAATAATAAAAATCAAAATCCATATTCGAAATTTTAAATGACTTTAGCAAAATTTGAAGGAAATTCTTAATTCAATTATAGATTTCTCTTTTCACTTTATTTATTTAAATATCCAATAAATTAAGTTTCATATCCTTAAGTTCACATGATATTTGGAAGAAATTCATAATTAGAATGTTTTTTATCTGATTCATTATTCGTTACTTTATTTCAATTTCAATCTACCTCATTTCTTTCTCAGGATTGTACTTGCTGTTTCTGCTGAACGATTATTGATAATCAAATTTCCATTCAGATCACTGAAACAATATCATGTGAGAGCATTTTCAATTTTCCTGTAATTTCTAATTTACATAATAATATTAATAATTAAATGGGTTAAAGGTTTTTTGAAATCAATTTTAATTTAAATTTCAGTAAGATAAAAAAAAATTGCAGTTACATTTTGAAAAAAAAGCATTCAGTCGATAAAAAATACAATACGATACTAATGCAATTAATATTTTTTGATTAATATGCTTTATCGTCAGTTATCATTTCTTCTTTTACAGGCAGTGGAATCATTCATTATCGTAACTATAGTATTCGCATTCACATTGATATTAACAGGGTTAATTATTTTGTTCACTACTGTACGACAGATGTACCGTTTACAGTACCCTTATAAGATACTGTAAACGGTACAGTACACCGGGTAGTATAATGTAAAATAAACAATAGTTATTTAAGTTTACCGGCAAACTAATTATTCTTTAGCATCTTCAATAAATTTTTATTAATCAGTTGTGTATTAGATGTTCTGATTTATCATGTACTTTTTCATAAACTGTATGAAGTGATAAAAATACAACAATGCAAATGATATCATAAATTGAATAGTGAAATATAATTTGACTGAATACTTGTAATAAAATAAATGAACAATTTTTAGCTATCATCATTTTTCTTATCGTTGTGCTGTTCTATGGGTATGCAATATGACACAGGTATATGTGAAATGTTTACCGGTAACCTGGAATTGGACGGAATTTGGTTTAGTACCATATTATCAACCATCCAATCAATTTATTTTTTACATCAATATAAGTGTTATTGCAAATGCTTTTATTGGTGTTATCATTCCTGTATTTATTGTTGCTTTTCTTAATGTATACTTAATTCGTTTGCTACAAATTCGAACACAAAAGGTATTATTTACAATTATTTTTAAATGTTGTGTTTAAATTTTTTTTTAAAAAAAAGAGCAAATGAAATGATTTCAAAAAATGAACTAAATGGTTTTTTTTTTTATTTATTTGATTCAAATTTATAATGAATTATAATGCAAGGAATGACTGATGTTTGATATTGCTAACAAATTTAAGTTTACAATTTTGTTGAAATAAAAAAAAAGAATTCAAAAAAATAGATTTTAAAAATCAAATAAAATTAAAATTATCGAGAGACAATGTATTTGAGTAAATTTCTATCATTTTATCACGATTTTACTCTGCCACGAACAAAATAATATAACAAGTATGGAAATAAAAATTGAAAAAAAATGAAGATAATATTTATCCAAAATCATCTTCACTTTTCAAAATAAAGTAAAAATTGGGTAAACTTTAAAAAAGGACATATAAATATTATATTAATTAAAAATTGATTGATGAAGGAAAGAAATTTTGGGCAAACTATTAAAATTCTAATATCCAGCTATATTACCATACATCATCTGATTGTTTAATGGATATGTCATTCAATAGTAAAGTAATTGATTGGATTCATTTCTTGGAATAAGGACCTTTTTCTACATTTAATTGAAAATTCTGAGGTTTTATGATAAGTTATCTTATATGTATTCATCTTATGTCAGTAGTGGGGAATATCCAATTTTCATTCCTTAATGCCTGAAATTATCAAAAATTTATTCCAACATATTTCAATCTTATCATTATTATTTCATTACGACAAACAAAGTTTGAAATAGATTTAATGCTATTTTTTTTAGCACTGTGCTTTACGATAGCAATATTTGTAGACCAAAAATAAGAAATATTTCTTGGATCGATATACGATAGCAACATTTGCAGGCTAAAAACGAAGAAGCATCTCTTGGGCCAGCATCGGGGAATTTTTGCGAACAAGAGCGGAAAATGACAATAACAATTGCAGCAATAGTATCATGCTTTACTATAACACAGTTACCGTCTGCAATATTATTCCTTTACGAAAAAATAATTAGTGATGCAAAGACGGAAACATTTGCTAAAATATCTTGTATTACTAATTCTTTGGTACTTACTGGGAAAATGTTGAATGTTGTTTTATTCTGCTTAACGAGTGCTACTTTCAGGTAAACCACAATTATAGCATTATTCATTTTGTATTTTAAATCAGCACAGATTGATGACTAAATTCATAGATTTGAAATCATTTTAATTTTAACTTTTTAATTTTTATTTTAATGATATAAAATAATAAAGTGTAAAGAATTGCTTTTATTCATGATTTAGATTCAGCTTCTGACTAACAGTTACTTTCTTTATTTATCATTTTGTTTTATCCATTTTAGAGAGGGAAAGAAAAGGAAGGAGAGAGGGGAAAAAAGAAAGAAAAAGGGAAAGGGAGAAAACATATTGGAGAGCAACATTTAATAATTTTTCATCGCATTTTAGGCGGAAGTTATTTTCCACCATACGTATTTGGTATCGAAAGTGCACTTGTCGGCAAAAGAAATATTTACGCCATATTAATAATCTTAATCGTTCAGCTACTCAAAAGTCATCACTTTTTAGTACGATATCATTTCAAAATCAGAAATCTCATAGGTACTCCAATAATCGGGGTTGGTCCTTGACAAAAGTGAATGATAAAAGTGAATTCATACCTGTGACAAATCGCCGTTGATAGTTTTAGCATCTTTCATGGTTACAATTAATGATTACCATAACAAACCTCTACTTAATTAATTGTATCAAATATTAGTCTACATGTTAAAAGTAAAAAAATGTATTAAAAAAAGAAAAATTTCATTTCGTCTATTAATGTCGTTCTTTTTTTTCTCGAAAAAAAAAAACATCACAGCCGTTTCAAATCTAAAAAAAAGAGAAAAAAATTTCACTTATCATTTAAATTGATGAATAAAGATAAATTGTCGTAAAACTTCGGAAAAAAAAATGAATGAAAAATGAGAAAATTTTTTTTCGTTTGAAATTTTAATAATCTCTCTCATTGTTTTCTTAACCCATTCAAAAGAAAGTGACGATAATTTATCGTCATATTAATCGATCATCATTTGCCAGAAACAAATTGAAATGAATAATGATAAATAAATGATGTCAATTCAGGTTTTTTTCCGAGGTTTTTTTCTGTTTTAAACAATATGAATAAACAAGATTAATTAATTTGAAGTAAATAAAAACAAATGATAAATGTTGAAAATGTTAGCTAATTCATCTGATTATCAATTCGTAATAGTAAATGAAATAAATCGAAATAATCTTTTCCTTTTCCCTCTTCACTCTTTTTTCATCTTTATCATTTCTTCCACTTCTCTTCATACAACCCATCTTTTCCCTCTTCACTCTTTTTTCATCTTTATCATTTCTTCCACTTCTCTTCATACAACCCATCTTTTCCCTCTTCACTCTTTTTTCATCTTTATCATTTCTTCCACTTCTCTTCATACAACCCATCTTTTTCCCGTTCTTCATACATCCTCAAGTCTACAAATGTCTTTTCTTTTTCCTTTCCCTTCCATCCCTCTCTTTTCAATTCATTTTCAACTGCATTTTGCAAATAAAAAGAATTTTTACGAATTCACAAATTAATAATGAAATAATTCCCAAAAAATAAAAAGTAAGAACGAGAAAAAAAAGTCGAGAGTTTTTTTTCTATTTTAATCAATGTTAAGTTTCAAGAAAAAAATTGAATAAAAAATTTCAATCAAAAGAACCTTCAGTTCAACAATGAAAGAAATTTCTTTTTCTCTATAAAATGTTTCCACATTTTTTCTAAATTATATTAATTGTATGGAAACTAAAAATCGTATCAAATAGATACTCAAAATATCATTGAATTTGTTATTTTCATCTAATCTTTCAAATTTTTAACTTAAATATTCCCGCATATGATTTATCCTTTTTCCTTCTTTCTTCTCTTTTTTCCCATTATTAATATCTTTTTCCAATATCATTTGCAAAAATTTTTATTATTGTTATCAAGTATGAAATATTTTTCATCCACATTGTTTCATATGAAAAATAAAATCACAAATATTGCTACTACTATTTCCTCCCTTTTCTTCTCTTGCTCTCCCTTTTCCTTGAATTAATACCTCTTTTTCATTTAAATTATTTATTTGATAAAATAAAACTTAAATGAACTTCACTACTTTTAGTAAATTATATTAAAATCTTTGGATATGAAAAACTACACCCACTGATTAACTTATCATTTGTAATTGTTTTCCATGAGCAATAAATTTACTTATCCATAAATTATCAAAAAAAAAAAAAAAATCATGATAACAATCTTTTTACGCTATTGTTTTTTTTTCTCTCTCTCTGTGTGTGTTCTTTCCTTCCTTTATTTCTCATCAAGTTAATATTTTTTTCGATTACGATAATTAAATTTATCAAAATTAAAAGAATTGAAATTACCAAATGATTTCTTTATAATAGTTAATAGAGAAAGATATTATCATTTCAAATAATTTTTGTTCAATTCAAATGATTATTTTATATCAGTGGATTGGGATGTAAGCTTCATATGGTACAAAAGTACGAATGAAGTTATTAATTTAAAAATTTTGAATAAGTTATCAAATCACTACATTTCATAAAATTTCCTCAAAATTTCTTCATTGTTTTTTATTTTTATTTATTTACTTTTCTTTTTGTAGTAACACTTTGTCATGAATAGTGCAGATTATTGTCGTTATATGGAAGAAATTTCTTGTTAAAAAAATTTTATTTAATGTTTTTCATTTTTATTGCCAATGCTTTTGTATATTTGTATTAATTATGTAATTAAAATTGAACTATTAGTTATGGGTTATTTTTTTTTCCTTACTATACTGAAAGAAACAACTCAAATAATTATTACAAAAATTTTCAATACTATTTGAATTATACTAAAAGTAGGAATAACAAACAAATTTAAAAAATCGATAAGTAAAATTTTGTTCGTTGCTACCGACAGTTAAGTGATAAGGCATATATAATATATTGAAAAAATTTAAATTGTGTCAAAATTTAACAAAAAAAAAGAAAAAAATGGGAAGATTGATTTCAATTGAGTATATATAATTGTTGTGAAAGAATTGGTTTTAATTGATAAGTGTAACAAAATTTTGCTAAATTACCAACTTGTACATTGATTCATACTATCATAACTGTATAAGCTAACTGATGAAAGTAAATGATGAATGAATGTGAAATCAGGAAAGCAAGAAACAAAAAAAAAAAGTGAAAATAATGAATGGAAAAGGTGAAATATCGAAATGAATTAATATGAAAATGACGTTCTAATGTGAATAAAAAAATGTAAATTAAACCAGTTTTATCAACTGAGAAATAATTCCACCATATTTAACTGATAATAATTGGATTGTTAGATTTTTGCTAATTTGTTGATTTATTGTTAAATATATGCTAGAGCTGTGTAATATAAGTGTATACAATAACAAATAATACTTTATTTAATGACTTATTTGCATCATTTATAATTATTTTTTCTTTTTTGAAAGAAAAAAAAAAGTTCTATGGGAATAGCTTTTGTTGCGTAATTATTAAATAATACATTAAATATAATGTATTTTTATCATTTATAATCTTTTAATTCAATTCTGACTTAAATTTCTTTTTTTTGCAATATAATAAATTTTAACCTATTTTTGTATAGTTGCTTTTATTTTTTAATCTTCGATGCTTGTTGAATTACAAATGATTATTTAGAGAGAGAAGGGCAGAGGGAGAAAGCAAGATGAAAATTTTGAAAGAAAATAATAGTACACAAAAGAAAGAGAAAATGAACAGGTTATTTTCATTTATGACAAATTAGTGATCAATTTATTTCATATTAACTACTCCGATATTTGAGTTGTAATATGTCATTGTTATAAATATGATTGAATGCAACAAGTGCGAGCTATTGTCATGTTACTTTACTAATATATTTTTTGTTATTTTATTTGTTCAATAAGATTTTTTTGTTAATTATTGCGAATCTTTAGAAGTTTTTCTCTGATCTTTGCACTTTTCATTCATTCATTCATTTCATAAATATTAATAATGTTGAAAAAAACACATTAAAATTTTATAATATTTATGAGTTAGTTTTGACCAAATAAATTTTTATAATTATTACTATATTAGAAACTTTTATATCCACTTCTCTTTTCTTTCCATCAGATATACCGTTATCATTATTAGTATTATTATCAGCAATATCAGAAATTGTACTTCTTCGTTTTACTGCATGCATATTATCGTTATCAACAATATTATCATCATCTATACCGGATATCAATGATCGTTTATTGAAGATATTATTATCATTATCATAATCGCTATCCATACCGGAAACTGGTGCCCCCTTTTTTTCCTGGACATGTTATCACCATTATCACCAACGGCATCAGAAATTGTTGTCCTCTTTTCTGCATCAAATACATTTATATATGCATTTTATCCCTTTTTTTCTTTCGAAATATTTTGTTAATACAATTTTTGCAATCAGTCGTAATGAAACTTTTTAATTTGTAAAATTTTTTGGTATTTTTGATATAAAGATTAAATTTTTCAGAACAATAATTATAAGTTAGGGTACTAATTTCATAATTTTTAAATCTTCAAAATTCTTTATTGCTATTCTGTCCTAATGAGAAAACTTGATATAATTAGTAATAATAATCATTAATTACTACTACTAATAATAATGATAATAGTAAAATAAATAGTAAGCATCTAATAGGTTTAACAGCTATCTGAATGAGCATTCAATAAATTGTTCTGACAACTTTCTGTTATAAATAATAAATTTGCTTGTGCGAAAAAGAAAGAATTCATCTTTTTTTTTTCAGCAAAATTTAAAATAGTGAATTTAATTAGAATAATTTTTAAATTTTTCAAATAATATATGTATTTAATTCTTTTAATATTCCTTAATTTTTTACACTTAGCGATAATACTTACAACTTATTTTTTAAATGCTATAAAATAAATTATTTCAAAAAAATTCCATCATTTCACTAATAAATCACATCTCAAGGGTTTTTTTTAAAGTCATATGTGACATTCGTTTTTTTAAATTTGTTCTTAAAAGTTTTTTGCTTAGATCTTTCTTATTGAAGTTCAGATTTGAAATTTATATACTGAAGATTTCGAATTAGATACATAAATTTGAAAACTTTTATAGCACAATTTTTTTTTTTAAAAAAAAATAAAACATTCTAACACTAAATATTTGTTGCAATAAATCAAATAATTCAACACTATTTTTCACGTGCAGAATTTTCATACAATTATACTTATCTTATGTTTTTCGTCTTTTTTTTTTCTTAATTTTTTTTTTTTGATTTCATCATTTTAGTCTTGATTAAATATTAAATTTTTATTTGTCACTATCATAAGTTATGTCTATTGTTACGCAAATTTTGCTTCACTGACACGATATGCATTAACGATAAGCGAAATTTAATTATTATCATATTCATCATATGTATATTTGTTATTTTATTTTAGAACTCATACTTTAAAATATTGAAAATGAATGTAAAAATAATAAATATTTGATTAAATTAATTTAGTGCTAATGATTAAAAAAATAAATAAATAAAATAAAATGAATTTAGCTATGACTTCTACAAATAATTCGAGTGGCACTGATAATAATCAAAAAGTTAGCATTCATTTGCAGTTTTGCTACTTTTCTTTTTTTTTCTTTCTTTGGAAAAAAATTTATTAGCAAAAAATATTTTTGTATTTTAAATTGTAAATCAAATCAAATTGAATTTTCGGAAGTAATTTGTATATTTTAATTGTTGAAATATTTGAAGTATGAAGAAAGTATACGCCAAGCAAATGATGCATTACGAGATTTGATGGAGCTTGTCAACATGCCCGATTTCGAGGATCATGATGGTTGGAAACAAAAAATTTCGAATAAAAGCGATGTTGTTTATTCAAAACGCTTTAAAATGGGAAAAGTTTTTACTATGAGAGTAATTTTTTTTCTTTAATTTCAAATTCCAAGCATTTTGATTAATTAAGGGGATAACATTAGGAAATTATACAAAATTGTTTAATTTTGAAAGAAGAAAAAAGAAGGGAAATTTTTATCTATAAGAAATAATTATGTGATGAAATTGTTCATTTGTTTGCTTGTTTATTTTTTTCCTTTTTTTTTTCGTCTTATTTTCTTTCAGACTATTTTTAATTTCCCTCTGCAACAAGCATTTGTGGAACATTGGGAAAATTTTATTGATATTACCCATTACAACAAAAATATTTCAAATGTGAAAATTGTTGCTGATCTATCATCTAACACAGATATTGTTTATGTAAATAAATAAATAAATATATTAAATATTTTAAAATTGTTTAGATTAAAAAAAAACGAAAAAACTTTGGATTTTTAAAATAAAAATAACTAAACAAATAGTTTCATTAGAGGGATAAAAAAATGAAACGATCAATAACACTATATATTGATAACGAATTGATAATGAAAAAAAGAAATTAATGTTAAATAATAAAACTAAACATATATAAAAATAAAAACAAATCTTTTTACTTTTTTATTTTGAGTTTTAAATCAAAATTTTTCTTTTTGATCAATTAAAACAATAATATTTTTAGTACGCAATGAATGATATTTCAAGCATTAAGGGACGAGATTTTCTAATGTGTCGCACATTTCGTCGTACTGATAATGAAATTATTGAAGCTGCACGAAGCATTAATCTTCCTGATTTTAAATTTAATCCGCAAAAAATACGGTTAATTGCATTTGAGTGATAAAAAGTTTGATTTTTTTATTATAACATAAATAATTTTAAATTTGTATTGTTCATCTTTCAGAAATTATATTTTTATGCATGTATTTTATCTTCTCAGCAAATTTAAATTACTTATATCTATTACCATAAATTTCATTTTTTATGTTACAAAAGAAAATGAAACAATTTTAATTTAATAATTTCATCGTTAAACATAGTCCTTTTTTTAAATTATCAGTTCTATAATTTATCAAATTTTATCAAATGATAATAACAAATTGTAGTGGACATATCATACTTGGCGGTGGACGTTTTCGAATTCATCCCAAGGATTCCACAAAAACAATTGTTGATTATGTGATGTGTGTGGATTTCAAAAGTCCTGATATACCAAGTGTAATTACGGATGCAACACTCAGTATGCTAATTTTACAAGATGCTGAATCGATACGTAAACAAATTGAACGACTTAAGCATGATGCTGTATAATTTGTACTAAATTTTGTCATATAATTCAAATCATTTATTATATTACTCATCCTATTATTATTTAAATTAAAAATAAACAAGCAAATTTTAGAAAAATAAATTTCTGAATAAAAAAAAGTTTGTTTTTGCAATATTTTATTCCAATATTTGAAATTTATTTAAATATCAAACAAAAAGATTACAACTAATCAATGCGTTGATAGACTATATTTATTTATACATACATATTCTTTTTGTTTATTTATTTATTTAGCTCTAAATTTTTTGATTTAAAACAAAAATGTTTAAATTATGATAAAAAATATTATGAATTAAGCATTCTAAACTGATAAATCACTTATATTCCAGCATTTTAAATTATATTCACTATTTATTTAAACGAAAAAAACAAAGGATATTTTTTAAATTACCTGCTTGTTTTTTTTTTTTTTATCATTTAAAATAATTATCCATTAATTTTTTCTTTTGAATGTTAGATTTGAAAGCATTTTTTTTTCAGCTATTAAATAAAAAACTTATAACATAAAATTATTCATCAAATATATTAACAATATTTGTTAAACATATAACCCAATTATTTGATAATTAATTGCAATGAAAATAATTACAGTCATTATAACTACACTTTATCACTTCTTTTTTGACAATCAGGTATACTACATCAATAAAAATGTTGTTAGTCATCGTTTGTCAGTAAACTCATCATAAAAATGATAAATAATCAAAAAATGATAACAAAGAAACAAATGTAGCATCTAATTTTATTGCTTATATTTCATTGAAGTGATAAATGAAAAATGTTATTAGTCAAATGCAATTAGAGTTTTTTTTCGCCATTTGATTATATGAATTATTGGTTAATTTTAATTTTCAACAATTCTTTAATGAATAATTAAATAATTTCCTTTTATCACTCGTTTTTTTTTTACAGCGAAAAAAATTTTTTTTTGAAAAAGAGAATTTTTTTATTCTTCCAATAAATATATTGGAGTAAGTGTTAAAATGTTAAAATTTCAAAGTAACATTTGTAGAAATTGAATTAATTATCAAATGAGATACGATTTAACAAAATGACAACCATTGTTCTCAGACAGATTTTGTCCAACAATAAAATTCATATATCTAAGTGCATAACATAAATCAATTTAAAATTTTAAAAGATTTTAAATTTAATAAAAAAAGCGCTTTTAATAATTCAAATTTGCATTAATATTTCAAATAAATTTGAAAGAGTCGATTTTTTTTTACTTCTTATCACCTTTTAAATGATTTTGAAATTTAAGCTTTAGTAACCGGTATAAATTGTTTCTAATGAAATCTATTTCGTATTTTAATAAATATTAATTAAAAATAGAAAATCTTTCTCTTGAAAAAAAATTAATAATGAGATTTGTAATATTGATGATTTTTACTAATATTCAATTTATTTTCGGTAATTTCATCCTGATTTTTATCGATTATTGTTAATTAACGAATATTAAAAAAAATACATAAAATTAATCATGTGACATACAATAACTAAAATTGTAATAATAGTTTAAAAAAAATTGAGTTTGAAAAAAAAAGTAAAAAAAAAAAAAATGTTTAATATTAGAAGATATGTGTTAACGGAAAGAAAATAGTTATAAAAGTAAAGAATTATAATTCATTAGTAAATTAATCGTATTCATATCAAATTCTTCTGCTACGTTACAGCATAAAATGATAATACTAATTCATTTCAAAATTTTAAACATTTAATGTTTTTCAAACTTTTGAAAACAAAACCAAAAAAAAAACTCTAATGCAGTTTTTTTCCTTTTCATTTTTTGTAATTTGTTTAGCATTTCAATTACTTTCATCATTATCATTGGTTTACAATCACTTCGTTTTCTTGTCTCTTTAAAAAAAAAAAAAAAAAAAATTATACTGACATTTTGATGTTGACAAAGATCATTTTTCAAAACTTTTTTTTTTTTTTGTAAGTGTCGAAAATGGTTAAATGCTTTGGACTGATTTTAAGAAAAAAAACCTAAAATAAAATTTTAAATAATATTTGTAAAACTTATCTTTTTCTTGAATATTTGTTGTAATGTATTACTCAATAAATGTGGAATAAAAGTTTTAATATAAAATAGCTTGAAATTTAAAATTAAAAATGATAGAAATAATTAATCAGGTAAACTCACGATAGTACTAATAAATAATACAAAAATATTGTCGTTTATTTTTTGCAATTAGCGCATAATATACAATACTATAAATAATGATAAATAAATGAAGTCAAGATCTGATTAATCAAGTGTAAGCTGAAATTGACTGTGAATAATTTGATTAAAATTATACATTATCAAAATTACTAAAGCCAAATTAACAATTTAATAAGACGAATTTTTTTCAAAGAAAAGAAGTGTTATTGAATCAAAAAAATTTTCAAAAATAATGATAATAATAGTAAGAATAATAATAAATAAATGAATAAGTAATAATGAATAAATAAATGAATAAATAATTATATAATAATAGTACCTGTTTAATTAGTATTGCCAGTAAATTATAAATATATTCTGTCCGCTTTATCAGCAATTTTAATTTCACTTTATCATCGGATTTAACGACAACAAATCTTTTATTTGGTGCAAATTAGAAGGAAAAATAGTTCTAATAATTTGTCGAAATTTCTTCTATTATTATCATTGCAGTTAAAGTTGATCAAACGAATGAATTTAGGAAATGTTAGAAATTCCGAAAAATTCTGCTTTCTACTAAATGTTTATTTTATACAAACATAAATGTCAGATAATACAAAGTCGGAAAATGATAAACAAATAACAATGATATGAAATTTTGTAAAATTGAGCGAAAAAAAGAGTCGATTACATTATAATAAATTTTAACAGAGAAAAAATTTGTTGATTTTTGCGTTTGTTTTCGCCTAATTTTCTTATTTTATTTATTTGTTGTTATAATTTATCAGTTTAATTACATTAGCACCGAATATTGAATATTTTATTAATTCTTTTTTTTCCGATTTGTATAAATTTTAGTTTTATCCCGAAAACAGTAACAAAACACAAACAAAGACAATTTTTTTTTTATCTAATGATCAAAAAAAAATCGATTGCAGAAGAAAAAAAAAACTTTTCGTTTATCTATGTAACCATAATAAGTAGATTTTATGGAAAAAGGCGAAAACGAATGAAATGATAAAAAGATTGTCGAAAATTAAATCTTGTTTGTAAATTTGTTTATGTTTTAATATTTTTCAATAAACATCAAAAAACAAATTATTATTCATTTATTTAAACGTTTTTACATTTAATTTATAAAAATTGATGATTGCTTTCCTGAATCAAGTATAGTGAATGTATAAAATAATATAATTAAATTAATTTCATAAAAAAACTTAAAATTGCATAGTTATGAAAAATTTTTTATCTTTGCAGTTATTTATTTGAGAAAAAAAAAGAAGTTTAATGAATTAACAAATGTAATTTGTCAAAATTTTGCAAGCTAATTTTCATTTAAACCTTATTACTGGTATCTTCACGCACAATTTCTTTTAGTATTAACTTATATTATCTATATTTTTTTAATATTAATTTAAATTACCTACCAGTATTACTCATATAAATTTGCAAATTATTTTCAAGGAACGATATTAAATCACACTTCGTGTTTTTCTTTCATTTTGATCTTTTCAATAGTTCCCTAATTATCCAAAAATAGAAAATTTATCATTATCATTTTATCATAATCAGTCAAGAGATCAGGTAGTCGGTTACAATTTCTAACATTTGAAAGAGAGACAGAGACAGAAACAAAGACAAAGACAAAGAGTACATTAAAAAAAATTTTTTTTTAATTATTCAAAAAAAAAAGTTTAAAAAAATGATAAAATGGATTAAAAAATTATTTGATGAATAAATTGACAATAAAATATTGATTACTAGCGTCTATTATCAGTTAAATGTTCCATTGTTTATTTAAATACAATTCTTTCATTTCTGTCACATCTGTTAAATATGATAGCAATCATTTGTCATATCAATAGTTGCATTTGTCAAAGTTGGTACGTTTTTTTTTTTTCTTTTTTTTTGTATAAAATTATGACAAAAGAATACATTAATGAATTGTATTCATAAATGTCATATCAAATAATTGTATCATAAATTTTATATATTAAATAAAATGATTGGAAAATGATAATTTTTGCACTGTTATATGAAAAGAAATTTTTAATACAATACAGGTAATATGTATAAATTTACAATAAATTTAACGCTTTTTTTGTTCATGGAATTTAAAATGGTAAAAGATTATGAAGAATGATAAATTCATTTGTAAATTTGACATTTATCACACACATACACAAAAAAAGAAAAAGGGAAAAAAGAAAAAAATTTACACAATATTTGATGCTTATTGTTAATTTGATGATTTGAATAAATGAAAAAACAAATTGCTTAAAATCTTCTCTTAAATAATTCAAATATTGGCGTACACTTGAGATATTTTTTTAAAAAATTCTTTTTTTTCTTTTTTAAATTAAATATTAAGTAAAAGTTTGATTGAAAAGATGGAAAAATTTTTAGTTCAAAATGTTTTTTTATGCTTATTTAAAATGAATATTTTAAATAAGCATAAAAAAACAAATGCATTAACATTAAAACAGATTGCATAATAAAATATTTCGATTTTTTTCCTTTTCCCTTTTTTTTTTCTAATAGATAAAAGGAATTAATGAATTATGCATACATTTGAAAAAAATATTTCAGTTATTAATCAAAAAAAATTTTTGCTTGATTCATCATCAGAACAAAATATTAATGGAAGAATTTAGAAAATTGATAACTTTTTTTACACTTAAAACAATATAAAGTATGAATGTTAGCATTTTAAGTTCTAAATTTTAAGTAAATATTTCGCGTAAACCAGTACTATTGCGCTGCTTTTTGGTCATATTATTTGTTATCAGTAACGGTAGTTTAGTTCATCGATGGGGTATGTTTTGCTTTCTGAAGAGTATTATTAATTTTTTTTTATTTTTGGTATAAAATTCAGTTTTCTGTCATTAAATCAATTCAGTGAGGTTAATATAATAATAATAATATAAATGGCATTACACATAATCAGAAAAAGAAGGAAGAAAAAATTTTGTAATAAAAATTTATCCTATTTTAAATAAAAAATATTTCAATAATTCTATGGATTATTTTACAAATTGCATTACGTAAACAATAAACCACTTACTTTTTATGGAAAAGATTGACATAATGACACTTTCTTTCATTTCCTCTTCACCCAGTTTTCTTCGAAATAATTTCGGAAAACAAAAACAACAAAAAAAAGCGAAGGACAAAAAAAAAAGTGAGATGATTCAGCTTTAAAATGGAACTTCCTGTCTGAACAAAGTTATGACGTCTATTTCAACTTTTTCATTTTTTTTTTTTTTTTTCATAACAAACGAAGAATAACTTCATGTATTTTTCTTTGCCTTTTTATTCCTTGTTTACCAAACATTTCACACACACGCATTTTGATAATATTCATGAAGCAGAGATGGACACTAAAGTGATAAAAAAAGTGACGAGTGATAGCATTTGTGGATAAGAAATGGCTAACCTTTTCTTTCTCTGTGCATATTTTTGAAAAAAGAAAAAATTAAAAAACGAAGTGAAAAAATAATTCAATAAAAAAAGGAGCAAAACGGGTTTCTTATTCATATACTGCAAAAAAAAAAAAAAAGAAACAGTAGAAATACAGAAGCTTTTATGAAGTTTATCACTTTTGCCTTTTCCTATTTAAATTACAATTTCTCATCAATTCTCTATCGCATTCTCTATCCTTCTAGTATAAATTGTTGGATAATTTAATTAATTATTAATTAGCAGCATTTACGAATATTTCATTGGAAAATTGAAATAGTAAGTTATAAATAAAAATTTATTTGAGTTGGATAATATTAGCTGCTGGAAGAGATTTTTGAATGAAATCTTTCAGTTGATTAAATTAGCAAATAAGCATTAACTGATTGTTTGCCAATTAATAGAATTTCATTTGACATGATGACTGTAACATTGCTGATAGATTTTAAATTAATTCATCAAAATTTCATCATCATTACTGTTGGACATTTTCATTATAAAAGTTTCAATTTTTTTTTTTTGTCCGAAAAATTTTATTGCCAAACGAAAGGGAATAGGTTAAGAAAGAGGAAAATCTGCAGAGAGAATTGTAATTTTAATAGAAAAAGACTAAATTGAATTGATGTAACCAATTACCGATAAGCTTAGATTATTTCTGACTGAGTCAGAAATGTTTTGAATCGTTCAAAAATCTGAATACTGTCTGGAAAAATCAATTAATCATTATTTGCAAAAATGTCTTCGACGTTTGTCGGCTAACCGTTCAAACATCCATTTGTTTGCTTCTTTAATTTTACTTTTCACTCATCAGGCAGACGAAACATTTGTTTTCATTTATTTTTCGTCCACTTTAATTTCATTCTTTCCTCTGTATCATTATTCATATGAATATACTTTTATAGTGAATCTTTTTCCAATTATTTTATCATTGTATTGTAAGTTATTCAGGATATTTTTCTTTTATTTTTTTCGGCAACATTCTTGAGACTTTATTTCTCATCCTTTATCTTCACAAGAACACAAGAAATCCAACAATTTTAATGCAAAAAACAAAGTGTGGAAATTAGGATGAATTGTCTCTCTTCTGTACATTTCTTCAAGTTCCGGAACATATTCAAAAAATTTTACCTAGTTTAGAATCACTCATTTATAGACATCCTGGGAATGATTTATGAGATTTTTTCAACTCTCTAATAGTTGATCAGAAATGTGTTTCAAAATTTTGATAGATTGGAACAAGATGAAATGAGCCAATCATCTTACAAATTCTTTTCAAATGCAATTTCGCTCTATGATACATTCCAGAATTTCTTGTTTCCTGTCGACCTCTTTCTATGTTTGCTTTATTTTCAAAGCAATTTCGAGTGATATCAAAATTTCAGGAAGCAGTGATTTCCAGAATTGCTGCAGTCTGCACAGTTCTAAATATCAGGTAGAGATGAATGAAGGTATAATGGAAAAGACTAAGGTTTAAAAGTTAAACGATGGACAAAGTATAGAGTAAATAAAGTCATGAAAATCTCAAATCTTCAAAATCAAATAACTGCAAATTCAAACAGTCATAGCTTGTTGTAAAACCGAGAGATACCGCAGTTGACAACTCCGACAGCAGCAAAATTTGATCACAGATGATGATGTCGATAACATAGGGCAAAAGTGAGAAAAGCCACATAACTCACAAACGCAAAAATTAGAAATCATGAAGTTAAAAAAAAAAAAAAAATGTGGCAAAAGGGAAAAATTTGAAAATCTGATGTTCGAGAGTTAACTTCACAACAAGTTCCGGAATATCGACTTAGGTTTCATATGCTTTTTTATTTGATTATCTACTCAACGGACAATTTCAAACTTGTCACACTGAAACTCCCCACATACAGCAATACATGAGATGATACCCTTCCACGAATAACTAACAGTCAGTATGATGTAAATATGATTAGAACTAGATTAACTAAACTATGGTTAAAGCTAAGAACAAATGAATTAAACGCATAGTAGTAATCAGATATCTAGATGAAGCTAATAAATAATATGATAATAATATCAAATATCCTAAACAAGTAGAAGAAAACTGGTATAATATCATATTCCTTAGGCTTTACATTTGGATCAATTTAAAGAATAGCACGAAAAAGATTTTGTGAATTAATTCATTACTAAAAGATTAATTAAATCTTTTTAAACAAAAAAAACCATAAAATTTAACAATTATACAAAACTCATTGGTACAATTTTAGAAATCAGTCGAACACTTCTACTAATTATGCTAAAAATAATTAAGCTTTCTTAAAATAATTAATTGATACAAATGACAATTCAAAACTACCAACCGCTATTTACCGGATGGTCTTCCATTGCTTGTCAAAATTTAGTGCGGTATCACATCAAACGGTTTTAAAGTGAGTGAAGCGCATTTGGCTCGTTTCCAAAGATTCTCTTTAAAAGAGTGAGTGGGGGAGAGGCAAAGGAAAGTTTCTGTGATTGGTTTGCGTGGAAAGGCGTTGCCACTGTCAACATATGAAAGTTTTAAAGAAGATTGTGTCAGATACAACTTTTGTTAATCAAAAACCACCTTTTTTTCTTCTCCCTCTCTTTCTTCCTCGCTCTCTTTTTCTTATTTCTTTGCTATCATTAAGCAACTAAAAGGTAATTTTTTTTTTTAACCTTTAGAAATCAATAATAATGTTGATATAGAGGAATGAGGATCGCTGAATGATAATAGGTTATTATAAAATTCTGCCTGCATCATTTGCATCGTTGGTTAGCATTACTTTAATTTTTGTCACCATTTATGGCTGAAAATTCCACTATTTCATTTGATTTTATATCAGATAGTTACATACCCTGGTTAGTCTCTTGGTATTGGTTGATTTTCTAAAGAAAAAAGAAAATAACATTTCAAAAACGAAATGCAGGGTCCAGAACTGTTGATTTTTATCCCTCTTCCTCATCCACCTATATTTTTAGACTTTTTTTGATGAGTCTCATATTGATTAGTCTGAGATTATCCAAGGATTTCTTGAACTGCAGAGATAGAGAAAGGAAAGGAGAAAAAAAGGATTAATGGTCACTCAAATTTCTCAACTACATTAATTAGCACGTTTGATTCATAGAAAATTGTGAAACACACTGACCTCTTTGATCCACATCGTGTGTTATTTGTCGTTTAGTAATTGTAATATAAAGATAATAAGAGGATGGCTGGATTATACAAGATGAGTGTTGCATGATAAATTACGACCTCATCTGTGTGATCTATCCATATTCACACCCTTATGCTCTTTGGATTTTTTTCATTTTTTTTTTTTTTTGATTGCATATCTGATGTGACTTCATATTCCATGGCAGTTACGATGTTTAAAAGTTTTCCGCGATGTAATTTGATCACTCATTTGACCTCGGGTTTATTTCTTTGTTTCTTTAAATTCTTTAAATTCTGTTTCTTTAAACTGTTTTCTTTAAAATCTGAACCTCTTCAGGTTTTTCAGTTCTGGATGATGTTGGTTTAAAAGGAAACATATAGAGCCGGACGTCTTGGGCTCTAACGTTAAGTACTTTCACGTTGTGTGTTTACTGCAGTTGGCCTCCTTGGGGGCGGATCATCTGCATTGATTCGATATAGGAAAGTTTCTAGAGTGGTTAACGTGAGTTTCTGTTGGTTTTCACGTTAACCACTTCCAACAATGGAGGACAAGGAAGCATCAGCAGAATGTCGTAAAACTAATGCGACGCAAGCCGGCTATCGCAAGCGTGTTATGCGTCGAATCAATGAGGATTCACATACTCAAGAACCAGTAGCCAGGTTAGCTGCTGAATATGCTAGTTTATTAGTTTATATTTAACTACTTGTATTTAATACTAACAGTGAACATTTTCCGGTTGGAGTTTTCGTAAACAGGCAAAAATAATTACTGAGTATTTTACGGTTTCCATGATTGCTATTTCGGATAACTCAAAGCCGTCTTAATTATTACCCTGAATGCTTCATGGTTTCTCATCAGCGTAATCCACATCCGAAGTGGTATCACATTTTGAAAATAGGCTTTGTGTTGTAATAATGCAAACTTTTGAAGAAATCTTCCTAATATCTTTTTCATTTTAATTTCCAGAATAAAACACTCGTTTTTACCATATATGATGTAAATATAATTCACTACTTCGGTAATTTTATTCCTGACTTACCGTGAATATAGATGCTCGAAAATTGAGCCAAGAACGGTAACAGTAGCTTGCAACTTTTTCACAATTAACTGGGAATGCTACTGCTAATCTAGGTAAGTGCGTTTAACCTATCGTTGTAATTAAAAGGCCAGAAGGTTCGGTTGATCATGCTTGATCAAACTGTGAATACTGGAAGGGCTAAAGATCTGTACTAATACCATCCACATAGCTAAACGAAAATAATTTGAACAGCGAAGTGGAAGTTGCAGTTATTGCTAAGAATAAGTAATAGAAAAAAATGCTAACCAGTCAGTCTTTGAATATCCATTTCTGTTCTTTTAATAACCAAACATCCCACTTCTGAACAAATTTCAAGAAATACGATTAACGTTGGGCAAAGCAACTTTAAATTTGTACACTATAGGCATCAAACTTTTTTTTTTTTTTTGCGACATAATATATGCCATAGAATTAACAAAGGGATTTTAAAATATTTCCATTGGTTAAATCTTTTCTACTGCGTCAGAAAGAAAAAAAGTCATAAATGGGGACAATTTTTTGTTACAGCCAAGCAGATCCGAATTATTATTTGGATGATTTTCATTTTTTGCTTTTCTAAGAATTCTGGAAATGTCAGCATCACGTTTATAAAGAAATAAGAGTTCAGTGTTCTTCAGTGCTAATTTTCAAGCATTACTTCGCCACAAATAATTGTTGAAATGAATGTTTTGTTTTGAATCCTTGACTTTTCGATTATTGTTTCCCTAAAATTACCCCCAAAAACTGCTCAACTATGATTGGATCAGAACTCATTTGTTGATAATAGTCGTGAACATACATTAAAACATTTCTTAAAATTTGCATAATATGCAAATTTTATCATCAGAATTTCTCCCTTATTAGTCATTAATCATTATTACATAGATGTCTGGAAGATGAAAGGATGTAACAATAGCAATACACATCTTTAAATATGCTTTAACATTAGATTGTTAATGGTCCATTTTTTCTTCTTTGTTATTTTAAGTGCATTTTATACGAGTTTATAACTGTTATGGCTGGCTTACCCGGTCCGAATTGCATTCTTGCCCTATTCAGCCAAAATTCCAGCAATTTTTTGCTGTCTTTGCTCTAGAAGACATGATTAATAATGTGTTTTTTTCACTCATTATATTTTTGATTGAGATTCCTCTTAAACATTCATACTTCACAACCTCTGAGAAAATCAAAACGGGAGAACGTACGTTTTCAGAATCTGATATTTGTTCTTTCTATGAATGAAATAGAAAAATTGACCATCATGTCTTTTCAATGACATGTCCAATAATTTTATCCAGTTATTCCTCTACACAGTTTTTTTTTTTTTTACTAACAATTGCGTGCCTGCTAATCCTAATTCATTTTTTTTTTCTTTTTTGTATGTGCGCTTTATATTTAAAATATATGGATATATACAAATTTTGCCAGTTATGCTTCTGACTTGCTTTTGAAGGCGAAGAAACGATACCAAGCCTCGAACTTTCAATGACAGTGTATTACTGATCAAATTTGTTGAGAAGGTGCAAAAATTAGTCAAGTCTCGTTGATCTTCTGGAAAGTGCACATCGGCAAGTGACATTTTTTGGTTGTTTCGTGGTTGCATGAAATTTAAATTGTTGGACTACATCGCATTTCTATTTAGAGCATAATTCATTAAAAATATCAGTTTGAAGAACTGAATGAATTGAAAATCCGGTTTATAGTGAAAGCTGGTGAGCGTATGATTGCTCTGGAGATTTTGCCTATTCTTATTGATCTTTTAAGGATTATTGTTTCATATTTTACCTCGAACAAATGATGAAGAGCTGTTTAAGTTTAAATGAACACATGGAAGTGAATCTAGAACACTCCTAAACTAGATGCAGTTTTCGGAAGCTCATGGTTTTCTAGAATGCAACATAAAGCGGTATCTGTTATCAACAAAGCAAAATGATAGACGAACTAGAAGTAACAAAATAGTCTATGCAGTCAGGCAGTATTTATAACACCGATAAGAAGCAACACTTCCAAGCTTAATATCGGCTTTATGATGAACACGAGTAATTTGTTTTTGTTTTTTTGATCATGATGACAGCAACAACCACTTCCAATTAATTTAATAGTTTTTATTTCAACTTGATCAAGAATTCAAACCCGCTGGGTATCGTGGTATTCATTTTCTCACAATAATGCTGCGTTGTTTCATTCCTTTTTGTTAAACATTCCACCGGACCCAATATTCATGGTTTAGAGACATAAATAGAAGATATTTTTATATGGTTAGTTAATATTGCTTCTTAGTTATCTTCCCTTGCACTTTCCAAATATCAATTATAGAATCCATATCTTTACTATTTACTATTGAAGGGACCTGATGTCAAGGCTCATTTAGATTAAGCCTATAAAGTGCCAGTTCTAGAGCTAACATTGTCTTTTTATGTATTTATCCATACTTTCTTAAAGTAAGATTAAAATTTAAGCTTAACAGCTTTTATCGCCAGGTAGTGTATTATTAGTCTGTTATTTCAGTTACAAACCTGCATCGCTGATATCATTTTACCTTACTCTTTGAAATGTCCGAGCTATTTTAAAGCCGTGAAGAACTATGGGTTCAAGATCTCTCGTTTTTTTTTTTTTTTCTGCTGAAAGATAACTGTTTTTTCAGGATAACTGTTTTTTCAGGATAACTGTTTTTTCACAAGGTTGTTGCTGCAAGTAGTAAATTTTAACCCTTTCGCCAGTGCTCTCAATTGCATCCATTGCTATGCTAACTTTAACGCTATATGCTCATAAGGATCCTGCTTAGAAAATTACTGTTTAGATCCTCTTCAATCCATGAAGTTATCAGCAATAGCTCTTAAAACTTTTATCATTTTTTTTTTTCATGTTTTAGAATTTAGAATTTTTGAGTGCAATCTTCTCTGATATCCGCAATTACCAAAATCGCTCTACTCAGGCAACAGAAATATGGGCGACAAGAAGTGTTTTAAATTGCACAGTTTAGTTCTTGGTTGTTTATCTTTGCAGTTATTCCGCTGAAACTTTTATACAATAAATAAAGTCATTCGTTTTCCACCTATTTTTTATGTTAGGTGGAATTGATAACCTCCGAATGAAGTCCTGTAGTAATATCCTGAAACATCCCGCTTTTCATTCATGAAGCACAATCTCAACTTTAGCGATTCATTTTTTAAGAAAACCGAATTGAAAAAAAAAAAAAAAAAAAAAAACCGATGAATCGCTAGCTTATCAAATACTCGTATTTTGAAAATATACATTGGGAAAAACAAAACCAAAGGTTGTAAATAGAACTGATGAAATATTATGTGTGCGCATGTGTCTTAGATATTTTATCGAGAAAGCCATTTGGCTATCCATCATGGGCAAATTACTATTCGTTAACATAAGTAACGTCAGTTAAAATTTATTTAGGTTATCGGAATTATCGGAATATTTCATTCTTCAAGCATCTGATTGCTTCCATTTATTTGTATCTTCGTGTTTTATATTAATGTTTGTCTAGTTGTTGTGATGTGTGTGTATTGTCTTTCGTCTTATTTATGATTAGCTAAATTATGATCTTTAAATAGTTTAATATTTAAAGATGATATAATCTTTAAATAATTTGACATAGTTGGTTATTTAAGCGGCAAATGGGTTTATGTAGGGAATTACCTTTTTTTTTTTTTAAAAAAAAAAGTAAAATCTATGAATTCGTTTCAAAATTTTCAAATGTTGCTAGTGATACATGTTTTTCTCGTAAATTCTAGTAATAAGCAGTTACCTGCAATTTTTCTTGTCTTGTCTTAGTGATAAGAATTGTATATGCTCGATGGTCTTGTAGATTCTGCAACACACCATCGAATATTTGTGTTGGGTAGAGCGAGGAATAATTTTGTTTTGTGATCGATGAACTGTTATATATTGCTACTTATGTATTTATTGGCAAGTGGAAAGGAAACTAACCAAACCGATTTTAAAATTAAATTCAATTTTTGATATTTGTTTCCGTATTTTTCATTGTCCAAAAATTGTATCTGTAGAAGTGATGATATATTACTAGTAATATATATACATTGTAATAGAACATATGTGATATTAAACGACATTAAGTCATATATCCCAGTAATGAGAAATATTCTACAGAAATCCCTAACAGTGTTCTATAATGGGAAATAATGATAACTTTCTACCGTTTCCGTATTACTGTGATTTATTTCTTTTTTATTGCATCAAACCATCTGATGACACCATTACATTTTGATGGGTTAATATCTGTTTGAATAATGTAGATTACACTCGAAAATCGCATTCAAAAAATCACATGAAGATAAAATTCAGGGGAAAAATATTGCTTTTCCCGAAATTGGTAAGTGTTTTCATTTGTATGAATAATCAAATGTAATGTTTATTTATCGTCATCTTTTTGGATTTCCATATTTTTGTGCGTGTGTCTGTTATTGGCGGCCACATCCATACGACAGCGCTGATCGTGGTAGTTATTGATGGTTTAATTTAATGAGTATAAGTCCATAATTGTCACTTCCTGTTATTATGTGGAAATTAAGGTGAACTGTCTGAGTATTACTTTTTTTTTTTGCTATTAGTTGCCCAAAGTATGAACTTTGATAATTCGAACTTTTATCCAATCATACAGTTTTATTGCTAGCAAAAATTTGAGCATTCATTTTCTTACTTACTGCTAAGAAATGAACTCAGTTTCATTTTTTCTTGCTTTATTTTTACACTTTTAAATTTGAAAAATCATTGTTCGTTTGTGTGGGTCACTTATATTTTGTCTAGAAGAATTCGATTTTTAAAATTTTAGCTGTTTTTTAACCACTGTTGTTTGTTTTCTAAAAGTTTTCCCTGTAATCTTCGTTGTTCCTGTCATCAGAGAGTGTATATCATTGTTCATTAGCTAGATAGGTTTTTTTTTTTCTTTTTTTCATCTCAGAAAAGTTTAGTACATCCATATATTTCCGAGCAAATCGAAAAGATACCTTTGTCATTATTTTTGTTATTTTTTTTTTCCAAGTTATAAAAATACTGTGAAAGAAATTCAGACTTAAAATTACCAAGATGACTTTAGAATAAAAGTTTGTCTAATTTCTATTAAATCGAAGGCTAATCAGCTTCGATATGATATGGTTAAATATATCAGTTATGCAAGTTTTATGTGAAAGTTGAGTTAAATTTCTTTAAAAGAAAATAGTCCTGCTGGAAAGTGTTCATTGCTGGTATCGTCGATGATATTTAAACCCACATTTATAATATTATATTGGTAGCTGGAATTTGTTGAATTAAATTTTCTTCGAAAGTTAGTTTTTAATTTGGAAGCTTTACAACTTGCAATTTAAGTGGTACCTCAAATTGGCTTTCTGGCGAAGAACGATCACGGCTAGAAGCTGTACAACGGGATTGGCGTCTTTCAAGACCTGCTAAGCCTTACTCAGTTTGTTTTAGCAGCCATTGTGTATTTCTGGACAATGAATATGTTAAGAAAAATTACTTTATATACATATATGCACATAGATAATTGGTGCTTATTCAAATTATTTTTGAAAAATCATTCTTTTAAAAAGGAAGAAAGGAAATTTCAAGTCAGTTGGTTGTTTTTTACAGTCGCTAACTTGTTGCATTATGGACGCTGTTAGTACAGTTTTTCATTTCGGTGTAAAAAAAAGTTGGGACTAGCTGTAACTTGTTCCAGAGAATTTTTTATCTTTTGAGTCATGAAATAATGCGTACAACATGACAATAGAAGAAAGTATAACAAAATGAAATAAAGTGCATGAAAAATAGGTAACCCAATTTAGTAACTAGTAAATATTTCCCATCATAATTATATTATTAGTAATGTTGTATAAAATAGACCTCGTTTTCAAATATTCATTTAATCTATAGTTCATCACAATAATATATATATATATATATATTTTTTTTTTCTCTTTTTCTTGACAATATTTCTTTATGTAAGTGGTGTCTCCATTCAGTGTTTGTTATTTAGAAATATGTAGATTTTGTTTTTGTCTAGCCATGGAGCCGTTATCGGCAACCATCTGTAGACAAGTCATCGAAGCCAGTAGGAATCACCACACGGAAGGACGCAACCGCACATCAACAAATTTCATTTGAACGAAACAGGTTTCATGATATACTTTTTTTCAAAAAATGTATCATATGTAGAAATCATTAAAAAATTCGAGGTTTTTATCTTTAAATAGTAAATGGTTAAACGCTGTAATGGGTGTTGTTCCATCGGTAGCAAGTAAAATTAATGGCTCCCAGAACATGGTGAGACCAAGTATCAAGAACATTCACCACATTTCCAATCAGATCTGATAGATATTTTATGGGTACTGTGGGTTCAAGTGGAGAATATTTTTGTCTTGTTTTCATTTTTACTGTGGTATTATCAAAACGAAAATGAAGTTATTGTTATAGAGTCCCAGCTGTTCCATCACTTACAGTACAATCAAGTTCTCAAGGAAGTGAGAAAAAGATCCATGAAACTGTGAATGAGGAAGATGAAAAGGAGAAAATTGAGGAGAATATTGCAGTGATTTCAAAAACTCCGTCGCCTCTGCCATCACATGAAAGTGAGAAGAAAGATGAAGTATGTATATACATTGTTGTGACCTTATCTCTCTTAATTCAGGAAAATGACGCAGTACTATAAAACTACAGACAGTACCATTTCTTATATTTTGCTTATCAATTTATACTACTAGCTGTTTGACCATCATCTGAATAGTTGCTGTTACATTAAGATTTACATCATTTTTGCCTATAATTAGTTCTTGTTGCACTACCAGTCTTATGGCTCTATGATTTTTTCAGTTTTCAACATTTCAAATTAATTTATAGCTAGCTCGAGCAGAGGAAAAGCAGCGGGAGGTTGTGGATGATGATGCTGATGCGGAGGAGGAGAAGCCTATCGATAAATCGCCAGGTAAAAGTGGATATTTTCCATGCTGAATTTTTGGTTTTTTTTTTTTGCAAATGTTGCAGTTTTGCATTTTTTAAGATGGATGATTATGAAGGAGCTAGCTTCAATGTCGTAGTCCGCAGTTTAGGATGAACTTGACGTGGAAATTTTAAGGTGTAGGGCGTTTACGTTTGGTAGGGGAAATACGTGTTTTGTCAAAGTTGATTCCTCAGTTGCTTTTGCATGAAAATTTTTCGGCAAAATTTGGTTTAGATGGACGATTTTTGAAATTTGACGAAGAGCTAGGACGTGGATCTTTCAAGACTGTTTACCGCGGTTTGGATACAGAAACGGGAGTTGCAGTTGCATGGTGTGAACTTCAAGAGAGTAAGCTGAACAAGGTTAGTTTGTATTTTTGACTGGAGAATGAAAGGAACAAGTCATGGCAGATATTTCCTTTTGCCTGGTTCTTCTGAAATTATTTTTGCATTAAATTTTGGTGGGTTATGTTATATAACTTTTACTGATGAGAAATCTTTTTAAAACTTTAATCCTTTCGTATAGTCGTATGATTTCTTCGCATGCATTGTCTAGGTAAGATGATATATGTTCAGTCACCATGAATTCTTTTGCCAGTTAAAACATTGTTTGCGTTAATGCAATATTTCTAGGTAACTGTTGAAGGCAAGGTTGGTTGATTTTTCGCATCTTTGCTTTAGTTTTGTTCATGGTTTTATGGCGTTAACTTCGAAGCTTATACTGGGACGGCCTTCTGTCAGTTTTTTTTTAGATTTCTCTTTTACAGTTCTTTTACTACTATTGCAGACTTGTTTTTTAAACCAAATAACTGTAGAAGATAATTTGCCTCAAGAAACTATGTATAATTTCAAAAAGATGTTTTATCTAGGCAGAAAGGCAGCGTTTTCGGGAAGAAGCTGAAATGCTGAAAGGCCTACAACATCCCAATATTGTACGCTTCTATGATTATTGGGAAAGGCAAGATCACACTGGTAAAAAGAGGTAATCCTTACTGTTTTTAACATATTTCGGTTGAGCTTGTTTTTGCATTTGTGACGGATAAGTTGCGGAATGCTTACAACAAATCTGTAACAAATGATTTATTTTTATAAATTGTAGTTTATTATGTTGCAAGGCAGTGAGCGTAATGTTGCTCATTTGATTTTAGCATAAACTCGAGAAATAAGTGCATGAAATTTATAAGTTGCGGATTCTTTAAGATGAAAAATGAAGAATTTCATTTGTAGGATGAAGAGAAATTCTGTATCATTGATTCATCACCACGTAGACTGTTTTTTTTTTTTGGTATTTCTCTTCTCATTATACATACAGCAGTATGCTAGCGTAAGTGATGATATTTAGATATATTGTACTGGTGACAGAGTTGATGACATCTGGAACGTTAAAAATGTATCTGAAACGATTCAAACGAATAAATATAAAGGTTAGAGAAAAATGTGTCAGTCGATAATCATCGGGAAGCAAGCGTATTCCTTGTAGTTATTGCTATAGGACTGCATTTGATAAGTTTTTCACTTTTCTTGAAAAATGTTAGGGAAAGTAAAATAAGAGTAAGTATCTTGGTTGCAAATGAAACAAATTAACTTTTTCAGGTGCTGAAATCATGGTGTCGCCAAATTTTGAAGGGACTTTCTTTTCTTCACTCACGTAATCCACCGGTAATTCATAGAGATCTCAAATGTGATAATATCTTTATCACAGGCACAACGGGAAGTGTTAAAATTGGTGATTTGGGATTGGCAACTTTAAAAAATAAGTCTTACGCTAAAAGCGTTATTGGTAAATTTTTTTTTTTTTTTTTTTTTCATTTTATTGCCACAGTTGATCACTGTTCATGAAATTATTAGTGGTTTTATCGTTGAATCTTAAGAATAGGTACTATCTCTATTGATTCCTGATCATCCTTCTGACTAGAAGGATAGCTTTATTATCACTGATGTTTGTCTTGATGAGGCTGTTTTCAGGAACACCAGAATTTATGGCACCTGAAATGTATGAAGAAATGTATGATGAAAGCGTCGATGTGTATGCGTTTGGAATGTGCTTACTGGAAATGGTTACTGGTGAATATCCGTATAGTGAGTGTCAATTTCCTGCTCAAATTTATCGTAAAGTTACTACAGTAAGTTTTTCTGCTCATGATTTGATGTAATCTTCATTTTGTTTCGTTGTATAGCATTGTTTTTCCTGTATGCATCAGAACTTGCATGCTATATTTATTTTAATCCTAATTTGAGAGTACAAGTGTTAATTTCAATCACTTGCCATAAATTTTCATACCGAGTTTATTTTATGTGGCTAGATTTTTGAAGTGACTCTTCGCTCTACTGCAGGGTGTGAAGCCAGAATGCTTCAGCAGAATACCCCAACAGTATCCTGAAATCCGGGAGATAATTGATCGTTGTATACGGGTTCGTCGTGAAGAAAGGTATTAAACTTTTAAAGTATTTTTTTCTCTTTTAAATAAGTTCTTTTAGAAAGTTATCTTGAATTTTCAAGTAGTTGTTCTTTTATTTTACACTCTCGACCAAAGTAGTATTTTTCAGGTCAACTGTGAAACAATTGTTGTCAGATGACTTCTTCACACCAGAAGAGTTAATCGGTATACGAGTTGAAATTAAGAACCGAGATGCTGATCTTAGTGATATTAATTCTGAAGTAATTTACATTTTATGATGTTCAGGATATGCCACCTTATATATTAACATTACGTTGTGGAATTAATCTATTCCTAATTTATTTCACTGGGATTGTAAATATTCTAGATTCAAATGCAGCTGAGAGTGTTTGACGAAAAAAAGCGGAAGCAGTACCGTTTTAAAGAAAATGAAGGGTTGCAGTTTGCTTTCGACATTGAAACTGATAAAGCGGAAGAAGTAGTACAGCAAATGATTGAACAGCAACATATTCCTGAAGAAGATACACGCATGATTACGAAACTTATCAAGGATAAGGTCTGATTGATTATTTTGTGTGTGGAAATTTAATCTTTCACGGTCTTGAAATACCGTTGACATGAAGTTTGTGTCTGCCATGATATGAGTAGTTTTAAAATTTCAGGTTGAAGCGTTCAAGCGTGATCGCGAATTCCGACATGCGGAACTGAAACGTATGCGGGAAGAGGAACAACGCAAACAGGAGGAAGAAGCAATTCGTAATGAAATGCTTCTAAGAGCCAGAGAGAAGGAGCGTATGGTAGGCAGTATAACTTTGAAAACATTTTACTTTAGCAACTTTCAGGTTTCATTTCAGAAATTTTTCCGTGTTTTAAAATTGTTGATTTCACAAAGGTTTTTGCTGTCGTCTGTTATTTCCCTTCGTTATTGCAGCAAAAATTAGATTTGGCTGCTGGTGTTACCGGTTGAAAAGATTTTTCGGAAGGGAAGGAGCCTTGAAATAACTGGTATAAAAATGTGAAATGCGCTTTTGACAAACTAAAATTTTGAGGGTATAGCTGACATTTCAAATAATGATAAACTATTTGTTAACATTTAACAATTATTTGTCTCAGTTTGATAATTATGCATCCTAACATAATCCAGTGGTTCGTTAGCTGATCTTATAGCAGCAAAATACATGACTTTTATATTTTTATATTTCAATAATACGATGGAGATGCATTGACGTTATGAACGTATCTTAAATGAACGTTCAGAATTTTCATTTCATTTAGGAACGCGAGGCAGCTACCGCTTTTGAACAACAGCAACAGTCACAACAACAACCGCAGCAGTTGCAGCAGCAACAGCAACAGCCAATCGGTGCATCGTCGGAAAATGATGATCATCATGATGGCCCCGTGAAATATAAGAAATTAAAGAAAAAAGTTGTAATCGAAGTGCTCCGAATTGTCATGGATGAAACCAATCAGCAGCCAGTGAGCGGTTTTTTTATGAACTTTTTCAAATGAATTTTTTCGAACTCTAGCTTAGAAATATATTTAAATTTGTGAATTCCACTCTAGTGTTACTGAAACTTTATTTGTTTAAGCTTTGTTACTCTAGCTCATACGACTGGCTTTTCATCAAAAAGAATATTTCCATTTATTCACTAATGAAATACTACTTAACATCAAAATTATTCCAGCTGGTCAGCTGCCGTCTTGATACATCGCACAAGACAGTTACGTTTCAGTTTGCACCAGATTCTGATAAGCCATCCGTGATTACGAAGAAATTGGTATATCCTTTGTCTTACCCAGGAAATACAGACAATCAGCTCGTAACTTATCTATATGAAACCAGAATGAGTTTCTGTGTGGGAAAATTAGCAACCTTGCATGTTAGGTGACACATCCTTTGCATATCCTGTAGGATTTTTAGATTGAGATTTTACTACCTCGAACTGTTTGTACGGTGTGTTTCTAATGAAAGAGATAGAATTAAAAAAGGGATTAAACGAAAGAGAAAAAAAAGCTGAAAAAGAAAGAAAAAGGGAACAGAGGAAAAAAGGAGGTACAAAAAAAAAAGCGATAAAGGCAATAAAAAAGCATCACCATCCGTTCATGCTGCAAATTGCTTTTCCCACGGCTCATCATCCGACATTTAAAACTGTGATTTTTGGGTTGTATTTTTGAGTCGCTAAACGGGACAAAGAGTTTCGTGCTCGTCCTTCTACCCATGTTTCTAGTTTAAAGATTTTTTTGGTTTATTTCAGTTAGATCAAGATTGTTTAACGAGTCCGCAAGTAGGAGTTGTTGTGGATCAGCTTGAAAAAATTATCCAGGTTATAATCGATTTCATTTCTAGTATATATATCTTTTCTGAATACTATGATATTTGCAGTTGCAGTCAAATATTAAAACCCTTCCTTATTACTGTTAATATTCATTTCAGATGATTGTTACTGATCCAGTAAAGGCAGTTGGTGTCAAAATTATAAGTTTTGTGGATTTAGCATCAGCAAATGCAGGTGTCGAAACGACAGTGAGTCAGTCGAATATTGCGGCTAATACCATTACTTCTCCAGATGTTTCAGTGGAATCAAACTCAGCCCTAACAGCTACATCTTCTGTGCAGAATTTTCAGGCTGTTCATCCTCTCTCGACACTGACAAATCAGTCGCTTGATCAAACGATGAATTCTACTGCCCCACAATCGGTGAGGGATTTACTCCTTTATCTGGAACTTCTCAAGGCCGTCATGGCTTTCTTTCAAATTTTCTCATGTTTGACATCGAAGTCCATCATGAATATATTATGTGATCGTTTAGAACATCATGCAACACGATAAATTGAAGGAGAGGTATGTACACTGACTGTAATGATGTTTTACTTTGCAGACATCAGACTTGATTTTTTTCAGACAGACATTACCACACCGTTCGTTATTTCAAATGCTTCTATTTTTCAAAGTTCATCTGGAATGGCGCCGTCTCCATCATCTGCAACGCAACAACCTCCAGTTTCAGTTATTTCACATGCAGCTGCATCAATCACAACAACAACTCCTAGTATTGCAAGTTCTGTTTTAACTCCTCCAGTAACATTAGCAATAACAACAGCAGTAACAACATCAACAACAACGTCAACATCAGCAGTAGCAATAACAGTAACAACAGCAACAATTACCGCAACCAAGACATCACGTTTCCTGGTTACCAAATCAACTTTGCCTGTTGATATTAGTAGCTCAAGCGCTCTTCCGTCTCTTAGTTCCAATCTTCAACAACAGGCAGTAAGTGTAAGCATTACTTTTAGTATCATAATACTTCTAATATTTGGTGAATGAAAAAGTATTTTTTTCATCCTTTTAAAATTGTTAAGATTCCTTGAAATAAATGACGGTTAAGATCTGAAAGATAAGCTTCTATTTACTTCCAGTGTTTTTTTTTCTTTTTTTTTTCTAGAACCAGTAGTAGTGTTCTTCCTCGGTAAGATTGTTAGAGTTATGGTTTTTGAATAAACACTCTTCAGTGGTCTCAGTTGTCATTTATCTGGTCTTCAGAAGTTAACTGATAGTGCAGTCTTGTTGGCACAATCTTCTGCAACATCAGCGTCGACTTCCATTCCAATGATAACATCGCTACAGATAGCTGCAGGTTCAGGCGGAATTAATCAAGTCTTACCAGCCATGTCTTCTGTGTCATGTTCATCAGCCAAGTCGTCGGTACCTACAACAGTTAGCGATTTTTTTTGGTTCACTGCTAATTTTAGAGAAAAAAGGTGAAAGAATGAGCTTATGCATTAACAACTGAATGTCAAGCGGTAGGTGAAAACTGTAGTAGAGAGATATTAAGTATTCGAAGTAGATCTGAAAAACTGTAGATTATCATCATCTCTGTAATATTTTCGTGTCTTTTATTGGCTTTAGGTACAAATAGTGCCATTTACTACTATTTCTACTGGCCAAATCACGACGGCAACAGTCAGTCATATGGATAATAGTCTCATTAACGAACCTCAGGCTAGTCAACTGCTTACTTTGCAATGCTGTGCTTCTCAGTTTGATTTCCGGTCATCTATTATTTCTTCAATTCAACAACCCGCCATTGCTGTAACTCTGTTTGTAAAACTGGACTGTTTGAACTCTTCAAATATTCGAAGAAACTTTTTATATTTCTCTAATTGTTTGTACTTCATAATGCTTTTATGCAGTAAGTAGGCATTTGTCAAGTAGTTTAATGTTGTGTTAAGTATTAGTTGTAGCGCCAACTTTTTAATAGGAGTACTACTTTTAAATTTGAAAATTGTTTTGTTTTATCAGCATAGCAATTATTTTATTACTGAAGATTGAAACATACTTAATTTTGAAGGTAAAGGATGCTCCACCAATCGTAATAGCAGTTAGTAATAGTACGTCATCGCCGTCATTTAATCCATCGCTAACTGTGAACGCGTCAGCAACAGTTCTACATCATGTGGCGCGTGGTGAATCACGTACAACGCTCGAGAAGTTGGAAAGTGAGCTTTGTAAAGTAAGCGGCGTAAATCCAGCGAACAACATTCCTAGCGTGACGAATTCAGGATCGGCTCCTCCACCTGATGTTTTTGCAGTTTCTGGAGGTAAAAAGACCCTATCTTTTTTGAATATTCGTCTAGAATTTATTCGGAAAGTAGATAAGATTCGATTTCGTCTTTCGGCGATGATTTTGCCTTGCACGGGTTCTTACCTCTGTTATATATAATGGGCAATGATAACTGCCCTAATAGATTGGTTGTAGTTATTTGAAAAATAAAAGTATTTCATTTTCTTTAGGTTCATTATTCTGTGCATCTTTGCCGCATACGCCGTCCGTTTGTAGCAATTTGACGCATAACTTGACAGATCTAAATGATAAGTTGGTGGCGCTAAGTCAGAAAATGCAGGGCGAACAAATGGAAGAAGTTATTTATCAGAGCAGTGAAACTCTTGCACCATTAACACAAACACAGCAGTCTCCAGCAATCACGCCTAATTTACCTAGTGCTTCGGCAGTGCCACTAGTATCAGCAACACTGCCAAATATTGTTTCTGGAACGATAACACCTGGTAAAACAATCACTACTCCGGAAGCCGGGATTCTTCACGTCGATACACTCAATGAACTTGCTGATGCTCTGCAGAAGGTTATCATTTGTTCTCCCATTATTTGAATTAATGAATGCTTATGGATCATTTTGCTATGAGTTACCTTTCCTTTTCAGGTAATTCATGTTGAACCTCGTGAAACTGGTTCTGTACCACCATCAGGTGTTGATATTGCTAGTCATGTTACATCACTCCCTGTTGAGCATCCATCACCAAATGTAACAGACACACTTCATGCGGGTACCAATTCTAAAGCGAAGGGTGCCGGTTCTAAAGCGAAGGGTACCGGTTCTAAAGCGAAAAGGAAGAAGGTAAGTTATGCCTCGCGAATTTTTAGTATTTATTATTATAGTATCGTATTTATTTTTTGTGAAATATCTTTATCGGTAGCAATCGAGTGTGGAAATTGAAGATATAATTAGAATGAAGTAGAATTCGCTAAGCATAAATTAATGTGTTGTGTACAAAATATTAAACATTAACGTTTTATCATTCTAAACAAAACTTTGGAGTCGAGAAAAACTGAAAGCGCATGTTGTTTCCTTTTTGCATATTTGTTCACTTGCGCTTGAAATGGGCTTATTGTGAAAAATATCTAATAAGTTTTGGTCTATTCATTTCATTTCAGTTTTTTTTTTTTTTTTTTTTGATTAATTATGTAACTAGTGAAGCCATTTTTTTTCTTTGCAGTATTGTAATATTTTAAGCATTCTTTCTTTTGATCGAATTGCTTCATGTGCTTTTCTAGAAAAGCTTCTGTTTAACAATGGCGGCAGCAGTATCGGTTTATAGCTGCAGCCCCCATTACAGTTTTGCTTGAATCTTGTTAGTTGCATCTTTTGAATACCACTATAAATAGACTTCCTGCATTTAGAGTAGGGAATCCAAATATATCTCTTCTTGGACATGAAGCTGAATTAATTCTAAAATAGAGAACAAACTCATTGTTCATTTTTTTTTTTCTTTTTCGAGCAGTTTCATTCATATTCATTTTTTCTATTCCGTTGTGGTGCTCATTAACTTAAAAATTTTTAAATGTATATTTCTTGTTAGTGCAAATTTATACATTTTACTACAGAGAGCTGTGCTTGCCAGTGATACAACAAAGCATACATTGGAAGATATGAGAAATATAAGCAGTGAAGGAGAAGGTGGTGGAGGAGGAGGAAATGCAAAGTTGGAAGATGGGAATCATCTTGGGGTAACATCACCTAATGTTCCAAACAGCGATGAGGCAGTACTAAATATTTCCGCAGTAGCTACCCAAATAAACAACAATACCAATACGGCAACATCAGATGGTGGTGGTACAACAACTAATTCAGCTCCATTAGCGAAATTTGAAAATTTGGAAACAGCACTAACAACAACATTAGGTACACATGGGTGTTGCCCAACCGTACCATATATCTTTAATTCAACCCATCCAAGTTACCGTATCAATAATACTGCAAATGCAGATACTCAACAAACAGAATTGACGCAGGTTTCGTCTATGGATGGAATCCATACATCTCAGCAATCGCCTATTACGATGTCTAGGGTATGTGAAACAACGAAAAGATCGACTGGTGAACTTGCTTCAATGACAGCACCGAAAGGAGCGGTATTTCATGTTGGTACACCACCACCAACGCATTTCAGTGATTCGGCTAGTCAAACAGAGCTGATCAGTACACGTGATCCGTTCGACCATATGTTTAGTCCAACGACGTCTTACAATTCCGACTGTGATTTTCAGGTTTTTTCTCTTTTTCATTTTCATAAATATTGATTTAACAACTCAGTAAAGTTATCACCTTCACTTCTTACTATCATCATCGCTATGTGAAGCATTGTTGTGTCTGCACATCTTGCATTTTCCTGCACTTTCAGTATGGCTGTGTATTTCAGATATTTTGCATATGAGCCATCCATATAATTTATCAGTTTGTTATGTCAGAATGAATATCTGAAACTATTTTAGTTGCTTGATCTATTTTTATAAAAACTGCTTGCAGAATGCACCAGTGTGCTTTTATGGTATATGTATAATTTCATTTGCGCTTCTTTTCTATCTTGTTTTTCTTTTTTTCTTTGGGAATATCTGATGATACTTTCATGCCCTTATATTTGTTGTGGATTTAGGCTCGCGACCAATTTACTTTCTGGTGTTCTGAGGTAATTTTATAGTTTGGAAATTTTTTTTGATCCTAAAAGACTTAGAGGAGAGACATTAATTTTTAATTACCTTTGATAAAAATGGCTCAAAGCGAACGTTATTGTAGATTGTTTTACTATAGGCGCCTCTGAGATAGATTTTTCAACATATTTTTCCAAAATTGGGAAATTCAAATCTTCGTTATATATCATATTAGGCTTGTTTTTACTTTTTAATTGAAAATTTTACCTCGTACGATACAATTTATCATTGAATCTTTTCTCGGAAAATATTATCTTCAGTCAAAAAGTAGTGGCATCATTAAACACCATTCCATTTGAAATGAATACAGTTATAGAGATGCTCTAACACCAAACAAGTAGATGCATGGCTTCTGAAGTAGCAATTTTTCATTAATTTTGAATAAATTTAGGTAAAAAAGTTTACGTGCAAGTCGTAGGGGTCTTTAACCGCTAATCTTTCTTTGTTAATCCCTGCAAGGCTGGAAGTTTTTTTGCTTATAAAAATTCTATTAATATAGCCATTTTCAGTGGAAAACAGGGCTGAAGTATCAGTGATATCCATCTATGTGCTGCTTTCATGCTCTTTCCGACTTCTGTTTGTGGTGTTTATTCTTCTAGAAATTTTACAATTCTTTTTTCTTCGATTTATGTAAAAGGTGTCGAATGCTTGCTAGATCTGAAAAAATCTTTCTTGCATATTTTGTCGTAATTCATTGTAGAATAAGTGATAATAATCTTTCACTTTTCTAAAATTGTCCTTAAGTGATTTCAAGAATCGGAGATTAATCGAAACGGATTAAAAATTGTAATCCCAGGCTTTTTTTTTTTTAAGAAGTATCCCTTTTAGGTAATGGTCATATCTTCTAACAACTGTTGTTCTTAGAAGATATCTAGCGCTATAAACAGTTCTGATATTACAAAAATGTTTTTAAAATAAATAGAGCTATTAAAACATCGACAAATATCTCGTAAGCGGTAATAGTTTTGAATGCAGCTTTTGCACTGAAATTTAGCAAAAATAATTCTGAAGCCACTTAGGACTTCTCCACTGTTTCGCCTTGTGTTGTTTTTATAACTTCCAAGTTCGTTTTAAAATAGTTGCTGTAATGCTTTCACCTCTTGTGTGTGTGTTTGTTTGTTTTTTTTTTTTTTTTTTCAGCTTTTTACTTGCTTGTGATACATGCTTAACTGCAGACTCTAGTGCGCATAGTTGAAATGGTCACTGAAAATGATCGAATCCAACAGCTTCTTCTGGGAATGTTAAAAGTAAAGTTCTACTTTACAGAGCTTATGATTTCGTTGATTATGTTATGTGTTTCTAAAGTACATGGGTCCAAATTTTTGCTTTGTCAGGATTTGCATGATTGCTTACTGCGGCACATACTTCATTACTAACAGATGGTGCACATTCACGCTGAAAATAAGTTATTGTTTGTTGTTTAAATATTTTTGCAGTGTTGAGACACTTTAATTATTTTTAGCTTACTATCTCTCCAAATGAGTCAGCTAAATAAAATGCTGGAATAGAATTGTTTACATTAGTAATTCAAGATTGTAAGATTTACAGTTTATTGAGGTGCATGCATGATATTTTCATTTCATATTACTGCATGATATCCTCACTAAATATGTCTCCATATAGTTGATGCTTATTGAGAAAAGCGGCAAATATAAACAGATAAAAGTTTTTCATAACGAAAATCCCTGGATGAAAATTATGATTTTAAAGTTCGAATTAGATGGGTATGCATGGGAAGCCTTTAATTTTACGTTCTCCCTTTCTCAGCTGTATTTTAGGCAGTGAAAAAAAATTCCAGTTCAGAGGATGGCAAGTAATATCTATTAGAATTCTTTATTTATAAAGAATTTTCCTTTTAGATTATGAAAATACAAAGTTTTTTTTTCATGATGTTAGGTTTTGTTAATTTAAAAAAAATTTTTTTTTCAGTTAGATGAGGAATGTAACGATGAGGAGGATGATCCCATATGTTCGCTTTTACAAAGGTATTCATTTTATGTGAACTGGTTCTCTTCTTTAGATCTTCATCTTTCAGATATTGAGCTAACTGTAGAACTTATGCCGTATTTTGATTATTTTGCAACCATGAATATGAACATATCAATGTGATTTTTCCTTTAACTGACTCTTGTTTGTTGTTATTTCATTATTTTATGTTATTATTTTTATATATTATTTATCTGTACCGAAAAGTGAACAGTTCATTTTAAAGACACAAGCTTGAGATGGAACTATTACGCGAGCGACAGAACCGTGAACTACAGCAAGCACGTTCACGTTTTCGTCATAATCTAAGCAATGGAAATGCATTGTCGACAACAACTGGTGGCTATTTGACTCGTTCCGTCGATAGTACTGGAAGTATCTTACATGGTCCTGTCCACATTCCATATCATCATCCTCTAACCAGTTCGCGTGTTACTTCCCAATTGGCCCTTCCTTCATCGATATCTCTCCCCGGTAGTCCACCACAGCACAGTTTCCTTGGACAACATCTTGCACCGTTAAGAGATACCCTTGTATGTGTTTATTTTATTGTTAGTAGTATTTGTTATGAGACTCGTAATCATCTTTGAATCCAGATATTTATGTTCCTCATATTTTTTCCAGTATAGTTTTTGTTTTCATTCCATCATTCATTTATTCGCTTTTACATTTACTGCAGCCGCGACGATCATGTGCGGCAACATCATTGGTTGAATCTGCTCGTCACACATCAGTTGATGCAGCGTTATCGCGAAGATCAATTCATTACCCTTTGCAAATTAGCAATTATGCAGTTGATCAACATCGCCATTGCTATTGCCATCATCATTATTATAATCAGCAACAGCAACAGGGCAGTAGTAGTTCAGATCATTGTCATTTTTATGGAAGCATTTTATCAAGACAACCAGTAGCAGCAATTATGCATAGAACCAGTGCTATCACTGAGATCGCGCCGTCACTCAATTCCAACATCGAACGTCAGTTGCGTGAAACATTTAGTACACCTCCTCAATAAGGTAGTTTATAGTAATGCTGGACTGTATTGGACTGCTTTATCATTGCTTTTTATTCTTTTATATCTATATGGACGATATTATTATTAATGAATATGTCATGTCGATAAGCTTAACACAACAATCATAGCAATTCTAATATTGAATACAACTGACAAAGACAAGGAATTTGATTTATTGGCTAAAGAAAGTCTCAGTTATTTGTATAAATGAAACATTCAAAAATCCGTGTTTATAAATCTTTTCAACCCTTTTCTTAGATTGCAGTTACATTCATTACATGTTCCATTGCATTAAACAAATGTTAGGTCATACACACTGTTGCTAATACAGTCTTATTTAATAGTTTTATTTATTTTTGATTACATTCGTTTGTTGTCAGATGATGCAAAGCTTTCCCAGTCCATTTTTTTATTTGAAAAAAAAAGAAAATCTTTTTACGAACGAAGTGAGAACATAGTTTGCTGTTGCAGCATTGTATCTTACTCGCACAATCTGTTTTTTTCCTTCCTTTTTAATCCTTCCCGTTCCTCTGACTCAATTATTGGTTAGAATTGGAAAATCTTTTTCTGGTTTGTAGTATAAATTACGAAGTTTATTCAATCGTAAATCATATAAATAAGGTAAAAACACTGCTCAGTTCCACTTTTTACCCATAAATGCATTTCCAAAAAATTCGGGAAATTAAGACTGTTATAAATAGTTTGGTGGCGGTAGTACCGGTTGGGTGGTGCTCATAGTGGTGATAGTGTTGGGAAAGTGGGCAAAATTGATAGACGTAGGCATTCCGAATTTCTTTTGTTCACAAGGATGTGATAAAGTATAGATGAAAGCAATTATTGCTATCATGTTATTAAAATCCATGATTTTTGTTTATTTATTCGTTTCATTCAATTATTCCCTTTCCATTTTTCTTAATTTTGAGCTTTCAGGATAGTTTTAGTGTGATTTTTGTATTTCTTACAAGAAGCAAAGAAAAAAGAAGTCATTGGATAGTTTTGAAAGCTAAGAAAAAGTTTTCAAGAAATTGTTTTGAACACCCTATTCATTTTATTTTCTCTTTTTTTTTTTCATTTGTTGTTGTTGCTTTGGATAACTAGAACTTTGCATCATATGGATATCATTGAATCGGGGTAAATTAAAATTTGGATTTCATATGGCTGTATTTGAATTGTTTGAATAATATGATATTCTTGCGCTTTATATGATTGTAATGCAGCCAAGCTTCGTCGTAATATTCGTAAACATGTCTAAAAAAGCAAAATGAAAAAATGCCAATTGTTTGTTTATTTCTATAAAATTTATAAAGCAGATTTTTCGCTCGTCCTTTCAATTTATACATTTCATCAGGAAAAATTTTTATATTTGAGGAGTTTGAGAGAAAAAGTAAGTTTTGACTAAAGTGATTGCACCAGTTAGCAAAATTTGCTATTGGGTCTGTTTTAACTTTGATAAAAGATTAAGATTGGAGTTTAGAATTAAGGATGACTGATCTAACTTATGAAATGAATAGAAGAAATGCTGAAATCCACATAGTTTAAACTAGAACCTATAATTATAAAAATGATATCTTCATAGATTCCAGTATACACTTCGATCATTATTTTAGTTGTGGTCGTTTTCCGAAATGCATCATTGCGGATGGCCATGGAATGTCATCAGATGAGACAATCGGAATTTCCGTAGTAACCTGTTTTTCCAGTCTGAAGGTTTCGCGCAGTGTTTTGTCAAGCGACACTACACTATACAGTTTGCATTTTTAAGTAATCTCATCAGTCATCAAAAGGAAAATACCATAGTTCGTTAAGTGCGTCAATCATTAAAACGATCTGTTATCAAACTGCTCTTATTGTTTTTTTCTTCCCCTTTCTCTTTCTGTCTCTCTCCTATCATAAACTAATTTTGCTCACTGCATCATTACAAATGTCATCAAATGAACATTATCATGAACAATGAGTTGATATTTTAACAGAATTAATGTATTAGTAGTAATGTGAATATCAATGAATTTTTGGATGATCTTTTAGTCTGCTAACATTTTATCTATGTTTGTAATGAAAAAATATTTGATGAAACTTCAAAATAGAAATAAATGATAGCACATGAATTGAAATTTGAAATATCATTGATTTCTTAAATTATCGGGTTCGTTTTCTTTTGTTAAATTTTTTGTTTTTTGTAGTCTCACCATTTTCTCTTAATAATCCTTATGCTAATATTAAATTATTTCATGTCTAATTGATAATTTTTTCAAAAGTAGTAAGCAAAAAAGTTTCTAAGCAATCAAACTTGATTCATTGGATAATTATCATTGTAATACTATTTGAAATAAGTTTATAAATAAACGGATGAAAGTTTGCGTGTAAAGATTGGTTCAATAATTATTAATGTATGATATTTGGAGAGATACGATAAAATCAGATCGTTTCTGTAGCAATTTTTTTAAATGAAGAGAAATGAGAGCGACTAATACTATAAACCTTTAAGAAAAAAAAGTACTATTTGAAATGAAATTATTTTATTGATTACAACTTAGTTAACAAGAAATTAACTTGTCAGTGACGCAATAAGTAAATCGTCTTACTTTTAAATGCTACTAATGGACTTATAACCATTTTACTTTTCTACAATATATATGTTGGAGAAAATGGCATGAAAAGGAAATTGGCACATTTTATTAAACTAAATTTTCTGTCAAGAAATGTATTTTTAAATGGTGGAAAAGATTTGCTCATTTTCATTAAATTTCATTTTATTCCTTGTCAAAAACTGGTAAATATTAGAAACAAAGTAAGAAAAGTTGATAAATAAAGCTGATAATGTTACAAGTGTTGGTAAAGTTTTGTCATTAATTGAAATTAGCAGTAAGTGGAGTAATTAACAGTGCTAACATTAAATTTGATAGTGTGGTTATTGTTTTTTCATTTTTTAATATGTGGTATCATTTATTTATTTTGATAGATTAGTGATGAAGGATATATTCGATAATTATATTTTTTCATTTTCTAATTTTTTTTTTTTTGTTTCTTTGAAGTATTTCACTCGAAAAATTTGCTTGATGAGCCGGAAAAGAAGACATGATATTCCAAAAGTTCTTCAAGTAAATGTGGTTGGACAGAAAAAGAAGAAGTTTAACTGTTGCAATGTTTAGAAGACCGGTTTCGAAAAATCAGGATATTTGTTTTCTTTTTTTTTTTTAAGGAAGAAGATAAAAATTGAATAACAAGAGGTAGTGGAAGAGCGAAATAAGTGATTAGAGATCATAAAGTGCTATCAAATTAAGTCAAAACTTAATTTGATACGAAATTTGTTTGTATTAGAATATTCCGGATACATTGGTATGAATAAATATAAGGAATCATTCGAAATCTTTCGATGTAATTATACCGACATTCAATGCAATTACAATCATCATACATTGCAACGATAATTTATCTAATATGATTAAAAAAAAAAAAAAGCTGTTGATTTGTGAATGAAAAAATATCAGTTGGTATTTGGCATTTATGTGAGAAAAAGAAATCTGATGAAAATTTATCGAAAATTTATTTTAATAATAAAAGAAGCTAAGTTAAAACTTAAAAAAAAATAATGAAATGAAATGTAATATTAATATAATATTAATAATGTCAATAAATTGAATGAAGTAATTTGTTGGCTGATACTGTTTTCGTTTTCTGGAAATCTCATAAATTGTTTTGTTTGCATAAATTGTTTTGATAACTAAACTACTCGACACATCTCAACAGGATGAATGTGATGTCTAATCGCACGAATGGGACCTGAGCAATTCATACGGAAATGACAAATTCAGTCCATTTTTCGTGATTTCAAGATGAGAAAGTGAAATTTCAATTTATCGGTATTTAAAAAAAAAAACTGCCGTCCATGAAGTCAATTGTAACAATTAATTTGCTATGTGATTTAAATAGCTTGTGAGGTTTTGTCTTATAGAGGTTATTTCATGCAGCAGTACAAAAATATTTAAATTATTTAAATCCAGTAAATTGAAAATCTAAGAAAATTCATGCAATACTCAGCACAGATAAGAATTTTATCAAAATTTTTGAACGATAATTTTGTAATGGAAAACAAGAATGATAAGAATATAACAATAATGAAGTGAAACAGACGAAAAATATAAGAAAACTCAAGTTTGTTAATTAATTTAACTAATTGTATAAGGATAATTTTTAAAAAAATTAAAAAAAAAAGAGAAGAAATGAAATTTTCAAAAAGGGAAAGTAGAAAAAAAAATAGAAGAAAAAGAGAAATCAGAGGAGAAATATGAAATGTAATATAATTTGTTAGTGATGAGGAAATTATCATGATTTTAAATGTAAAAAATGAATTTAAAAAAAAACAAGGAATATATAGCAGCATAAGCAGTGATAATAATAACAGTAACAGCAGTAGTAGTGGAAGAAGAATAAATTCATATTTGAAATACAAATAACTATTCATAACCATAAACAAATATATTCGGAGATCAAGGAGGCATATATTCCTAGGTTGACAATTGGATACATCAATCTCTTTATTGTATGTATACGATGAAAATTAAAATTTTTCTTTCTTTTCTTTCTTAATGTTTATTATAACAGATAATAATAATAATAATAGTAAAAATAGTAATAATAATAATAATAATAATAATAATAATAATAATAATAATAATAATAGTAAAAATAGTAATAATAATAATAATAATAATAATAATAATAATAATAATAATAATAATGATAATAATAATAATAGTGATAACAACAATAATAGTGATAACAATACCAATTACGGTAACGATATCAATAATAGTAACGACATCAATAATGATAACGATATCAATAATAACTGATAATATTAATAATTTACAAATGGTATTGTTATTGTAGTAGTAAGCAATACCAGTAGTAGTAGTAGTAGTAGAAGTAACTTCATAGAAAAAGAACAACAAGTAAAAAAAAAGTGCCGAAGGCGTTTTTCGGTAAAATGACTTGTAAATCGAATAAAATAGTGACTGAAACTTGCTGGGCAAGTATGGATGTACGAAAATATAACAGAATGTTAAGGATATATGTGTATGTGTGTGTGTATGCATGTGTGTTTGTATATTTGTGTGTATGGATATACAGGCTTTAATAAAGGTAAAGGTAAGGGGGAGGGGAAAGGAGGTGTGTACATTGATGTATATCTGCATGTCTTCAAGATTAGGGTGTATCGAAATCGCGGGTACTTAAAGAAACGACTACAGCTCAAATTAGTATTGAGATTTACCATCCATACGGCAGTGATTATTGTTGTTATTTATACTATTTAAATAATTCTATTTTAGTATCATTCACTTAACATAGGTTGATATTTCAATTCTATACGTTATTTCACACTTTTCCACTTTATTGTATTCTTTTTTTTTTTTTGCATCGTATTTCTTAATTTTTTTTAGCCATACGATTAAAATTTCTTTTTGCAATTTAGCAAGGATTAGCAAGAATGAATACGGTGAGCACCAATTTTATTTTATTTCATTTTCTTTTTCCTTGAAATATTGATGCTTTAAAAAGTTAGAATAATTGTAAATTGTTCATTATTAAGTAGCAATGTTGAAAGAAAGAAAGAATGAAGCAATTAAATGACAGGTGTTTTTTTTTAAATGATTATTTGAAATGTGACAAGATGTAATTCAAATTTTTTGCATTCATAACTTGATTAAAATTGTATTTATTCATAAGTAATCATATTTTCAGTTTTGTTGATCACGTCTATGATCCGTTTTTTTTTCTTTCCTTTTCTACTGAAATTTGAAAAGTTTAAAATTTTGAATTTGAAAAATTTTCAAAACAAAAACAGAATTTTTACAGAAATATTTGTACATCAACATTCTACCTTTTTACATTTCCACTTAAAACAATCCTATTTTTCAGCTACAGTTACTGGGAGTTTTGCTAATTGGAACGCTAATAGATCCAGTTTATAGCTGTTTCGGTGGTGGTTCATGCTGCTGTCCACCAGCAAAACCATCTTGTGGTTGTGCTAGTACCTGTGGTGGTGGTGGAGGGTAAGCTTTCTTCTTTTTTCTCTTTCTCTATAATCATTTATAATTTTATTTACAATTACTTATTATTAAGTTCACTTATGAAATACTATTAATTAAATAAATTGTTACTGTTATTGTTACTTTTCCTCCTTCTTTTCAGTCTTTAATTTATATAAGAGATAAGAAAGAATGAGTAAATGAAAATTGAACAATTAGAATAATTAATTATATTAAAAGGTTAGAGTAATTAATTGTATTAAAAAAAATTTTTCGGTTATAGTATAAGGAATAAATTTTATAACGAATTATCAATTTTTAACTTTAACAGTGACAAATTTTTAAGAATGTGTAAAATTAACAGTGTAGATTATTCTTCATTAAGGAGTTGCATTAAGAAAATCTCGCTTTAATAATTAATCATTTAAATGGACTTGAGCGTATTATATTATCATACTTAACAAAATGAAACTTCATTTCAATTTAAAATAAAAAAAGAATACTTTTTCAGAACTTAAATTTATATATATTTCAATCTTATGAAGGAGGTTAAATTAAAATGTTAGAATTTTATTAAATTTTATATTTTTACTGGAAGAATTACTTTGATCTTTTAACATGAAGAGACGATTTATTTGGTTTGTTTTTGTTTTTGAGTTTTTTGAAATCCTAACATGTTGTCTCTTTTTCAGATATGCAACGCCACCAAAAGGATATGCAGCACCTCCTCCACCTCCTTCCTATGCGGTACCTCCACCACCACCACCACCACCACCACCACCACCTCCTTCCTATGCGGCACCACCTTCCTATGCGGCGCAACCTCCACCTCCTTCCTATGGGGCACCACCTGCGCCGTATGCAGCACAACCTGCTTATGGAGCACCATCTTACGGAGCTGCACCATCATACAGTGGAGGAGGAGATGCTTACGGAGGAGGAGGAAGAGCAATCTATGATGGAGGAGTTGGTTACGGAAGCAGCGGTGCTTCACAATACGGCGGAGGTGGAGCAGCGGGCGGAATATACGGAGGGGCTGCACCTGAATTACCACCACCACCGCCACCTGCACAACAGGTCAATCAGCAACCGTTTCAGGAGCAGTCATCAGCACTGACTGCGGAAGCTCCTCCTATGGCTGCACCTGCTCCAGCACCTTCATATCAGGAGCAATCACAACCGCTACCAGCTCCAGCTCCCGGACCATCAGCATTTGCGGAACAAGGTAGCAGTGGAGCTCTTGCACAAACATATCAAGAAGCCGGCAGTGATACAGCGATAGCTGGTAGCCAGGCGGGCAGTGGTTACCGTGATCGATTGAAGTTTGCAAAAGTCTTCAAGCAACGATTGGCGAGTTAGGCTCTATAAAACATTAATTTCTTATCTTTCCTCTTTACCTGTGCCTTTTTATCCTAATTCAAGGAATGATTAGAGGATTTTTTTTTTTTGTTTCCTTATTTTTCTTTTTTATTTTTTACTTGTACAAATCCTAGTATTATCAATTTTATATTATTTCACTTTTCTTAATTTGAATTTTATCAAAAAAAAAATTAATGTATTCTTGGTATTATATGTATCCAACTACTTTATCATTTAATTTTATCAATTTCTTCTCTATCATCTGTTACCATTATTATCCATTTTGAATATTTATATATATCGATTTGTTTACAATGATTTTGTGCTGTTTGTATATGTCGTCAATAAGATTACTGGAAACATTGCTTGGAATTCTTACAATTTACAGCTAATTCGACGCACAATTTGAAATTGAAGGCTAAAACACTTGAATAGGAAATCAAAAAAAGAAAAAAAAGGGACAAAAACAAAACCATTTCTCCTGTTTTACTATATAGTTAACGTAATTGCATCTAAATAACTAGTCGACTTGTTTAAATCTTCTTGCAGTCCTATCTTTTTTTTTTTTTTTGATGGTTTCATAAAATTTCAGATATCTACTATCTTTTCTCCTTTTCCTTCTTTTTTTTTATCAAGTAGAAATTTGTTTCCATGGCGCACTTGATAGGGTATGTAATAGAAAGATTGGAAAAAAAGCAAAATTTAATGTATGCTTTGCTAATTTCATCCAAATAGCAAATGTTAATTTAAGTTTATATTGTGGGAGATTAGTTGTTTGAAGTGATTTTTTTTTTTTTTTTTTACACCTTCTAAATCAAAATGCAAATAAGCTGTTTTTTTTAATATTCTTGCAATTATTTATTTCAAATTATGGTCAACAATGTTATCTAGTATAAGTGCAAAGATAGAATTTAATTGAAACAGACTTAAGAAATCCAAGTATGATAGACAGTTGGAAGAAAGATCACTTAAAAAAACTGCTAAATTTTATACTTCATCTAATTTAAAAATCTGAACACATCTAAAATTAACATTAAATCTGAGATAATGCTGGAAAAAATACCTTTGAAATTTTATAATTCATCCATTTAATAATTTAATCGTCTAACACTATTATCAATTTCTAACTATGAACATAAAAAATTTAATAATTTTAAAATTTATCGGTTATTTAAAAAAACTCCGGAAAAAGGTATTACTAATAATAATAATAATTAATAATAATAATGATAATATTAATATAATAATAATAATAATATTAATATAATAATTATTAATAGTAGTAATAGTACTTCCATTAATAGTAACAATACTACTATTGCTACTATTATTAGAATGTTTTTAATTAATTGAAAATTTCATTTCTTCTTTTTACAACAACATTAACGAACCGCCGAATGCTTCTCCCTTTTAGAACAATGCGATATACGAAATACTTTTGCTTTAGCCGCATTATTGAAGCACGAAAGAATTACATTTGGTTGATTGAATAAAATCAACCAAATGTAATTTCATTGATGAAATAAACGAAGGAAGAAAAACTGGAATTTTTTGAATTATCATTGACGAAATCAAAATATGTCGCTCATTTCTTGCAAGTTAACAACATCGTTTAACAATAGCTCACATATCTTTTATTATTGCCTGAAGGGATTTAAATCTGATAGAAAATTAAAATATGTGATGTTCAGTTTTTTTGCGGAATTTAATTTGGTCGATGACGTATTCCACTTTCTGCTCTCTCTCTTTCTTTTTTTTCTCCTTTTTGCTTTTTTGAAAAGGAATTAATTATATATCATTCATTCATCATTTCTTTTGCTTTTCTTTCTCTTTCTGCCCGTTTTTCTTTTTCTCTGACAAAAATTTCGTCGTCAATTATTGTCAATTTGAAAATTGAAAAATGAATTATTTGAGAGAAAGTTCTAATGCACTTTATAACAATATGTATATGAAGAAAAAAGAAGGAAGACGATAAACTAAAAAATGTGAACTGATCATAATTGCAGCAGTAAACAGTAACATTAAATCATTGTTAAAATTTGTTACAAATTAACAACAACAATTATGTGTTAAAATTTGTGTTACAGAATTTCCATTAATTAATTATTTTACAAAAACTTGTATCGCTTTTTTATCCTTTCTTATTTTGATCTTGTTTAATTTTCTTTTTCGCTTGTTTAACTGTTCATCATTTAGTAAATCGTTTGGTTATAACCAAATAGATACACATCGAAATTGAAGTTTTATAATCCATATTAACGCAAATATTAATATTAGTAGCAACAACAATTATGTTATCAACAACAATAACAACAACAACACAAAACAATAATAAGACGAACAACGACAACAATAAAACAACAGTAGCGACAACAAAATTTTAAAATCAAATTTATTATACGAAGCAATTTCCAAATTGGCACATCATTAATCGTACGTCGTAAACAGTTCTTTGTTCATAGATGCCATAAAGCAGATCCTTACATTGTTATCCGATAGATATTCTTAAACAAGTTTTTTTTTTCTTTTTTTTTTTTTATTATACTTTGATTTAAAAAGAAAAAAAAAATTCGCTTTTTTGTTTTTTCTTTGTCAACAATGGGAACATCTTTGAATAATATATGACACGTTGTGAACCGTATAAGATGCGAATTCTTTCTCATTTTAATAAAATTAATTGGAAGTTGTATGATCCGTTGCTACACAATCTTAAGTCATGAATAAGAAAAGGATGAAAATAGGAACAAAAAAAAATATTTTGAACTGAGTGTGAGTAAAAAAGGGATGAGATCATTTTTACATTTCGTATGAAAATTTGAAATTATGAGGAAAATGAAATAGAGCGAGCAATTAACTGAATAATAAATAAAATGCTTTTTTTTTTTTATTTTGCTGAATAAATTTAAAAAATGATTAACTTCTTGAAGTTACATTTCATTCTACTCAAATGAAAAAAGTAATATATGAAGAGGATTCATTCAAATATTAATGAATATGAATTAATATTTGAATGAATCTTAATTCATATTCATTACTTAATTGGTCATCAATTCAAGAATTATTTTCTGATATATTTCATTTTTATTCATAAAACAAGCATTTTTTTCTTAGTATAAAGCATAATATGTTGAAAAAAACAGATAAGACTTATTTCTATATTAAATCCATAAAGTAGAAGTTTGTAGACTAAAGACTGTCTAATTTGAACATAAATTTATTCCTTAAATATAAAACATTAAATTGTTTCAATTCCTTTTTTTTTAAAAAAAAAATGGGAAAGCATTTCTCCGAATTCATCTTCCAACTGGTAGCTAAGCTTGTTATAATCTGCAAACAACAAATATTTGCATTGCTTAATGTGTTGTAAATTACTCCCAATTTTATTGTTATCATCTTCCAAACTGGCAATCAAATTTAGATTCGATTGTTAAAAAGTTGTAAGCTATTTGTTCGATGAACTTTGTTGTAATTCAAATCTCCTTGTGATTGGAAATATCGCAGAGGTCTTCCAATCTGACGCAATGTTATCAACCAATTCCCACTATATTAAGAGTAAAGGTCATCTGTGAGTGACAGCTTCTTTACTCACTGCAATCTAACACTTTGTTCTAAGCTAATGCTCACTATATGACGAGCTAAAACTAACATTTGGGTTCAATTTCTTGGGTATCGCAAGCTGAGCCTCAGTTATCTCAGCATGCACTCATTCACTTGCAGCAAGCGGTGATGCAATGCAACAGTGGCGGTAACCGACGGAGCGAAAGTACGACAATTTAGCGAATATTTAGCAGAATATTCGTATAATCCTATTACTGTATGAGGATATTGTAAGGTTATTAGCCAGCGTTTGAAGTTATGATAACAGCAAGAATGTATATTACTACAAACTTATCTGTCATTGAAAATGATAATTTGAAAGATTTTCTGGAGTACCACTAATTTACTTATTAATGATTCACATCTCTTTCAAAGTTTCATTTTATTTTCATTTAAGATAACTTTTAGAAATTAAAAAAGAAGAAAAAGAACATACATAAAACAAAAAATAATCTTTAACTAATTCCTAATGTCTTTCGCACAAAGATCTGATATAAGCAAGTATTATCAAATAAATCTTCAAAATTCAAAAAGCAAAGACGAGAAGTCAATCGATCATGCTTGCATATCATAGCTTTTTGCCAGTTAATTTTGAAGAAATTTCACGAAAAAAAATCATGGAGAAATTTTACGAATTATTTAAAATGTCAATTAAAAATATAAGAAAATCACAGCTACAATTAAATTAAAATCAAAGTGCTGTTGACAGTGTTTCAAAAAAATGTATAATTTGAAGATGTAAATTGCATTCACCATGCAACGGATGTCTCAGGCATCCTGAAATGTGGAATATCTTTTATCCCTTTTTTCGTTCTTCGTATTTCCGAATCTAATGCATTGATCTGTAAAATTACCAATAGAAAAGATTCGACCAGGATAAGTGGAAGTGCAAAAATTTTCAAAAATATTTAAACTAAATTGAACTGCAAAAATTTCAGAGGTACATGGACGTTAAAATTAAATGTTAAAATTTCAAAAATGTTTTAGCGCCAAACTCAAACAAATTAAACTGCAAAAAATTTTTCAAGAAACCAGTTCTAGCACCGCGATTTCAAAATATGACATATGAAATTTATATTGCAACCATTTATCTTACATGTAAAAAACATTTGATAAAAGATAGTTTTCAAACATTGTACTCAATCGATTAAGGAATAATGGATAATTTGACGAAAGCAAGTTTATTAAGAACTGATATTCTCTAGAATTGTTGTAAATCTTTCGTTCTATCTGATACGAATCTCCTGTTTCTCTTTATTTCTAAATAACTAGCATACTTTTCTTTGCATTTAATTTTATGATTTCAATTTCTTTTTTTCAACAAAAATTTAAAAATACAAAAATTACTGTTGTAAGTAAATTCCAAAACAATTTAATATGTTTACGAGATTTCGCAGTTTGTT